GTTGCACTGCCAGAATGGAGAACTACACTCGGGCATGCTGGCAGAGGGGAGATGAGGAAAGCAGAGAGGTAAGGAGAGTCTAAAAGGGAGGAGGGGAAAGGGGGAGAGGGCAGAGCGGGGCAAGGGAGCAAAGCGAGGAGCCAGCCGGGCTAATTTATGGGAGCAGGTCAGTGCCGAAGCACACGTATGACAATAAAACACAAGGACAGGACAGATGTAGGAGTGAGTGCTGAGTGGCAGCCTGTCATACAGCTATCCTTCAGTTCACCTCCACCCTCCACAGACACAAACAGTCAGAGTCAGCTCCTCCAATTTGTGATGACTTAAAGGAGACAGGTCAGTCCCTGTGAGAGGTTGTTGAGCTAGTCCAGGACAGACTTGACAATCATCCACAGAAAATAATACAAGAGATAGACTCAAAATTAATTCATACTAAGTGTGATTTAGAGTAGTGGAACGGTTGTATAAGAAATAGAAAAGTGGACACAAATAAAACAGGATTCTCAATAAGTGGCAGAAAATGAGCATGAAAATAACAGAAAGATCTTGAGATCCTGGTACGATTCAGTGAAGTCTGAACATTTACATAAACATATATCCACACTGCTGCAGTTAATGTCTGTACTCTGCGCAGTCAGTGCACTGTCTATCTGTGACGTGTGACAAATTTTCATGAATAAAGTTTGATAAAAATTTGAATTCATGTTTAGATTGCTGCATCCTGAGCTGCCATCTTGTTACTTAAAGCTTTTTGAGTCAAACTCCAGCACTAAAAGGGCTGTATCCAGTCACCCCCCCACCCCCCCCCCCACACCACTCCCTTTAGTGAGTCACTCATCACACCACACACTATTCCCCTGTATGATGAAAAATAATAAACATATATTCCGTACAGTTTGACCTTTAATACTGCTGATCCCAAGTAAATACCTGGTTGTCAACATTCAAACAGGACCCAGGTCTGGACCTTTTGTAACTTGTCTCTGCTAAACCACAGAATTATACCAGATGTGGTAAAAATCTATGTGCAAAACAAGGTTGTCAAGTTTAAATTCATTTTAAGTGCTTTGCTTGCTGCAGTGTTTATACTGAAGTTGCCTACCAAAGGGCGGTGACCTGGTGTTAATGTACTCTAGGTGTTTTTTCATAATATGCTCACATTATGAAAAGTTAATGCAACTATACACACAAACTCTGTCTGCGATTCAGTCGAGCAGAAACGATAGCAGAGAGGGCTAAATCCCCCCGCCCCCCCATACCTATCCAGTACCAATACTCAATACCTAAGCATCAAATAATTGTATGAAGCTCAAAGTATAAAGGTATAGACCTAATACTTTATGAAGGTGCATGTGGTATTCAGCTGAGTATCTGTACCATATAACAAGACAAACCATTAGTGAAAAAGCAATCAAAAAATTGATATAGGGAAAACAGGATGTGAAGATTAGATAAAATACCTTCTCACAGCTAAGGAGCCAATTTTCCCAGTTTGTTTTGACTACTCAAGCAGGAACACAAACTTTAGCACTTGAGTTGACCAAAGAAAATGTGTTGTAGGTTCCCTTCAGCTTCAGCCCCACTGCACCTGATAACTGGCTAAAAGAAAAGAACTGTGGTTTTTCTTGGTCACTTCCCAGTGTGAATGTGTCTACATGTGGGAATGTCAAGTAAAGAGAATAAAAACAGCAAGCTGTCCCTGGATAAATAAGGCTGAAAACAGTGGCGCTAAGGTGGGGGTGGGTGCAGAGGCGGAATATCATTCACATATCACTATGCACTAGAGCACAAGAATGTGACCGATGTTATAATAACACTCTTTCACTCTCATCTTGAGAAATATACTTTGCTGTGTTACTTAGAGTCAGGTGAGAAGACATGCTATCGACCATCAGGCAAAAGATCAGAGAGTTCCTTTAAACGGTCAATGGTTTAACCACGAAAAAGTATTCAGAGTAACAGGGTCACTGATGCTGAAAAGGCATGTTGCTGATGAATGTTTTTGTCATTTGTCAGTGCTGTGAGCCCCTCAAATTAATTTCCACTCATCCACATTGTATCGGGTGGAAGCAGAAATCTAAAAGGTGGATAACACTATCTGCATGGCTGGATGCTATTTGTGTGACCAACCTTTAAAGTACACCTGTCCACAGCACACCTCTCCTCATGCACATGGAATGATCAGAGAAACACCTCTGCGGTCCAGATACTGAGATAAGGTCATAAGGACTCTCCAGAGCCTCTAAGGGAGCATCTGAATGGAGCCCAAACCTGACATATGACTGTGATTGTAAGGCCTGCCTTTGGCTTTGCAGGTAGCCTGCAGAGTCTCCATAAATGGGCCCATGAAAAAAAAAAAAAACAGCTTCAGGCTTACAATACTGTTCCTTCATGTATGCCATGCTAGTGGGGGGGGGGGGGTGAAGGAACAAACACATTTGGTTAAACTATGAAATTTGAACTCTGTATCTATCACTTGCCAGTATGGCCCATGTATCTGTGCCTGTGGTTGCTCCAGCAGACGCAGTAAAAGAGGATGTTAATGAACTGCTGTCACACGTAGGCTGGTGCCTTTGAGGCAGCAGTCAGGATTCTTTCCACGTACTCAGTCTGTTTGCAGTGTGGAGGCTGTGATGTGCTGCCTGACTGCAGAGAGTTGCTTGCGGCCAGACAGGAGGGGACCAACTCAGTACAGGGGGTCCCTGCTGCGGTCCCACTCTCACCAGCAGAGGAATGGCTCAGCTCTGCACACAAGTGTGTGTATGCATGTTTCTACCCCATATAAGTGTGCCTCTTTGTCTAAGATGCATGTTTACTCATGTTCAGGTGCATATTCAGCCGGAGGCATGTGTGAATACATGTAACATGAACATATGGATTCTGGAAGCACTGTCGTGCCCTGTAGATTGTAACTCAGATTAGTGACAAAACAGCGAATGATAGTAAGGGAGAACCAATGTATGTGTGCGAACGATTGTCTGGGTGTGTGTATGAGAGAGACAGAGCCAGTCTGCCCGCTGATCTCCCCGGCAATCTGCCACTTCTGCACCCTGGGTAGTGTCAGAATGGTTTCGGCACCCGCTGTGCCACCTGTCACCCTCAGCCCCGAGGCTCACTGCCGGTCCAGCCACCTGACACTGAGGCCCAGCCTAAATTAGATTGCTATCACACAACCAGGATTGGCTCTTTCCCCTACAGGAGGTTTCCTTCTTTGAGCTGACATAGTTACCTTTTTACCTCTTCACAAAAACTCTGTGGCCATCTCCAAACATGATTTCACTGCAGGTCTTGCTCTGCATTATTTAAGTGTTAAATAAGAATCTTTGCCTGGACATATGTAGGGGTGGGAAATCCCCTTGTCAGCGCAGTTGCTAATGACATTATCACAGGAACTCAGCAAATAGGGTACCCCTTGAAGGGGAATTTGGGGACTCTCTTGTAAGCATGACATCTGGCTCCACCAAACATCTGAGTAAGCAGATTGGCCCTGCAGGCCTGGTGTGACAGCCGACGAGGAAGCTGGGAGATGTGGGAGAACTGATCTGCACAGCTCCGCTGCTCAAGCTGTCACTTTAGCTTGGCTTGGCACAGTTAGATTCTCCCTGGCTCTGAAGCATTAGGCCCACTCTTCTGACTGCCGCTGCCCTGCCGGCACCGAGCCAACTCTTTCATGGGGGAGGTTGATCATCACGCTCATGCTTTCTTTCTTCCTCTCTTCTCCTACTTACTCTCTCTCAGCAGGCCTCTGGCTTCTCTTTCTTTCTCTTTTTGTCCTCTCCTGTCTCTCTCTCATCCTATCCCCACCAGAAGTCACAAATTGGGATCTATTATCATCTGCCATTATTTACTATTCCCAGTTCCTGTGCAGTACTCTAAGCTACTCGTGTGCTCACTCCTTCCCATTTTTGTTCTCCTCTAAGTAGGCGTTCAGTCATGCAGAAGTCGCTCTTCCCACCAGGATCCATTTCAACATGTTAAGACAACCACTTACCACTTGAACATCCTCAGTATGATGAGGTAACCTGCTCAACTGAGAAAAACTGCAGCTGCAGCTGTTTGTGTTTGGACTGACAAAGTAAAAACATTACAAGTGATCATTTTTGTTTTGCGAATAATTTACTCTGAAGCCATAAATATATATAAAAAATACCAATTGGGGACTATTAGGAAATGATCTTCACTATAAACTGTATAGATTTTTAAAATTACTTATCACAGTTTACTCTTGTGTATGAAAGTGTAATAAAAAAACTAAAAGTGTATTAAATTAAATTGGGGAACTGTAGAGCCAGGAGATAAATTATAGCTCTGTAGTGTATATTAATACGGTACTTTTCCAAAAGCTGAACATTTGGCTTTTCAGCACAGATACTGTAAGGATAAAATTATATGGATCTTATTTGAGCAATTCAGAAACGTTATGCACTCAGGTCCATATGTTAGGTAAAGGCTGAAGCAAAAAGTGTCTCAATTAAATCCAGCAAAAGGAACCTTTTGTGAACAGTATTCATTATTCCATCCATGAATTATTTGACTCAGGTAATTACCCGCTCACGACAGAATAAACTGTTCTCGCCTCCAATTTGCGAAAGGTCAGGGTGTCCTGTTGGCCCAGCGATCTAGGTGCATATATGTAACCACAATGTCGTGGATTTTAGTCATCCCTCTCCTGCGTCCTCATGTGCTCTGAGATGATTGAAGACGTACAATTATAATTCTTGTTTGTATGCACACTAAATGTTGACTGTTATCTTTTAGTGGTTCTGCCTAAGTTTGTGTGGTTATTTCATCACTAAAAACCTTTTCTTCAAACAACCATGCTGTACTTCCATCTTTTGGAACCTTTTAAGTCAGTTACCAGCACAAGAAAACCGTTTGGTGTTGCAGTTGCTGCCTTTTTTTCTTGTCTTTGCTGTTGCTGTTTTGGTCATTTATTTTTCCATACCCAAAGATACACAACAGATTTTACGTCTTACTTCTGTATGTGAGAGACTACTCACTTGTCTGGCCTGCCGGGCACCTGCAGGCGTAAGCGACATTTGTTAGCACTCTGGATCTGTTCTTCTTTGATGCGAATGAGCCTCTGCAGAGCCAGACACCAGTCCTGGGCCACTGTGGTGTTCAGGTTCTTTGATGGAAAAATACACACAGTTAAAACTTGTTTCTCAGCTGTGGCTTATAGTGGGTCATCTAGCAGAGATACAAGCACATTACATGCATGCTGAGCACAGGGGTCTTCTGTGCACTTGCATATTAATATTCTTACATACAAACTGAGAAACAAGCACACATCCACTCACATAAAACTATAGTATATCATCTGAAGCTACGTGGTTGTGGCATTTTTATCCCCTCAAATGTAACACTAAGTTCACTTCAAAACTGGAATCCATTTTACAGTAAAACCTAGTCCCTCAAGTGAAATAGAATCAAATCAATTTTCAGAAGTCAATGAGCTGTGCAGAAGTATTTCGTCTATTTGTTCGGTGGACAATAATATAACAGGGTGGAAAGTGAAAATCAGTCATTTAGTGCCAGGCCAATATCACTCCTCCTGAGGACATTGTGCTCATTAAGTGCAGGGAGGCAAAGGTGCCGCCATTAACCTGAGAGGCTGGTGATTGCTGCAGTATACCGTCGTGGCTGTGTTACGTAGTGTATGGTACTGTTAATGTGTTAGTGGCAGACTGCTGGGAAGTGTCCTGATTTGAATGCTACAGGAGGGGTGCTAGTTTCTTTTACAACCCATTAAATGACACTTTTATCTAGTGCATCAGAGGGAACATCTCATTCCCACCATTGTGGCACTGTTGATGAAGAGATATATGGGAGATTCCATGCTTTTAGAAATTGATGATTCACATTTTAAACATCTAGAATCCTTTAGTAATTTCTTTACTATTCTTTTGTCCTTACTAATAGCAGAAAGAGATTTACCAATGGTTATCTTCGTACCATACAAACTTGATCTCTAAGTTGGCACTGAATATAGCAATTTAAATGAACTATGTATACTGCAGTGTTGTCTTTGCTGCCTCTATGATTCTTCATTGTGTTCAGTGTAGGAGATATTGTAAGGTAAGCTGCAGTTAACACAACTCATTCCATATTTCATATATTTTCAGTAAATATCGGGAGATAACTGGCTTATAAATAATTTGTCTGGCTTAAAGCAGTTTTTGGAGGAGAGAATAGAATATTTGAAGGTCAGTCTGTGAGCACATTTTTAAGAAGTCTATCTGAAATAAGGCTTTTGAAGAAAACCCTGAAAGAACAAAGCTGGTCTGTGTAGGGGTGTGATAAATGTAACAGACTGTGACTTTTGTGCCTTGGCCTGCAGAGCCAGTTGGACTGAGGAACCCTATGCCTTTCAGCTCACTTTGTTTCATTATATCTTGTATGATACACATTTTCTCTGTGAAACAGTGCAGCCACAGTTAAAGTGTAACATAAAGTGACACGTACCTGGTACGTCCCCTGGAGCGTGCCCACAAGGAGAGTAACCTCCTCCACAACAGAAAGGTCGTGTTGCAGTTCCTGCAGCTCTTGGTAGAGCCTTGGAGGCCCCAGGATCGCTTTACCTAAGAGATGGGCAACACAAAGAGTTTGTGATATCACTAACATGTTTACAAAAGAAAAAGTACACTTATATTTTGTCAACACAGCATGAACAGATAAAATACAAAGACAACAAGGTTACATACAGTCACCTATATGGCCATTAATTATTTTTCTTAATACATAGGAGTGCATATGCATTCTATCATTCTGCAATAGTAATTACGGCAGCAACTTGGGATTACTTCATTATTGATTAATCTGTTGATTTTTCTTTGACTGCTCAACTAATAAATCAGTCTGTAAAATGTCAAAAAATTCTTTAAAAAATGCTCAAGGTGATGTCTTCAAACTGCTTGTTTTATTTGACCAACAGTCCAAAACCCAGTGGTATTTAATACAGTGATAAAAATCAGATCATTCTTTTTTTTAAAAGCTGGAACCATTGATTGTCTTGACATTTTCCTTGATAAATTACTTGATAAATACATTGTTGTCAATTGATTTTCTGTCAATCAACTTATCATTTGCAAGATATGATCTCAGTGTTATATACAATGAAAATACATGGCGTATGGACACACTGTGAACATACAAAATACATTGAAGTTCAAGGTCAGTGTTGTAAATGCTAATAGAAAACAATGACATTGCATCTGAGAACTCGTGGAAGTGCAGACTGAAACTCCAGTGGCACTAATAAAAGAAGTTTGATGTGTAGATGGATCGATCTTCATTATTTGCTGAACAACACAAGAGTGAATTTATGAGTAAAAAAATTAGGTGGAGAAACTGTTATTTGGAGCTATGATGCCCTTTTGCTGGCCAAAAGGAATGCAGGTGTCTCATTAGACGCAAAATTCAGCATCGATTTGAGGCCCACTACCTTCAAATCTCTCTCCTACTGCTGCAAATCGATAGCTGTGTCTCCTCCTGTCTGCCATCCTCCGTCCTAGCTCCCCTGGCCCACATCTACTCGGCAGCAGGCTCCATGAGAACTGCCTAATTAAATTCTGCAGGTAGATTTTGCTCCAGAGCTGTCCTGCACTGTCACTGCTGCCACATAATAAAAGTAGCACAGGAGCTGAGTCGCTAGCAGGGCTTAGTGAGGCATTTTCCTCCGAGGGGACCTGCTACCTTTTGTCTATCCACGTGCATAAATGGAGTGAGAGTAAAGCCATGAGGGGAAAGGGAGAGAGAAAGAGAGGGGTGGGCTGAGATTGTTCATTTAAAAAGCTCTATTGTAGCTTTTGGGGTTTAATGGGATCTTTGACCAGGCAGCCAGTGACATCTGTCATCTGTGCAAGGAAATCAATAGGTGAGACATTTAAATATAAAGGGGTGATGCTGCGAGCTGCAAGAACAATGTCTGCATGTCCTCTCCAGAGAGATTGCCTGGACCCCTGTTCAGGTTCGTTGAGTCCTCTGGGGCCTGCTGTTGGCTACAGCCCGAGAGGTGAATGTGCTGAGTTGTAATCCAGCGTAATCCCGTTGGTGAGGCAGGATATGGTTTTCACACTCAGACATGGCTATCCACACCGGCCGCCAGGCACGTAGCTCACTGGTGTGGAAGGCCAGAGCCCAGAGGGGTCCATCCCTGCTTTCTCTGGAATAAGTCAGCAATCTAGCACTCAGCTGCTGTGCCAGTGATGCTGGCCAGTGGATTTAAAGACAATGCAGCTTCCACACCTGCATCAAAACCCTTGACTGATCCACAGCCAAAGCCCACTGGTACACATATGACAAAAAACTGCACTCCTGACAGCAGGTCAAAATAGAAACGGCAATAAGGGAGGTATAATGGGGACATAAGGAAGGGAAGGCAGCATGAGAGTAAACAACTGGCACAGGAAAAGAGCACATACATTGGTGGGCCCTCAAGTGCGGTAGGAACAGACAGGGAGAGCAACAGCCTGACAGATGCAGGCAGAGACAATGGGGAAGAGTAAGAAAGACAGGCCTGGATTTCCCCAAAGGCTAGCTTTCTTCAAAAAAGAAGGGCAACACGGCCCGCAGAAGATGAAAAATGACTTCATTTTAAGCCATACTGAGGGAGCACAGGATTCAGACTACACACCCCACTGAATGACATCACAGGGGATAAAACTATAAATAGATGGGACAGCCTGTCTGAATGAAAATTTGGGAAACGACAGATGTTCACATAGAGATGATTAAGGTGACCGTGCTGTGTCGAGAAGGTAAAAAATAAATAAATAAATAAAAAAAACGAGAGAAAGTCAGAGACAGAATCCAACACCCTCTAGGGGGCATCACATTTGCAAAGAGACAGGTACATTGAGAGCTAACCTTAAATGATCCCAAAACCTTGCAGGAAAGTTGTGAGTATACAAGTCTACACTACCTGACAAACAGTGAAAACTTAATCCAGTGAGAATCTAAACCAGCTCTGGAGGCAGTAGCTGCTTGCTGAGCATGACACGGGTAGCTCTGAAGAAGACACCATTAATATTTAAGTCATGGAGCTGCAACTTTAAAAAGCCTGTACCATTACATCCTGATAAGGTTTTGTATCTCCCTTTTCCCATGGCACATTTATCAGGGATCTCGTCAAGCTCTGTATACACCAGAGTTTTGTGAGGGGTGGTGGGAGAACTAGTGTTTCAACCACTGATTCCTATCTACTACTACTGGCTCTCTAATTGGGCCTGGAAAGGGAGGGAATAATCTCTTCAGATTGATGACTCCACTCTAGATGTGTTTGTGGTCTATCAGAGAGTGAAATGAGACTGTGGGGATGATGCTGCAGGGGGCTCTCTACCCCCATATCTCTCTCCAAGATAAAAACAACGCAGGCAGATGGGAACAAGTGACCGTCATCACTATCCTCCTCACAAACACATCCTCAATCAGAGTGACAAGCGGCATGAATGCATCTCCAGCCCTGTGCAGGACACTAGAATACAGAAACAGATTAGCCTTGCTGAGTCAGAGAAAGGCGCTGAGACTAGTCAAGCTAGTTCAAGTGATGAGATTAACTGCATGACACACATGGGAAAGGTTCACTTTTTTTTTTTTACCTGAAGAGCAGACACTGCTTGGTCGCTTAGCACCACTCTGCTGGAAGAAGGTGTCTTTGTTTTGAGAGCCCTCTTGCCCCACCTCTACAACTTGCACCTGCTGTAGGGGGGCGCTCCACTTCATGGTGTACTTGGGGCCAATAGGGACCAGGCTGCTGATATCCGGAGGCCCCCTGGTGGAGATGAAGAAGAAAAGAAAATTAGAGGTGGGAGTTTAGAAGGAAAACAACCTGAGAGAAATTCCCTCCCTATCCGCAACCCGCGCAGAGCACTACACCCAGCACTCCATAGGAGGAGACGTTCTTTGAAATGTCAAGAAGAAGACTTAGGAGTTGGAATTAGAATCTGTATGATCACCCATGTACCCTACCAAAACTGTACCCCTGGCTGTGAAGATGAGTTCATTGCTATTCATGTATTCCTGTAATCACACAGATAATCAACATTGTGATCGGTTTGTCAAGATCCTGGAGGGCAGACGAAGTCAACTTCGGGACACTCGAGCTGAATGAGACGTAGAACGATAATTACTTTGAAGGCTGAACAAGAGAGCTTTAAGCGACATCTTTGACAGGAGCTTTGCAAAATAGACGAAAACCCTTTCCTGTTTACTTCTCTCAAGAGAGAGAGGGAACGAGAGAGAGAGATGTGATCAATGGTGCTGTCACAGAAAATAAATTGGAAAGAACCCAAAAAATGTTTTATGTCAGTAATCTAGGACTCCTGTAGCTGTAGTTAGGCATTCTACCATTTGTTTAAAGCTGATAAAGCTCCTGCAACTCCAGATAGTGCCCAAAACCCCTAGCAGCTATTTCTCTTTGCTATGCAGTTTGCCAAAATATCCCTGCAAAACCTAGGGCATCATATTAGAGCCCTGTGCCACCTAATAGCTATTTCTCCTAACGGTGCAGTTTAGCAGCCTCTCCTATAAAAACTTACACACAATTTCGTGCTAGCACTACGCATTAGCAAAGTATTTTTAAATGAAAAGGCGTATAGCTTGCTTGCTCTACAAGAGGGACTTACTTGACATTTATGTTGGCACAGATGAGTACATCATCAAAGAGGAAGACCTTTCTCTCCTTTGACTTCAGGACTTGTCCCCGCTCGCCATACACAGTCTCAATAAGCGTCTCACAGAGGACCAATGACCCCTGCTCCGAGTTCAGTTGCTAAAAGGGACACAGCAATCAGATCAGAGGCGCAGGAGACAGCATCACAAAGGGCCAGTACTCCAGAGTTCAGTGCCTGGAGGACACAGAAATTAGGCTTGGAGGAACAGATGTCTCATCAAGGATTACCAACAAATTTGTGCTGCTGAATGCCATTTAATGTGTGTATACGTATACACAGAGAAAGCACAAGCGCACGTCTCTAAACCGTTCATTCTGTGAAACTGCACATGCTCTTTCACTATCTTCGCCTTGCAGATGTTTAAAGTGATGAGAGAGCAACCGAAAGGCAGCCTTCAATTAAATGGAGCTGCTAGAGACCTTTATTATTATCTTTGAACAAACGCCTCAGATCATCCTTTGTCTTTTTGTCTGTACCGTGCCATCCGCCATACTACTACCACAAACCCCAAACTGGCTTAGCTGGGACTCACAATAATTTCCACCACAACAGGGCAACTACACAGGGATGGAAATGTATTAACAGTTTGCTGCGTGCACACCTTTATACACAACACACACACACACACACACACACACACACACACACACACACACACACACACACAGTTAAAGCATCTAATAACAGATGCAATTTGTGCTACAGTACGTTGGCAAATGCTGCGCTTTCCAGTCTTCCATATGTTTGGCAAAAGGAAATAGCAACAGAAAGCTTTTTTTTATCACTTTGGTCCAGCTCCTTTTTATGACTGACTCAAGACTTTTACTTTTATGCACACTGCGCCAATCTAATCCAGGGCCATTACAAATTAAGAGAAGCTACTACACTGCAAGCAGCAGGTTAAGTCCAAGTAAGGAGCTCACATCCTGATACTTTGATGTTGGTGTTTGTTCAAAAGACAAAAATGTGAGCGAATAATGAATCTCTCTGCTGTGTCCATTCTACAACCTGCAGTGCAGTAATGCCTCTGTCCTATCTGCAGGCAATCTGTAGCTGCTTTTGGCCGTGGCTCAGATAGCACACAAAATGAATCATTAGACTGACTGGGACTGCCGTTTGATGGCTACAGAACCATACAGCTCCCTCAAGAGGTGGGCTGCTATAAGAATACATCCTTTAAGTCTTCAAGCATCAATTGGCACAGAGGACATTGCACCAAGCACATGTGCGTGTGTGAGTGGGAGTGTAAGCACGTGCGTGTGCGAGTGTGTGCGAAACCCATTCTTACTCCCATTGTTATCTGTCCTATGCTGGCGACTTAGATACTTTGAGACAAAGAATGAATATTTCATTGGATGGTTATGGGGGCAATAGAGTAGACTGTTTCCTATTGGAATTCTGCAGTGTCACCGCAGCAAATGGAATTCTGTGTGGAGTAGGGGAGATTGGCCGAATCAGCTCATCTCAGAGTCCTAGAAAGCAAGGGCTGATAGAGAAAAATAAAAAGGGGGAGGGTGAGAGAGAGGAAGACAGACGAAGATGCAGTCACACACTAGAAAGAGAAGAAGAGTGTATAAGTGGAGTGAGAAGGTAAGCAAGAGAGTGCAAGTGGCGAAGAGAGGGGAGGTAAAGTGGAGAGAGAGAGGAAGAGGGAGAGAGACAGGGTGAAAGAGATAGCTCTCTTACAGTTTCCAATTAAATGTCTCATTTACCCCCTAATTCTTCTTATTCAGAGCAGCATTTGTTCAGATTTGCAGCGGCAGGACTGTAATTTCAGTGTGGTAATGGAGAGGCAACGCCTCTGCCATTGCATTTGGTACTGTTTAGGGATGATAATGGGCATCATTTCTAGGAGATAATTTCTCTAAATAAAAATGTCTCCCTAGATTAATGTGTGGGAAAGTGATATAAGCGATTGCTATATACTAGCTTAATTCATAGGTGTTTGGCTCACAGTGATAACAACGTAGAGGAGTTAAAAGGCTCAGAGGCTGGTTCACAGTTGATTTGATTGGGCCATGCGTGCATGTGCAAGTGCACGTACATCTGCACGAGGGAGCGCATGTGTATCCAGTCACCTTACTGAGCAGGCGATCACTGACGCTGCGGGCTAGTTGTTGAGTTTCTGTAATCTGGTCTGCTACTCGTTTCTGTTCATTCAGCTTCTCAGCCAGCATCTCCAGCTCCGTCAGAGCGAGCTGCAGTGGCAGACGATCCACGTGGCCCTTCGGTGTATTCTTCAGCATGTCCTAGAGAAGGTCACAAGGAAAGTTTTAAGTAAAGACACAGCATGTTAAAAAATACAAACCACTCTGTTTATGATTTAATACCTTCATCTGTAACCTGCAATATACTGAATTCTAACAAAATAATGTGTTCTTTTTGAGAGTGTTGCCTTCACCTTGAAAAGTTCAAATCTGGATCAAATGCTGTTTGAGTTTAGGTGTGTGCTTGTCACAGTTTTCAGAGGACTTAGGTTACACCACACTGACTCACCAGTGATTATGTAAACTTTGTACAGCTCATTGTATTGCAAGTCATACTCCTCTGTAAGCAGTGTTGGCTAAAACAAACCAATAAAAATAAATTTGTAGACACCAAATGATCAAAGTTTGTATAACTAAAGGCTGTGGAGGTTACAAGCCTGTGTTTGTCCTGCATCTATGACTCATTGAAAGCTTAGCATTATCTTGATATGCATCTCAGATGTACCTCAATGCCTTGAGCTGTAGTTCCCTATAATGTATGATTTAATACATACACTTCCTCTTTGGAGTACTGAGTTTAGGCTAGAAGAAAATGCCTGATTCACATTCATAACTTATCTTTTGAATTCATGGATAATCAATGCCTACTGAGGGATGAAATGAGCTGCTGCAGATCCAGCAAGTCAAGCTCAAATCCAAATCTTTGCACAGAATAGAAAGTGGAGGAGCTGGGATGTAAAGCCAGCACTATGAAAACCTGATGGGTCTAGCTACTTTTCAATCTCTGGCAAACCCTGGTGTAAAGTATGTGAGGTACGGCTTCTTGTACTTTGGGTAAGTTAAAATCCATAATCAATTCTGTGGCCTTGCAGCGTTGCATCTTTATTAGTGTATGTGCTGCTAAAGCTTTACTTTAACTCAAGTTTCTCATATTGGAAGTGTTTTAGCTAGTAAGACTTGAAGGGATTCACTTAATTAAAACAAATTAAATGACTTGCCCTGTACAAACGACAGTTTTATACCTGCAGGAGCAATATGAACTGAGGGAATCGTTGAATGGGCTTCACCATTAAGCCATACAGAGTAATCCGGTCAACACTAGATGACTGCTTCTTCTGGAAACAAGAGGGAAAAAAAAATTGTGGTTTGAAAAACATTCTTGCATAAAAGGGCCATTAAGAGGCAACTACGCTATTCCTACTTCAAGAGGAGCTTATCAGAAAGCTCTATAGACCGTGAGTAGGCGTGTGAGTGGGTGAATAAGGTATGAAAATCAGGGTCTAGTAGTCATAGGAGAGAATGAAAGAGGAGGTTTTTTGAGTGTGTATGTCTAATGTATTACTGTGGGTGTAGGTCAGGAGAATATATTGTTTCAGTGCAGTGTCAAGTCTGTGGCATGATGACACCACCAGTATAAAAAGGCAAACCACTGGACACATTTAAAAGATGGTTTGGTAGTGAAGGCTGGATAAGATCAACTGTGAGACGGACATAAAAAAGGATACATACATGTTTTATGTATATTTGTTAGGGTTAGGGTTATATATGTCCCGAAACGTGAGAGTTCTGTCACCATCTGCTATAAAGTGCAGTAGCTATAATCTGGTTTATTTTTAAGTTTATACTTACTTTTCCTTAGGCTTTGGAAACTTTTTGCTCTTTTAAGATGACACATAGATTAGAGCTGAATATCAATTTAATTTATACTATATTATAAAATAAATTAGATTGATATTAATGTTCTGATATGAGTAGATTGCCTGAGATTTTGGTAATTATAATATCATGATCCAGCCCAAATCTGTGTTTTCCTAACACTGCAATCTGTTGAATTCACAAATATCTTTGAGCTTATCTGATGTTTCCAGCTGAGTGAAATGAATGATGAATACCTCTACTTTTTAGGTCATCATATTCACATTATTAGACCATCAGTCACTGTCACATGCGATATCATCACATACTGGATAACATCAATTTATATCAATAAACTTTACACCATTTTTTTCAACAAGACATAGTACGTGGTCAAATATATTGTGATGTCTGATTTTGTCAATATTGAAATCTGATTAAAAATTTCTACCTTAAAAAAGTTGGTGTTTTCTTATCATCGTCATTCATATATTATCATTCATCAAATTAAAACAGATTATGAAATTATGGCAGTAATTTATGTCCTTGCCAAACGCTCAAAGGATAGGATACAGATACATAAACAGATCAAGTACCTTCATGAAGGTTTCAGACTGCAACAAGCGGAGCTCTAAAAGGCACAACCACCTGTGAAGTTCACTCAAATTGACATGTACTTAATTAGCCAATCAGGAATAGTCTCACATACTCCCATTGTACTCATCCTCTATGAAGAGTTATGTGACCTAACTAATCACCCTAAGTAAGCAACTTGTAGAGTAGCAGGATACCAATATTAGTGTAATCTGCATTATTTCATGTTATAATTTAACTATTAATCCATCGTGTTATTTTGGCCCTACATTTTTGTCACAGCCCGTCTTCGCCAAAGCTCTATTTTAAGTCAGCCATTGGGGGATTTGTGTCATAGTAAGAAGAAGAAGGCCACTGTTTCTCTTTCATCTGGGACAGTCTAAGAATGCTCAGAGTAAACGGGCATTAAGAGGAAGCCTCTTGGCAACTCTAGTACAACCTAGCATAACACCATATATGCAATCGCTAAATGGAGACACCTGTGGTCAGTGGTCAGTAGCCACCCAACCATTAAATCATAGGCGACGGTAGGAAGGTAGCAAACTCAAAGACACTATTTTTACATTTTACATTCAATGTTCAGTAACTGGGCAGATACACAACTTTGAACAGCTAAACCAAAGGTGAACCCTGAGTGGATGCCATGAAAAGTTCCATGAGCACCAAGTAAAATCTTTCCAGCACACAAGACCAGGTCAAGATGTCAGTGAGACGGGCTGTTTGCTCTTTAATGCACTAAAAATGCTTGAGTGGTGGTTTGCTAACTTTAAAAACTTCATTTCTACCAAAAACAACTTTACAAACAAGCAGATTTATACTGAACACACCAAGTTTTTTCTCTGCAAATGCAGCACATTACATCATAATGTCTGTGAACTGAATTCAAACTCAAAATTTAATAGTCCCCATCCCTGTAAATGTTCCTTGCGTGCTTATGGTCATGTGCGCACAGTCAGTGCCTCCATAATATTTAAAAAATAAGTAATGAAGTCTGTCATTTATTTAGTGTTTTTTCCAGTCTGTGTCTAGCCAATTTTTTATTTGGTCTGTCTTCACATTGCCAGTGAGAGCTGCAACAGGCAGTGGGAGAGACAGAGGAACTTTTCAACAGAAAGAAAGGGACTCATGTTATCGGGAGAAACATGCAGGGCTGTCAGCTGTGTGATCTGGTTCTGTAACTCAGCATTACAACTCAATGATCCAGGTCATACTGATGCATGAATGCTGTGCGCACAGGGAATTGCCAAACTCATCATTTCTTGGCACTCTGTATGCACCTTGGCACTATGTTTCGTTGTTTACAACCCCTAATTAATATCTGAAATATTAAGTAAATAGAGTACAGTACAATTTCCACTTTCCATTTCACATATTGATTAACCAGAGGTGTTGCAATGTCCTTATTATAAAAATTACAAACCTTTCAAGATACAGTAAAAAATTGCATAGAGAAACACACAAATACTAGCTATTGTCAGATTCCGAGAACAATTATGCATTTACAACGTTATTACAGGCTATGTTCATTATCTGGACAACCTTGGACATTTCCAGGGTTAGAACTAGTCGGTGATGTAGTGCTTCAATCTTAATATTGCCTCAAGTGACAATGACATGGTAGATAACTCTATTTCACAAGATAAGCACAATATTATTTATAATCCATAATATTTATTTAATACCAACCATAAACCCAATGTAAATAACAATTTTGTATTTTGTGTAAATGCCAACTTTTTACACACTGAAGTCTTTGTCTGTCTCTCTGGAAACCTGAGAAGTATGCATTATTGAAGCCTTTAGCTTTGGGGCTTTGCTAGATTAAGCATCTGCTAAACACTACCGAACAAAAAAAAAAGCAGAGGTGCAAAAGAATACAATTGGGTAACTTTAATTTGAAATCGGAGAAACATTTTGTGCTGCATGGGCTGAAGCTCACCTTTAAGAATTCCAGAAAAGCTGGTTTGGACATGCATGCCTTTTTAATGAGAGCCATGGCACTGGTGAAGTTGTTCACATAATCACTGTATACATCCAGCACCATTGACTTGGAAAACTGTGGAAACAGAAACAAGCATAATTATCTGAATTTGTGACAACAGCCCTATAATAAGAGGGTCTCCTGCTCTGCCATGTTTGATTATTTTGTCTTTACACCAGCATCCACAAACACACTCATGCAATTTCCTTTGACGTCTTGAATGTCTGGCTAACCATCCTGTTTGCAGGACAACCCATCAGTAATTTCAATGTAAAGAGAGGCTTGAAAATGGCCATTTAAGTATAGTACTTAAAAAAATTGGTTTGTTTACCATCCCGGTTACTGCAACACCCTTCACGAGCCATTTAAGAGGTTGGGCAAAGAGGAATGAGGTTGCAGAGTGTGTGAGAGTGAGAGAGTGCGTGTGTGTGTGTGTGTGTGTGTGTGTGTGTGTGTGTGAGAGAGAGGGGGGGGGTGTCTGTTGTGCGGTAGACATTTATTCTCTCTCCTCAATTAAACCCACACCAGGCAGCTGATAGTGGCAGTTTGAGGAGTGGTGGGGAATTAGCAAATCAGAAGGAGGAATTAACCTGCCTTGCTCACACCCTCCTTCAGGATCCTGCCTCTCAGATATTACTACAAGCCCCACAGGTACAGATACATGGCCATATGACAAAGGGGCAGCCAAATAAGGAGTACACAGGCCTAGCACTTCCCTTTTCGAGTGTGGCCTCATTTGATGGTAGGTCCTAGGATATCAATGGAACAGCAATGTAATGGCCAGCAGAGAAGGAAGGGTTCGAATCAGCCCCTCTAATAAGGAAATAATGAGCAGACCTTATGGATGAGCACACTGTAGAGACTCACAACAGAAAACTCACACTGAACACCATTATTCTAGTGCAAAAATTTGTAAACACGTATCCCAGAGAGCATTGGATGCAGTGGAGATATTCATCACAACTGTAATTGATTCCATGTTTGGGGTAAACTATCCCTGTTTGCTCAATCTAAAACCTGTAGCTCATTATAACTCTGGTAGCAGCGATTGTGTTATAAAGTTAGATAGAAATGCCAAGAAAAATATGAGTGCTTCTCTCCAGAATCTGAGTCTTTGATTGCATTTTTCACAGAAACAAACAAAGAACACACGCACTCACACACACACACACACAGAAACACGAATATAACGCAGCAAATAAGCCTCCATTTTCTATTTCATGAAGATACATACCAAAAACATGCACATGCACACTAACCGAGGCAACAAATAAGTCTCCAATTTTCTCACTGCTGTCCCACTCAGCCACACGAGACGCCAGTGCAATCTGAAACATGGAGTGGCATTGTGTGATCTCCCTGATACGGTAAAATATAGGCCGGATCTTCCGTGGACTCAGGATGCGTGGATCAGCTTCCATCAATGGTCTGTGGTATTCCTGGTGAGATGGTGAAAGAAAATTGGGATTTTATTGTTGCTGATGTGCGTGTGTGTGTGTGTGTGTGTGTGTGTGTGTGTGTGTGTGTGTGTGTGTGTGTGTGTGTGGGTGGGTGCTTAGGATGAATCAGCAGTCCGCCTTCCTTCTTCTTTTCAGAAGCATAAATAGACAACTGAGAGGTAGCTGACAAATATCCTATGAATCGTGGATAATGAGGAAATGTAGTCATGGTGCTTGGAAGCACATCGAACCAAAGGATTCACCCATGGAGCAGCATTTGCCACTAGCAAACATGCTCAGAATTCAAGGTGACTTGTAATCATAAAAGCCAGAATGATAATGGCAAAAACCAGCTCCCAGCCAAGTTACAGAGGCAAAAGCAACATGGTGAAAGGGATGGTGATTGATTCTTCAGTCAGTACTCATGGGAATATTAGCCTAGCCTGCAGAAATAAGCTGACAAGTTCTTTGTGGATGACAAAGCCAGTAACCGTGACTTCTTTGAATCTAAACATGTTGAAGTATAGATAATATCATGTAAAAGCCAAACATGAAAGATGAAAACGGTATTTAACACAAAAAATTAATCCGTCTGAGCAACAGCAGACCTAATTTTTGTTGTTTGCCTGATGTTTTATCTCTGCAAATCCATAACGGTAAATGAATCATTGACAGAAGGAACATGGGCAGGCAGCACAACATGAACAACTGTGCAATCTGTTTTACAGTAAAAATGAAAGTCACAGCACTCGATGTCTAATTGTGCTTGTGGCTCTTCCTCTTTTTATATTATCTGTCTGGAGACATTGCATTTACCACTTGGCTGGACTCTCTGAATAACAAGAGCGATTTCAAAAGTGCAAAGCCTTCCCAAGTAGCATACACAATCATGTCGCTCGACAACAAAGGTAGCACATTGTATCTTGACAATGAAAGATTTTGCAGTGCTTAAGGTAGCCACTGATTGCTGCTGATTCCATTTCAGTAGGTGCTCCTCTCATATTTTTGTGATTAGGAGATAACAAGTTTTCATTTTTCCGCAAAAAAAAAGAGATTAAAGAGGAGAGGCTGTACCACATCTTGTGCAAGCCTGAAAGTCCCTTTCTCTCTTAGCATCAGCACGGCACCACAGAAATGAGGATGGTTGTTTTATACTTGTTTTTTATGCTGAGACACCTCAGTAATTTGATGGATATCACGGCTTCTCTAGTCAATGTAATTCATAATGGCTAAATGGTGAAGATATTGCAAGTGGCAGAGGAGGACAACGGGGACTAAACAACTCACCTGCAAGATTCTCCTGAGAGACTCTAGGTAGCTCCGCTCACTCTGAATGATGGAGCCGAGGATATGGCGTCTGACAACCTGTGGAGACAACAGACCAGTCAGGAAATCTAGCACTAAGAGGACATGATGGGGCTGCGGTGCGCGGTATGCTTTCAGTTAAGCACGGCGCGGGTTGATGGATTGCAATATAATCATGCGTTTGTCACAGGAAAAAAAAAAGACTCAAGGAGGAGTAGGTCTGTTTGAACAGGGCCTTCATTGGAGTCTGAGTCTTTCGATTTCCTATGACATGAGAGCAATAGTTTTAGCTGTTGTAAAACTGGCTGCTTTCCCAAACAGGATAAAGAGAATACACCATATAGATATGCAAAAATACTGAAGTAACAAATTAATACATTTAACATGACAGCTTAGAGCCTTATCTCAAGACTATGTTGTACAGAATATTCATATAAATGCTAGATGTTAAGTACAGTACATGTTTTTACATACACGGGCTAAACATATAGGGAACAAAATAAATATCTTTAAAAACTGCCAGGTGCACCTGGTGGCTGGTCAGCCCCTCTGGCATGGGGCTCAGTTGTGGAGGGGGGTGCTTCATTTCTGACACAGTCACATCGAGGTATCCTGCATCATCCTCCTCTTCTGCAGACAATCAGAAATGAAGGAGAAAAATAGGATAAAAAAAGGTTAAAAAGGGGAGAGGGAGAGGGAGAGGGAGAGAGAGAGAGAGAGAGAGAGAGAGAGAGAGAGAGAGAGAGAGACAGACAGAGACAGAGAATGAGACAGAGAGGGAAAACAGAGAGGCTGCTTTCAGATCTCACTGCAGCTGGAGACACTGCGACACACTAAGTTTATTACCTCTAAAATATGAAGAGAATTCTGTACTGTCTGAAAAAAAGAGAGATGGAGGGACAGAGAAAGCAATGGAGAAATAAGCAAGAGAGAGAGAGAGAGCGGCCTACAGAAAAAAAAAAAAAAACTTTCAAAACAATACTGTATCTCTGTAGGAGTAAAGCAGGCACACATAAGTGTGTCTGCAAAAACACGATCCAGCACATTCTCATCTCTGCATTGGCACAAAGAAGTTCGACAGTCTCAAAACAAAAAAATCCCCACTTCACCCATAACCATAAAGACATAGATACCAGAAGCTTTCACCATTCCAATTAAAGACTTTGGAATGATAACAGAGGATTGGTGGAAAAGAAATATAATGCTGTGCAGATTTCCCTCGATCAACACCTAAAAATAGCAGCACTGGCCTCTTTACCTCTTTGTGATGGTTTGGAGATTTGTTTGAGGCGTGGGTCTGGTATATGTGGTTTATGGAGCTCCTCAATACTCCACTAATGGATGCTAATCTTCCTCTATTGTTAGACAAGGGTTCCTATAACCCAACCTATATTGTATAGCAGGAGTTGCCATCATCCATCTCTCTCTCACACATCAAAAGCTTTACTCAACCACATCGTCTGTCTTAAAACTGAGAAAGAGTGCTGTTTTATTTATTATACTTATAATCAGTGAGATCTGTCTTTTTCACAGTGCTTTCATTTCTCCCTTAAGGGATTTGTATGAAGAAAAAGTAAGACTTTCTACTCTATCTGCCTCCAACACTACTTTGGCTTGGCTATACACAAGCATACAATTCAATGAGTCAACTGCAGGGAGCAACAGAAAACCAAACTTCATAACCAGTACCCATTACTAAAAATAGTGTAACATTCATCCAAAAAAAAAAAAAAAAAGCGAGCTGACCAACAATTACAGTTTTCAGGCGTCCCTGCATTACCCAATTGATCTTTTCTCTGCAGGAAGGAAACTTTTCGCATGACGGCTATTTTGGTCTTTTCAAGCCCATCCTTTGTTCCACTTTTTGCCGCCTTCATGAGCTGTTGAACCTGGTTGGAAGGAGCAGACAAAAACAACGAAGGAGCGTTAGAGCACAAGGAATGTGCCATGCTGTGGAGACTTGACAACCTACGGTGCTCCTCTGGAGAGAGATGGAGAGAAGTGGCGCTCAGTGGGCTCATCATGAATCTCACCATCTGCGGCTCCCTGTGGGTCGCTGTACAGCCTCTAATCAGAGAGTCTATGAGCATATCATGGAGAGATTATGGTAACAGAGTGAGCTCCACATCAGAGTAACAGAGCTGCTTTGCTCAGTGTGAGAGAATTTAGCTGACCACAAACTCCACCCTGAGCATCACAGAGGACCTGCAACCAGACTCCACAAACCCAGAATACACCGAGGGTAATAGTATTTTTAAATGATGCTACTTCAGGAAAGTAGGTCATTAATTGGGGGCAAGTTGCACTGGTGTTTATGGAAGTAAATACGCAGAATATTATTTAATAATTCATGTGGCCCATAAATGCGTCTTGATATTAAACCAGGCAGAGAAAGAGAGAGAGGCCAACAGAGAATCTTAAAGAGAAGTCACAGTCCAAAGGAAAGCTGGGAAGGATGGTGCAGAGAGTCAGTTAAGCCTCTGAGTTAGCTAAGCATACAGCACAGCATATTTCAGCACTGGGTGATCATCTGTCCTATTGGCAAACATCTAGCAGATTGCTTTGAGCTCTCCAAAGAAATAGTGTGATATCGCTGTGTTCACTTGCTTCTGCAGAGATACCTTGATGTCATAGTTGTGCTTGCCAGACAGCCTCATGGCCAGTTCACGTTTGGTCCTGGCACACCGCTCCCTCAGCCGTCGCACTTCAGGAGAGAGCTACAGGTGTGGGACAGGGACGGGCAGGGCATGGGGGGCGGGTTGCGTTTAGCCACAAATGGCGAAGGGAGGAGAAAAATGTAGGGGGAGAGGAAATAGAAAAGGGAAACGGAAGGCAAAGTGATCAAGGCAAAACAAGCTACTCAACATCGGGAATTAATCACAAGCACAGAGAGTGAAAGCCTGGAGCACTGCTTTGGCCAAAGGGTTATGTTTGATGAGACTAATGGCCACTGATTTACAGAGGGGTGGGGGGTTGGGGGTGCAGGTAGTTTAGGGCAAGTATTAAAGAAGCAAACTCTGTCGCAGCTCTCCCAGGCTGCTCAACTTAAGCACTGAACTGAACAAGAGGAGAACTTCAGGTACACTTGGTGAAAAATTAATCGGGCAAGACTAATTAAAAACAATGTGTTTTTGATGAAGGCTGTGCTAGCCGAAAACTGTTGTGAGGCCCTAATAGTCAAGGTTTCTTCATTAATTGTACAACCAGTGTAGCTGAATCCCTTCTTTTGTTCAGTGGCCTGGGAAAAGCATGCCAAGAGAACTGTGGGGGGATTGTCACGCCACACCCTCCTGTAATTACCGGAGCAACTCATTTTTTGTCCTAGTACAACAAGCATTTTTCCCCCTTTGGTCTCCCTCCTTTCTCAAAGCATTAACTCTAGATTTTCTTGGATTACAGTGTAGTTACATCCATAAATAAACAACTTGAATATGTAAAAATGTGAAAAAGGTATAAGTCTATGCATTGATAATGATTTAACTTAGCAAAATAATTCTTTATTAGTATGACTGCAAATTTTCCCTAAGCCTGCAACGATGCATGCATGTTAAAGGCTGGTGAAGCATAAAGGAAACGCAGCACAATGTGAATGTGCACACAGTGCCATCATGTGGAAGACCAACACTCTGTAGCCGTGCTGCAGAGCACTGATGAACAGTATCCTTGGCAGAGAAGAGGAAAAGAGATCTGAGGCTTTTCAAACAGAAATGCCTCTTGTTTACCTTCATTCAACAATGAAAGTAGAAAGCCTAGACAGCCTGTTATTCATTTTTCATGGTCTTTATAGTTTCCTTCGAGTTCTATACATTAATAAACAACAACTGCGCTAGAGGAGCAGATGATGAAATATTCTCCTTGATTTTTTTGGAAACCAACCAAAACAACCTGGCCGGTCATGATGACATTTAAAATAAACAGAAAGGATCATTTGTGTTAGATAAATACATATTTCAGGAATGCATCCAGACAGACAGAGACAGAGACAGAGACAGAGACACAGACACACAAACACACAAACACACACACACACACACACACACACACACACACACACACACACACACAGAGTACCTTGCTCCTTGTTGGTATTTTGGCCTCGTTATCAGACTGTTCATCATAGCTCTCAAACTCACTGGAGCTCCACCCATTGTCTGCGTTCACAGGGCCACTGTCTCTCTGAACATCTTCATAAATCATATCTGCTAAACACAAATGTTACACATCAGAAGCTTCACACTAATTTTCATGGATGGACAAAACATCCTAAACAAACAGAATTCTGTTGCAGCTACTAACCTTCGTCAGGAGAGAGGGGGTCCTCACTTGGAACATCATCATAGATCACCTCTGAAGCTTCTGCCGTTTGTGGCCCAGCTTCAGCCGCACGTAATGCTGGCAGAGAAAACAAGTAGCATCAAAGTAAACAAACATTGTTTTTAAATGGAAAAATAGTGGTGCCTGTCTTCTACCTTTTATCTTCCTTTCTGTTTGATAGTTGCACCTCCTGTTGTTAGATCATTCTTTTAAATTTAACAACACACACACACACACACACACACACACATGTACACACAACTCCAAACTACATTCCCTGAATCCTTTTGGCAAAGCAGAATAGATAAAAGATGCCAGATCTTCTAGCCTCTGGTTAGGAATTTACACAGCCTTTGAACATTTACATACTTATTGTATCATTTGCATTTAAAGGTCTTTTTCCTCAGGGAGACCAGGCACATCTCTTGTGCATGTTGCTATAATGGCTTTGTCCATGTGACTCAACATGATTGTATCCAGCTTGTTTGAGCTATTGACCCATCCTATCTCTACGCTCGACAGGATTTGTCATTAACTGCTTTGAGAGTGTTTCAGCCTAATTTAGCTCAGTGAGCTTTATTGATTTGGTTTTAAACTGTGATTTGTCTGCAACACTTTCTCCTAAGCCCTGAACAGCAACAATCACTGTTTTCAATTAATCTGATTGGAGATGTGTATTCTGTCATGGATTATTCAGCAGTGTTCAGTCTAAAATTCGAAATAACCTTGGGCACAATCCAGGAGATGAACAAAGAGCAACTGTTTTTCTTCAAAAGAGGATTAGCTTCACAAATGTTCTTTATATCTCGCTCACTTTCCTTCACTGCATTCAGAAAGGATTCAGAACAGAGAAGAAAACAACTGGATTTGGGCTATCAGCCTGACTATCAGCATATCTGCAAAGTGACAGGGCCTCTTGGGAACATGGCTTGTTATTTCAAACATGGTTAACCAGAAGTTCCCCGCTGTGTTTTCTTACTTTGTTTAACTTTTCTTTACAGCAGCACAATGACACTCCAATAAACTCACTCATAGGTCACACTGACACCGCAGGCAATCACAAAAATACACTGCCATTATGAATATGTCCTAGTTGTTGCAAATGGGAAAGAAAAAATACATAGTGAGGCATGTGGAAATCAATGTTAGATAATCACATCACAATGTGCCATGACCACAATTAAGAAGTGAAGGGACATTGCTGCTTTTACAAACAGGAAATACTTCATTATTCATAATGATCCTTATAAAGTACATTCGGTCAAACTGAAACACAGTCCGTTCACACAAAAAGCTATTTCGTGCTCCACAGCAAAGTTTATACAAATGCTAAATATTTCAGTCTGGTGTTTGGAAAAAAGGATCACACATGAAAACACAAATGTAGCACTGTAATAGATTTCCCATTAAGATCAACGCAAAAGTAATTTATCTTAAGTTAGCAGCTTTTTCCACTTTCTGCATCATAATTTTAGATATTTGGAAGAGCGGTTTAATATAGTTTTATTATTCAGTTTAAATATACTGTACACGTTCAAAATGACAGGAGAGGCTGTGTGTGAAAATACATCAGAAGAGTGGGACATAAAAAATGTCATGCAGCATTGCAGGGCTCCTTTACATCTCTCATTTCTGAGCCACCTTCAAATAACGGCAGCACTGCTGACTGAGTCGAAATCCAAAAGCAATTTTCCCTCATGGAAATGGTTCTCTATTGATCCTCATCCTGAATTAATTGGATTCATGTCATGTCTGTGTAGAAATCAAATCATGGCAGAGAATGTGTGTGCACAAGCCAGTGTGTATTGTGTCGGTATGTGTGTGAATAGAGTGTGTACATGCGTGTGTGTTTGTACAAATTCATGTGTCCATACATATGTGTATATGGCCTCTTCCACCGTGGAAATCAATGAGCCATAAGATGGCTGTAGGTCTGTAATACACTGTTCTTGTCACCTTTGATCAAGGTCAAGAGATGCAATGTGCAGTGCTAACAAAATACTGGTGCACAATTTATTTTGTCAGTGTCATTATGGTGTGGTCCACTACTGTTTACGCAACTCTGGAGGCCCAGTTGGTTTTTTTTTTGGTTTTTTATCAGACCTGCTCGCAGCGTAAACACTTTAATACAGAGGTAGAATGAGCCTGAATCCCAAGGCAAGCTTGGGTTTAATCTTTCAGGTCTGAAATTGAACCCTTGATCTACAATATAAGGTAAATCATTCCTTGTCAATATAATTTAGTTCTGTACCTTCAGAGATGTCCCTCGAGCCGGTGCTTTCCTTGACGTTTTTTTTGCTGTGGTCTCCTGCATCAGCCGGCCTCTCCACAGCTGACGGCGCCACAGGAAGCCCCCGGAGCTCCTCTCCCTCACAAGGAGCTGAGGTACTGGGCTCGTCTGCTGCTGAGGCCCTGGAAGGTACCCAAACATTAGCACAGTTAAACTAACACTGAGTGCTGTGTGCCTCATTACGAGTTAATTTCAGCAAAAGGAAAGGGAGGCAGAGTGGCTAGAGGTGGGGGCCGAAATACTTCTTCGTTATCCAAACATGCAAACGCACACTCCCTAAGGTCTGACGGAACACATATTGCTGCTGTCAAATTATCGTGATGTTTTTGAGGCAACTTTTTTGGAACACTAGTTTTCCATACTGGCAGATGTGCATTTTTTCCTCCTCCAAGGACTTTTCTCTCCCTGTTTGTCTGTTTATTGGATAGTTAGCAGATATATGTCAAAACCCAATTAAAATATTTCAGTGAAATGTGTTGGAAAGTGAGGATATGGGCCAAAGAACAAGTGATTAGTTTTTGGTGCCAATTTGATCCATGTACAAAGTATAATTCACCTAAGATAGATCATCTTGTATACTGGATGATGCGCTCTTTTGGGTGCTTTTCCTTGCCCCATTTTTTCAGTGACATAATTGCGAATGCATAAAGATACTAGATACTGCACTTACTTAAATGGAAATGATCTGGCACATAAAGTCCATGACTGTCTACCATAATGTGTATTTTGATGCAATCATGCATTGAGAAAGAGATTAAACATTTCAACATTTCATTTTTTCCATTCACCAAATAATAAATCCAAAGGATTGTTCAACCTTGGTGCAGGTATGGGCTCTATGAGTGCTTTGTTTAATTTTTGTGTGTAGGTTTTGCAGGCTCTTTGGTAATGAAACTTCCCCACCCACACAGGCCTTTTAGTGAAACTGCAAATAGCAAATTATTCAGAATTACAAAGTGGATTCTTTTAGGTTATTATTTGTGACAACAATTTCTGCTACTTTATCCATTAAGTTGTTTTAATATCTCAGCTGTATGTGACATTAGTTGTGCTGATATACTTATTCAGAACAACTTTTGCAAGGCCATTTGTAAATATATATATATATATATATATATATATATAAAATCACACATCCTGCTTGTTGCTTGAGTTACCTAACTTACCCCTGAGCACTGTCAAATCATTATCTGTCATGCCTGCGGCTTACTATAATCACCACTGCCTTTTTGAACGAGAACATGGCCTGAACCAGCTACTAAAGCAGCCTCTGACATCACAGGGGAAAATATTGTTGACATAGCTATCGCATGGCCTGTGCTGATGCTGCCAGAGAGGGATTGTCCTCCCCCACATAACTGATAATATGACATATCCACCGTGTAGGAGAGTCCCACTTACACTAATTAAATCTGTCCCTCTGCTAAACACCACAGCAACAAACCAGTAGCAGCAGCCAGTCAGAATGATGGGCAACTCGCAGACAAACATGACACACCAGGAGGATAATGTGCATAAAATGCCATCATTTTGAACTGCTGGAGAGGCAGCCTTTCAGACACTTACTTTACATTAAAGTAGGAATAGAAGACGACTATCTGTATTCAACTATCTTGCAAAACATTATCTTTGCTTGTATGGTACAGCACCAAGTGAGCTGTGTATTATGAGTCAGAAAGAAAGGAAAGCATGCCTGGAGCAGACAAGGATAAAAAAAAAAAATAACAGTGGGCAGTTTGTAGCATTTGTGGGGCCACACACAGAATACTGATAGGTAAGACTCAGCACATAATTTACACTGTGTCAGAAATATATATGCATTTCTAAATTCACTTTATTATTCTTTGTTCATATTAGATATTTCTGAAAATCTCAATCAGGAAAGTAGCTCATTATTATTACAATCTCATCTAAAATTAAAGAATTAAAAAAAGTTATATGTACACATAACAATGTATGTTAATATCATTCTAAGATTAAGATGATAGCATTCAAATTCATGCAGCTATTTATAAATCTACTCCTAATTCTGGTTGTGTTTGTGCTATGCTCTCCCTGTTGTGCAATAAATGCTCACTACAAATCTAGAAGTAGATATAATACTCTGCCAACATGTCATATTACAGCTACTGATAGTAGCGATTTGGTTTTGCAGTGGTGTCAAGCTGCAAAAGACTGCCAAGTATTACTCTGCGGCATTCTCTGTGATGCTGGATGATTCATCTCAATCTAAGGAACAAAAATGATCTGCACCCACGTGAAAACAAAATAAAGAGCTATTTGTCAACACATTTCTTACAATAAACTGATCTTTTGTCATTAAAATTGCTTGTGTGCAAAAAGAGTGGAACCAGAACAATAGCTACACAGCTTGTCCGCCTCACTGTATGCATTCATGTCAGGTGTGAGTGATTTGAGTGGTGTAGCTATCGATCCAAGCATATCTTTGCACATCCCTTCCCAACTTATCTATGCCTATAAGCCCTGGTGAGTCATATAGCTCAAGGAGAGAAGCAGGAATCATTTTTCAATGCAAATGACACAGCCTGGGGCAGAGCACAGCCTAAAGTAGAAGCTGCCTGAATGCAAATCTCACACCGTTTCCATCCCCTTCAGCTACTGTGCCAGGGCAGTACTGCATGCCACCTGTTTGTCGCTTGTCGTCTCTCCCGGGCATAGCTGTTCTTTATAACTGCGCAAGCATTGTGCTGAGCATATTAATGGTTCTTAGTTTGTCCTCAGGTCATCAGACTCCCCCACGGACAACTGCCCACTCCTCACATTAAACCACAACGCACCCAGTGATACTGTATAAAGTTGTTCTGTACATGACAGACTCTAATTTGATAGTACTCAAAGTATTTGGTCCATGGCTTCTCATCATATTTTTATACATGTTTGTTTTTAATGCTTTTACAGCATCACCGTTTTTTCTTTTGCTTTCACAGCACATCCAACTGAGACAAGCACAACAAGGTGAGAGGTCAAAAAAAAAAGAAAAAAAAAATCAGCTGTGAAAAATAAATGTGTTCTGTAAACTAGATTAGATGAGTTTCTTTGCAAGGTCAAATCTATAAAGTTCTGCAAGGCAGTAAAGGGTAAAAAGGTGAAGGCAAACAAAGAAACTGTTGAACAATTGAAGTAAAGTTATACTCTCAAAGGTTAGAGATCTGTGTAAATAAAACAGATACATGCCACGTTGTCATGGTATCTCTTGTGTTAATCTCTTCACTGCTGAGGTTCCACGCAACGTGTTTAATGAAAACTATCTGTCAAGGGGTGAAAAGTGAAGTCAGGAGTAAATGTTGGCATCAAACACTGAAGCGTGTACAAAACTCACAGGAGAGGAATGCTGCCTTAAGCCTAATAGCTGTAACAAGCTGATGTGCTGTCACTGCAGTGTTAAGAAAAACCCATATTTCTGCAATAACAATCGCAAAGTAATTTAGGCAATATTATTCTAAAACTGCTGACAGATGTGGTGGATGTGCTGACAGTCCTAACACCTTGATGATGGAAAGTGCTATTGATAGCTCTTCTTTAAAAAGGCAAACTATTGACTAAACCAAAGTGGAAATGTGTACTCAGCAGAAATCTCCTTGCATGAGAAATTGCCAAGACCTCACTGTGACTCCATCACACACACACACACACACACACAAACACACACAAGCACACACATATGCAGTCATTCATGCACACACTATGCACACAACAGAAACATATACGCACACATACACACACGCTCACACCTGTGCACAAATGCAGGCCCCTCTTTTCAACACAGGAAAGCCCACAGGAACTCAACCCCTGAAGTCAACTATCAGTAGAGGTTTCTGAGCACACTTCCTAGACACACAGGTGGGGGGCTTCACCAAAATCAGGGCCCTTGCATGGCTTCGTCATGCAGCCAGAGAGGCTGAGGGATGATTCTGATAAGAACCCACGAGAGATTGCAAATATTTTTTCTGGTTTGCTATAGCTTAGATTATTACAAAAAATCACATCAAGTTAAAAAAACAAAAAAAACAACAAAAGTATGTTAAGGTTAGTATACTATATTATAATTTTGTATTACAGTCTCTGAATTACTTTAATATGTTTACCATTATCTGGTGGTTTAAGCCACTCAAAACAGATGGTAATGTGTATACCCTGTATGAAAGTGGTATAAGCAAGAAACTACTCTAATAGCATGTCAGTGTTTATTTCATTTTGTTGTAAACTGACTGAAAAGATCCCGATTGTTTGAGCCAATAAATTGGATGGCCACCCTCCTTATAGAGAGGAGCAGGCAAAAAGACAGTTGCCTTGGAGGAATCAATAAACTATCACCTTATCCTTAACTGTGCTGAGACCTTGGAGCAAACTGTCTTCTTGACTGCATAAAAGATGCAGACTGACTACTCAGCCAGAAATGTGTATTGAGACTACAGTTCATTTCACATTACCAATACTAAAGCCTTTGCATATCAAATGGATTTTAATGTTTCCATATGTGGATAAAGGTACTCTCATTCTTTAAATCCACAAATATGTTTTTTATGTTTCATCCAAAGCACAAAAAATAAAATTACCCCCTATGGCATAGAACCATGCAGTTTGTTTCAGTTTTATGTGGAAAGGTTTTGAGAAATCCACCAAGTGTCAGTTATTCTGGCTGATTAAACCTCAGGTTGAAGTTTCAGAGAGAACTATGTGAGGTCACCAGACTCCATGTACTAATAAGAATTATAAAAGTGTAATTTGTCCCACCTTAACCCATGTAGCAAAGCTAACAGGAGAGTGAGGGAGCTGTCACTGACACAGTCATACATGCCCACACAGTCTCGCAGGTCTTATCAGCCAAACTAATTGAAATGAACCTGAGTGCGGGTCCTTTAACTTGAGCCTCCACCCAAATACAATGAAGATTAATTGATTTTTATTTGTGCCACTCAAATCACTAAAAATGACCAAAAACTCAACAGAAACACATATTTCAAGAAACACTGTAAATTCAGGAGTGGTCAGTTCCTGTCATGTAAGTCATAAACAGATAAAATGCCTTTCTTCACAGTGGGAAAACACACTTTTAGGAATTTAGGAATTAGGACTGAACGATATGCAGACATGATCATATCGCGATTATTTTGGCAGATAATGTGACTGTGATATCAGTCACGATTTCAGTTGGATTGCTCATTTTCACTGATATAAAAAATAAAAATGATGATGATGTGATTTTTGCTGAGGTCTGTACCAAACAAGTATGTTCCTTTACATCTGGAGAATATGATTTGTAGGCCGGGGCATCTCTGCAGTACCACAATGCTTCATTTATGGTATGTCGTGACACATTTTACCTTTATCAACAAAAAACAAAATTGCAGCTCCAGCAATTTGGATATTGCACTTGGCCATAATACAATATTTCGATTAATTAGTCAGCCCTATTAGGAATAATAGTGGCTTAATCCGAATGAATCCGATTTCACGTCATTGACAGGTGTGCAATTTACATTTTGTTAATTGTTTTGGGTCCTCTGATACGACTAGTGACACTGCTACATTTGTTATGTTTTTATTGAGAGCAAATTTGTAGGTCTGCAGTGTGAAGTTCTTTTTACTCTTGCATGACATTTTTGTGAATGAAGCTTTCCCACAAATGAAGCAGAACAGGCAGCCTTATATTGCAATGTTAGGGAGCGATGATTATGCTAATGATGATCAAATCTCACAAATGCACACCTCCTCATTAACAGGTTCATCAGTCTGAAACAAGCAATTTATGACTTGTGCAGTTAAGGGAGATTGGTAATTCCAATTTTGGAACACTTGTATAAACAAGCCTCACCGACAAAAGGTAAGAGAATTTTAGGACATGAATACAAAAATGTTCTTGCATGAGACCCAATGTCCCAGCTGATAATCCTCACACACCTCACTGTCAACAGTTTACATTTGGACCATTTCACCTGTAGATAATGGTTCCAAATGCATTTTTTCAAGGCAAACATTTTTACACGTCACATCAGGAAACGCATAGATGCAATTAATATCATTGATTACCACTGCACTTGAGTTAAGTGTCGCAGTTGAAATTTCCAGGTTTGGAGATCCTGGCTCACTGGAATGGTTTATTGGGTCACTTAATTTAATTAAAGGGGCTATTTGTAAGTTTTCTCTGCCACCAAATGTGCTTTGTTAGTGGTACAAGAGGTTATAATACAACCTCCGAGCTTCACTACATATTCAGGGCAGACTGAAGGCTATAGTGAGTCGCTATTGGAAAGTGACTAGACAATCAGATAGCACTGGGGCTAACTGGTTAGCTTGCTAACTTCAGTAGAAGAAAAGAAGTGATAGAAACAAGAGTCAACTTTGCCGTTGCTTTCCACTGCTGGAGACAGTGGAAATGGAAGTGGAAGTAATTTCCATTTCCCTCCACTGTATTGGGGTGGCAACAGAAATCTTAGAGATGGACACTTGGAACTTAAGCAGAGAAAAGTAATTGTATTTGCATGGCTACATACCACTGGGGTTACATGGAAAAATATATCCGTTTGTGATTTGAGTGAACTGACTTCATTCATCTGAACACTGCATAATGGAGTATAAACAAGGCTCATCTCATCATACTGTATGCATCATCATGAATTAGGCAACCCTGTGATTTCCCTCTAGAAATGTAACAGCAACATCACTTTATACTTGACATTACCACCTCTAACTGTGGGCGGGACATGCCATCTGTCATATAAATGTTGTACAAATAGATGCAGCGTAACATCACAGCATCGTATACCCACTGTGGTGTGTTTGGATGGAGTGTAAGCATGACATTATCTCAGACATAATGACATGACACTGATGTAGTGTGGTGTGGTGTTGAGTTTACTTTCTCCACCGCCCTTTAGTAATTTTCCCCACACTGTGATAGGAATCAGAGGCAACTTACCAGCTGGGTGACTCAGTAACTGGAACATCTGTCAAAATGAGGAAAACAGCAACCATGAGAAACTATTCCAAAGAAAAAGGAAACACTTTTATAAAAAAAAAAAAAAAAAAGAAAAATAACAACTTTGCCTGATTTTTTTAAAAACACAATTTGAAAAGCTGTGAGCTTGTGTTGTGACATTTACTCTCTTTTACTTCTTGTATGCCGTAGAACTTTTCAAAATATAAAAAGTTAACTACCAAAAAATTAATCACACTTGCTTACAAAAGGAAAGATACCTGCTTGTTAAGATGATGAATACAACTGCTGAGCAAGTGTTAGTGAGTCTGAGACAATTAAGTAGACAGTGTAGGTAGGTAGTCACAAATAAAAACCGATATTGTATGGTGGTACTGTGTTGTCAAAGCATAGGTAGGTGCTGTTAAACAAATGTCATGATCGATTTCCTTTGGATTCCACCATGTAAACTCATGTCATCTGGTGAGGGAGGGAATCAGCTGCTCTCAGCCCTCAATTACATAATAGACCTCCACTACACTCTATTATCAACGCCCAGAATTCCCCTATGCATCTCCACAGCCCACTTAACGGATTACCACACACAGACTTGGTAAAAAAAAGCTTTTTAATTAAGCACTAATCACTACACTTTGTCCAAAAGGACTTGTCCAAGACCTAAATCTCCCTCTTTATCTGGGATTGTAATTACCAGGACCTGTTTGGCAACATTAGGCAGGTAGTAAATATACCATACTTACATCTGCATAACTCTGGTTATGAAAAACTGATCAGATTACAATAAGTAAATTAGAAATATCAAATTCACATTTTACAACCAGCTTGCCATAGACAGGTTTTTGTACAGTGATGAAGAAGGTAGTGATTCAGTGTTCAGAAAGATGACAGTGTACAAGTTCAGAGGATGGAGCGTGTTCATTTTGGTTACAGCGTAGCAACTCTAACCACAAGCCTATATCAAAGTAATTTCATTCAATTTCCCAGTATCTGATATTCCCCAGTTTGCCAGATGGGAAGAGGACAATTCTCCACCTTTGTGGACAATACAGCTGTATTCTATTCAACTGGTACTTCAGGGTTTTTTTTTCAATTATATATTACTTTATACATCTACTTCACTACATTTTAGACATATTTATTGATTCTGCCTACATTTAAGCTTATTGTAGCTAGTAGAGGTGGAGCCACTAACTTTAAGCCCCTGCATGCCCACATTCCCCCCACACAGGTGTTTTCACTTATTGTGTTAATTCCCCCATCTAATGTTACAATATACTTCTATTTTACTACATTTCAGAGGTATTTATTTATTTCAGTTACATTTATTTGTCACTATATAAACATTTGAATCCAAAAAATTTTATCAGCTTACTAAATATGACTCTTTGCCAATAGGATTCATTGCACAACAAAAAAAAAAAAAGTTTAGAGAACAGATAGTTTCATCTCTACAAGCGACAACATTCAAATATTGCTTACGGGTAATGCATAAATATTTATAGTCCAATATTAACAAAATACAATTTGTTTAATAAGACAACACTCTAAATAAGGCTATACATAATGACGTGTTTGAGCATCTGTCCAGTTAGCCGGTTCCAGACTTACAGCTTAGCTTGGTGCCAACTAAAGCTGGCTGTGAAAGATATCAGAGGTTTACCTCTAAACTGATGGCTGGTTGTTTCCACAAACTGTTAGTCTCTGCAGCTGTTAAATACAGAGCAGACGAGTGGGTGTGCTAGTTTTGAAGATGCTAAAAGGCAGCTTTCGCAGAGCTACCGTTAAGACGAATAACGGAAGGTAGCGAGTAATGTTGAGAGACTTTACGGAAGTCGTCGAGGTGTGGAGGGGGAGTAAACCTATTTCAGTTTTTTTTTTTGTTTGTTTTTGTTTTTGTTTTTTTGAAGAGCCCTTTCCACTTTCAATATGTTGAAATTTTAAAATGTTAAAATACTAAAACTGTAGACCTATTAGTGCAGCTAATTTTACATTAATAACTGCACAAATATTTAAAGATATGTACCACCATTTAAACATTAACATTATTTTCAGTTAGGGATGAGTAATTGACGCTAATTATATACTAAAGGTTTTAAATTCCACCCTATGGTATTGGTATACTGATGTACTGAGACACCAAAGTGATTTTTTTTAAAAAGTAGTATTCCTGAAAATGTGTTACCTGCAGTAGAAATTGATTCTACATCCTTGGTGGGAATGCCCTCCTGTCCAGCAGCTGGTGAGGTTTTGGGAAGCTGTGTACTGTCTCTCTGTGCTGTCTCACTGTCCTCCTTTTTTGACGCCTGGACAGAGCTGACACAGGCCGAGCTGATCCCTTTACTGTCCTGAAGTTTCTCCTCGTCCGTGCTGTCCTCAAACACGAACTCTTCCCCTTGCTCCTCGTCTTCCTCCTCTTCATCTTCCTTTGGTGGTTGCTGAGATATTGCAGTCGACATAATTCCTGAAAAAGTGACACAATTTTGTTCACCCATTTGAGTTAAAAGTGACCCCTGTGGTGAAAAAAATATGTATACCACATAATCAAAACAAGATTTTTGTATTGAAAAAGATAAGGCACCTTAAAGATTTGAGTGACAGAATGCTACAATATTAGAAATACTAAACAGTGAAAATAATGAAGTTTTGCATCCCTTTTCTCCTGCGTTTAATGTGAACCTAGGAGATACTGCTTGAATTCTACTGTGACATTAAGACTGTTTAACCTCCACTACTCATCTGGATGAAGGCAGAAATGTAAATGGACTGCAGGAGAGGAGTGTTGTCTGGTCTTTATAAACATAGAAAAGCTGCTTAGCAAAACAGTAACATGTAAAATAAGATAAATATCAGTGTTGTACTAAACAACACTGACCTGAAATGAACTCCTCACCCCACACTGTGTTCACAGCAAAACATTAGACTGAAACTCTCACACCTCTTGTTTTATTGAGAGTGGATAAAAATACCCTAAGTTGAACAACTTTTTTCAGTTTGACATAAATGAATTAAACAACTCCACGTTTCAGGTGCACAGAGAGAGACGCTCCCAGCACCATAAACATGACATATGGCTGTTGGAAAGACTGTTAGTTAAATCAAAGAGTCTGAGGAGGCTTAGTGGCAGATTAATTAAGATATCCACACACCCACTGATGAAAACATGTGCCCTCAATTATGTGAGAGGCTAATTTCATCTTGTCTTATCAACGAAAACAGGTATAACAGCAGCCTAGATGTTTTAGGAATTCATTTGAAAAACAATCAAAATATATCAATACAGTCATACATTAATTGCAAACACATGACAACAAACGAGCATGTAAATTGCCAGCTGTAACCATGGAAGTTAGATTTGTTGTTAGTATATTTTCAAAATAAAATGGAAATTTTCCATGACACACACACATACCATGAAGGTATTAAATTGCTGTAATTGTTTCATTATTTTTACAAAGTGGGGATTTTCTATGACACACAGGCTGACTGTTTCTGTACATGTTAGTATTAGCACTCCTGCAGCCGGCATCTGCTTTGCATTTTGATTGGCACTGAACTCCTTCCAGTGCTGGAACACTGTTGGGCCTGATAGGACAGTTTGTCAGGCTCCTTCTGGAAAATAATAGCATGGAGCAGAGGCGGCTGAGCAGGCTGCCTGTGCGGGAAAACATCCCTGGAACATGCTGCTTGTGGATTGTTAAAATTCATTGTCAGCACTTATTGTTTAACCTGGATACAAGGGCTGTCATGATGTCAGTTACGGCTCTCATTATCTTTTACTACTGCTTGCTGACAGCTCAGTCTGGACATGATGTTTGTTTGCATTGATGTTCAGGAGCAGTGATGGCTTTGAATCCTGAATTACCACCGTTTGTGTTTGTGTGTCTTTAAATTACATAGGAGTTTTATAAACAAAACAGCGCTAGCTTCTTAAGAAATTTTCTTTTCTGTTTTGTTTACAAGTACAATATGCTGCCTTTGGACCCAGTTACCTCCCCTTTGCCACAAACACAGTTTCTCCAGTCATCCCACTCATTGGTCAAATCAACAATGACTCTTTTGTGGAGGGAAAACTTCTGCTCAGCCTCAGAAAGCATTGTTTCTACATTTCGTCACTGCAGCACTGATTAGCTCACAGGTCATCTGGACCATGGCTTTGCTCTCTATGGTATGGCTCATACAAACTCAGTGTGGAGTATAGCAGCATCCTCTTTTGAATGAATTTTTAAAAACATAAGGTATAAGGTTTAATTGAAATTAATGCCACTATCCTTCCACAGATGGAAGCCATGCTTATGATGATGGTATTGATATTTTCACATTGTTACAAATCAAGACAGCTGGTGCCTTGTCTAAAAGTTCAGTTTGCTAATACTAATCCAAAATCTGGAACCCAAAAGTTTTTCACTTCCTCAGAATCCGAAATGACAGGTATTCTGAACAAATGTCTTTGAGGGAAGGCGTTTGGACAAGCCATCAAACAGACTCCATCTTGGAAAAATAAAGAGCCCCGGGAGTGGTGCTGTGTGAAAGCTATTCTTGAGGGGAAAATAAGATACATCACAGAATAAAGATGAAACCAACTCCTACACACCCTGTCCCTGACCTACATAGAGCTCTCAAAACTCCACTGCTGTGTACCAAATGTGGTAATGAGTCTGTCGAATGTGTACAGAGGAAAGTGAGGTATGTGTGCCCTTTCCTTCGATCCGAGGCAAACCAGGTCGCACATTTGCAGTGTACATCCTAACTGGAAACATCAAACGTTATATTATATCTTGTTTTAAATGTAGTAGTTCTTGGATTTGCATATTTAGTGGTGTTTTTACATATTTATATTTGCTCCGTCATTTTCTATCAATTCAAATTGTGCAGTCTTTGATTACTCAGTCGGATGTTGTGGGTACTTGGCATCCGATTTATGTTGCCTGATTCCATCTCAGCTCCCTATTGTACTTTTATTTATTTCACAAATGCAGTAAGGATGTGTAATCTGCTTTAAAGAACAAAATTAAATTACAGGGTTTAAAAACAGAATGATCAAAAAAAAGAAAAAAAGAAAAAGGGTTTCCTAAACCAGTAACTGTATCCAAAGCTTTCAGTCAGGATTTTGCAAATCTGCTGGGCTGCATATTTAGTTCTAGCCAATGATTTACAGAGAGCTATGTTTGACCAACTACAGACAAACCTCACAGCCATTGGTCAGTGGCAGTCGGGTATATCAATAGACAACGGTAGAGAACAGCAGCTGGGGATGACTGAATAAACAGCACTGAAAAATCTTAACAGAAAGCCACTGAGAGAACCCCCACTTTAGGGTTTTCCTTAACAGAAAATGGCACATAAACACTCCACAGACAATGAGAGAGCAGTGGACCATTGACAACAACAAACAGTGCCAGGCAGAGATGATTCTGCTCCTGGCGCTTGTTCCTTCTTCAGCTTCCCCGAGGACTTCCTATCGAGAGATGCAAATGTGACTCGGCCAATTTAGGAACTGCAAACAGCTCCTTGAGAACAGACGGAATATGTCTTTCTTTGGCTGTCAAAAGGCATAACAATTTGAGTGGGAGGCCGTTCACAGACATTTGTGGATTTCATGGATTCGCTTTTTAAACACAGCGTAGCCCTACCAAAGATTTCTCAACACAGAAGAAGCTAAGCCTATTGCATTATATATTATGAATGTTATGAATATATTAAATTTAACTTTAAATCAATTCCTGAAGACTGTGTGCCAAAGGCCACGTGGGATATCACATCACACTACCAAAAAAAAACATGACAAGAGGGTTATCTATGCATATTTGAGAGAGTATGTTTCTACTTTCCTCCTGGTTTACCGTCATGTTGCCACTGTTAAGACATTCAGGGATATATTATTTATTCAGGAGGCAGTCTGGCCTTCATACGCCCTCTGCTGTAGAGGGCAAATCCACTAATGTCTGTCCACAACAGCAGTGATGTGCTGGTGGAGTCACCCTAGTCAAGGACACAGTGGGAGTAACCTCCACCTCCCATCTGCCATTTGTGCTCACAGCATAATAGTGTACTGGAATGGGTGTGTGTGCTGTACTGTACAAACAATGAGCAGACATAAGAATGTCCTGAATGTGTTGACCAGACAATGTTTTTTTTTAATCCAGAAAAATACTTTTGAAAGCAATAAAATAAATACATGTCCAGGTCAGAGGGGTAAAAGTAATTTCTTTGAATAATTCTGACACACAGTTTTTCAGCACATGGCATGTTAAAGATGTGAAATCCTGTAACACAGTGACCATAATGTTGTATCTGCAGAGGCTTTGCTCGGGTCGTTGATCACTGCTCAACAAATCAACAAATACCTTTTATAAGAGTCAGTGTTTCCAGATTTTCTGGATTTCAAAACCCAATCACACTCCGTCTTTTCCTTTCTCCCACTTACTTTTATCTTCATCCACATCATTGTGCGAAACCATTGTTATTTTTCACAGTATTATAATATATTATGATACCTCTAAACATCTTGCTACATCATTACTACCATTAGCTGTCTTAAGAATCCATCAGTGGGTGGAGGCTGTGAAGAAACTAAGTATAGCCACTAGGAATTAATGAAAGTCATCAGTTACTTAAAGGACTGGCAGGTACTCCTCTACCCTGGTGTCTATTCAGATGTTAGACAAGTGTGGCCGCCAAACTCATCTGGTATATCTCAGGCAGATATCTATATCCTGTCAACATGCTACATATAAAAAGGGATACACCAGCAATTTAGTATCGCACCTCTGTGAAGTTTCAGACGAACTGAAAAAAGAAATGGGAGCAACAGAGGTCGGGAAGCTCCAAAAACAAAGGATCCTACACTTCTCTCACTGCAGTGGTTTTCAAACTGCAAGGCGCGACCTCCCCAGGGACGACGCAGGAGAGTTGAAGCGAGGGCGCGGGAGGGAGAACCGTGGGGCAAAGAGAGGTGAAAGGAGAGACGTGAGGTGAAGACAGGTGAAAGGGACAGGTGCACTTAATGTTCTGGAAACAATGAGTTAGTTATCGTGGTTTGACCCGCTGATGCTCACTCATCAACACAGCAGTTGGAGCTGCAGCAGTGGCTGTGAAACAGCTCATGGATGTAAATAAGGTACTTTAAACCCCATAGTGCCCCTGATTGTTGCAGGTAGCATCAAAGTTCATATCTTTTCTTAGTGTCATAACACAGTCAAATCTAAACACAGAACATTTTTTTTATATTCAGCGTGACCTACACTTCACAAGGGTACAATTATCTCTCAAATAAATGTCCATAAATACACTAAAACTTTGAAAACTCCTGCCTTAATGCCACCCACAGTCAGACACTCCCTGTCTGCCACATGCCCATGCCTTTCAAACTCCACACTTCCAGGTTCCAAGCCCAAGCCGAGATGTCATCATGGTTATTTCCTCAGACTTGACACAGTTTCTCCAGAACCACAGAAGACTCTATACTGTTTTCACATGCTTTCACATGCTGCGTGATCCTCACGACACATTAATGGGGAAAATCAGTCTCATTCTCCTTTCAGATACGGGATTTTAGTGATCCAAAGATGATGCTTTTTTTCCTGCTAATTCTTACTTTACATGAAAGGAAAGCTGAACAGTTTTTCATAAACTTTCACTGAAGCTTGGTAACTGTCAGACTTCACCTGTTATAAGATCAAATATTTAATGTTGTGTTTTGAATTTGTATGATGATGCTATATGATGTGTCTCATTGATTTGTCCCTTGTCCACATAAATACATACTGAGACTAAAGTGTACAAACTGAGGTGACTCTATTCTCCGCTGTAAGTCAAAGCTCCAGGAAGTTTCTTCTGAGTGCTGATTCGGTGTCAGCCACTTCCTCTGCCTAATTCAGCCTGCTCTTGCTCTAGCACACCAGTGTCACTGCAGTAACTGCAGCTGGGTCCACAGAGTACAGAGGGACAATGGTTATTTGAACTACACTCGCACGGATCTAAAATGTGATATGTAAACTGCCTCTAACAATTCATTGTGTCTGTTTGAGTTATTGTGCAGCTTCAGGTAGCAAGGCTAACTTTCACTATCAGTGCAAAAGAGGCATGTCTGCTCCTCTGATGTACCACTCAAATGAGATATCATAACATAACAAATGAAAGTGTTCAGTTGTTCTTCAGGAAGTGTCATACAATGCTTTTAATACTGGACAAATTAAATCTTCCTACAACTTGATGTGAACTCAGGCCCTGGATCTCAGGAGATTATTATGGGTTATTCTTCAGACCAGTGCGGTTTAGTTGCTTTGGCCTTGGAGTTTGTTGTCAGAGGAGCAGACAGGAAATAATACAAGTCATGTTTGGGCGACATGCCACAAGTGCAACAGGAAAATACTGTAGATAGGCCTTGACTTATAAACATCCCCGAATTCCTTCTGCTGGTTAATTACCTGCCATTCCCAGTGGACTGTACATCACACCAGTAAACATTTTGACAGGTGTGTTTTCTAATATCAAATAACTTGTTGTGTATCCGAGCACCAAGGCCTTGCTATACATATGATTCCATGAGCGCTAGTCTTAATGGGTGAATGTGTGGCGAAAGGGAGAGAGTTCCCATTGATAGTGAAGTCTTTGTGGTAGCTTCAGGCCATGCATGCGTGGATTGTTAATGTCTGTTGGATGTGGTGGACTGTGACTAAGGAGAAAAAAATCTGATACAGTGAGTCCATGGAGTTTCTTAAAAGAAAGGCTCTTGGACATCCGGCAAGTGAGGCAGAAACAGTGCTCTAGCTTAAAATGCAAATTACTTGGTCAGAGGTCCCATAGTTCCCCCCCTACCCCCCGCCATCACCCCTCTCCTCCCTGTCTCCCCTCTCTATTCTGCTCAGAGTATAGAGGCAGCGTGAAATCCATCCTGGGAGGGGCTATTGTACTCCGGGAAGCAACCGTCAAACTGGAATGGTTAAGACCAGGCCCAGGCCAGGGGATCTCTTTTTATAGCCCGAGGCTTTGGGAGAGCTGTGCAGTGCTGCTGAAAAACAGCCGGCCAGAGGCGTGGGTCTGGGATGAGCCGGCAATCTCTCACTCATCCTTCCTGGTGTCTGTCTCAGGAACTGCTGCTATCATAACAAGGCCTCACGCTCTGTAGCCTCGCCGGCTCTGTGAGGCAGACTCAGGTTTAATCGTCCATGATGGTGTGTACTCTGCCAAAGGGCCACACGGGTATCTACCATTCCCATCCTCTCCTCTCCTGCTCCACCTTGCCTTGTCCTCTCAGCTGCCCCTGTAGCTGTCGGACTGAGAGACAGAGAGGCACAAAACCAGCACACCCACCCACCCCCCACTCCACTCCATCAATAGCCCCCTTGGACAAAGCTGCTGTCTTTGCAACATGCTAACCATGCTGACAGAGAGGAGGGAGAAAGAGAGGAGATAGAAGGAAGGAAGGAAAGAGGGAAAGTGTTTGGAGGACAACAAATATATATGCCTCTCACCTCCTTGTCCTCAGTAGTGTGTCCTCCGAGAAGCTTCAGGCACTCCCTGGTGACCCTTTAATCCTGGTAGCCTCCCATAAACTCTCAGTTTTTACCACACTGCCAGGTCCAGCGCACTCATCTTTACAGTGTCCTGTGAGGGTTGCGAGTGGCTGAACACAGATTGGAATTCTCCTGTGCTGTTTACTTTCCCACAACTTCTCCCCTGCACCGTGTGCACTAGCAGCTCAGATGAGGTAACCCTCTTTGCTCCCTCCCCTTTCTCTCTGCCTCACTCGGCTCTCTGGTTCCGTTCCTCCCTCTATCTTGCCTCTCTGTCCCTCTCTTTTTTAGATGGGTCTATACCCCCCTTCAGCCCCTTCAGTCCCATGCTATCCTTTCTTTGGTTTTCTCCCTCCTCCCACTCTCCAGACCCCTGCTGCTGTCCAGACAGCAGCACAAAGCAGGGTGAGGGCACTAACACAGCTGGCCAATGGTAGAGTGACAAAGTTAAGCATGCGGCCAATGAAAAGCTTAGGGGGTGGAATTTGCTCCAATCAGGGGAGACAGTCAGAACAAGTGGGTTGGACAAATGGTATTAGGGCCGATGCAGTCTCACAGCACTTCCTGTGTAGGACTGCAGGTGTGTGTGCACACACTGTACTTGAGTCATTTGCACAATTTTCTTATTAATGGCTGAGATTATTATTATTATTATTATTATTATTATTATTATTATTATTATTATTATATCTAGAAGTTCATTTAGAGGATGCACATGAGCACAATAAGATCGCATCAGGGTTCATTCATTCACCCACTATTTATCTACTGTTTTACAGTGGGTTTGGTTTATTACTTTGGGCCATACATTTGCAAAATTAATAGTTATTTCATAATTTGATAGTTAACACTAACTAACAACTAACTTAGTTATTTGAATACCTATGATTTAACTTAAAAATTCATTATGTTTCAAATTATTGTATAAAAATTATGTTTTATATTTTTGTGTATAAAATCTTAATCTGCTAAGTAACTAGCAACTACAGCTGTCAAATAAATCTGGACTGTAGTAGAGTATAAGCATAAAGTAGCAGAAAGTGTAAAAGTGTGATGAACTGCAGTACTTAGCTGAATGTACTTAGTTACAGTCCACCACTGATGTTTTATAGTCATGTTTTTAGTCTTTAGACTGTTCTGTGACTCTGCAAATGAATGGTGTCCGTCTGCTATTTTTGACCTTTCTTACTACACCAGTGCTTCTATTTCTGCCTCTAATCACATTTACAGTACTGCGGGCTCAGGCAGCTTGTGGCATGCAGCAGTAGAAGACGCTGCACAATGAACCTGAGCTAATGTGTGAGGTCAAGTCAAGAAACAAAGCTCAGTTGTTCACATGCACGTCCTCATTCATCTGCAGACTGACTGCAAAGGAAACACAAAATCACACAATCTTACTGTTGTCCAGAAGATTTATTAAAACACATTGAACAAATACACAGAATACAAATAAAAAGATGACAATTCACTTTTTCATTCAATTGCTATACAGCACAAATATCAGAACCATAACACTGCTTGGAGCTCATTGTCTGTAAATGCTAGATACACTACCGTCTCCCCAAAGTGAACCGTCATATCAAACGCTTCACATGCTGTGCATTCACTGCAACAAAGGTGCCTTTTATCAGGGTCTTTTGGTAGCTTTTGAAGCCATGTTAATAAGCATGTACATACATTGTTAACATATTTATAATATTAGACTGAAGCCTTTTTTTTCTAACAGACGTTACATTCATACTGACTTCAGTTTGATTGCATTTGATTGCAGTATGTTTTCGATGTCATCTCATGGTCATCGCTCCAGAGGGAAAAGACATGATTTTGATTGATGAGCACATGTGGTGCACACTGCAGTTCTATGGCAACACCACCCAGCAGACATTCATCTTTTTTCACTTTGATACATAAATCTATAGGAGATGGACTTATCTCTGAAAAATCTTTCAAGTATTTACATGTTTCTGAGGTTCTATCTGTCAAGCAACCTAATACATGTCATGGTCAAGTAATTGATGAAATGAACAGAAACACAGTGAACAGAACAGCACTGATTAACACTAACAAAGCGCAAAAAACCAATATGACATACTTCAAGGTTCATCTCATGGTGCTTTCAAAACGAGTCGGGTAATGTTTTGCAACTCAGTTTTCTTACTTAAAGCATATCTGAGAATTGGCGAGGAGGTTGCAGTCACACAATCTAAGTAAGTGAAAAGGGGTCAGATGAGAGCACCTCAGGACAATCATTTGAACTGGCAAAAAGGAGAGTAAGAAAATACGCTCACCAACTCTATACAACACTACCTCTTCAGTTTAGGTTAGTCCAATCACAATCATCATCTCAACAATGTTAAATAAGTGCTGTGGCAATGGCAATAATAATACAAACAGGTAATGCCACTGGTCTTTGGAAAAAGAAAGAAAAGAGACATGTGTCAATAAGAATTTGCACTTTGAGTCCAAACATTCAAACAATGCCTTCATAGAAAAGGAAATATAGTAAGCTTGAATTTATAAAAGATTGTTTTACGTAGTGGACTGTCACTTCAGCACATTATAATAGTAGATGGAATGGAATGGATATGTAGCTGTACCATGCTAAAGTGCCTTCACACCAGGTAAAGTGATAGGCGACGACAGACACTTCTGAAAGAACCAAAACAGAACTGAGGAAGCTGGAAGTGAAGACATCATCTACGAGTAATGTTGTGCAACATTGGTCCTTAAAAAGCTGATACACAGAGAATATTCCTTCAAATGTAGGTTCAGACTGTGACACTACCAATTACAGTCTTCACCTCTGTGGAGGAAATACACTGCATCAAAGAACAAATCATACTGGATCATCATCTTTAATGGCACCAAATACATCTAATTTTTACCTTAACGTAAAGAGAAGCAAACAAAAGCTCATTTTGCGACAAATACAAGACTTAAGGTGACATTGCGCCATAAGGACTTTATGTTTCTTATTCAGTTCTAACAATGAAAGGGAACTGGGAAAGTCCCTGGGATGTAAGAGGAAAAAAAGCCACTCTCCACTCAGGACTGTGTTCTCAGTTAGGCCTGAACATTAAAGCCCTCTATGTGGATGTAGACCAGATGAGTTCCTGTTTATAGTGCAGTCCCACTGGTCATGGCCCCAGGGTTAAGCTCTATAGCCACTACTAACATTCAAATATAGAAAGAATCACAAATATTGTACCATACACAGAAATACTCAGTCTTCTCTGAAATGTGTTAAAAATCATTTTTGCCTCAGCCACAGTTTCTTCTGCTCTGCCCGATCTTCATATATGATACCAAGCCAGGCTTCTGATTTCATCCATGTATGTATACATATTTCACTATGATTAGACCTATGTGAGGTAAAATAAACAGCAGTCTCTGAGTATATACAGTACAAGAGGCCAACCCTAACAGGTACTGCAGTCAAGTGTATCTGCAGGTTTGGCAGAAATGACTTTCTCCAAATTACCAGTGGGTGGCAGTCTTTAGAGGATTCAGACAGACTGTGTCCAGCTACTGCATACATGAGAATAGTTTTTGATGCTTTCAAAAATCAATACTTCATCCACTGGTTACTACATGAACAAAAAAAACACTTATTCATTTAAAGTAACAATATCAGCCCTCAAAAAAAAAACAAAAAAAAAAAAAAAAAAAAAAAAAAAAACTATCTCCTATCAAACCATGACTGAAGACATCATTGACTCCACTTCCTCTTCACAGAGAAAAAAGCTCCAGTGGGGCACAGTCACAGTGTACAATGATTGGGAAGATGGTTAAAAGCAGCAGAGTGCGCGCAGAATGAAACGGTCGAGGCTGGCACGAATAAAACACACATTCCAAGATTAGAATGAGCCCCAAATAAGAGCATCAGAAACTCAGTACTGCCAACTTGCTTGAGTTTTGCCTTGCAGTGAAGGGCTGAAAAAAATTCCTCTGTCAGGAAAGCTGCTCCTTTTTCCCTCCTAATCTATGATCCTCAAAAGATAAAAGTGCAATTGTTAAGATAGATACATCTGCATTAATCAAAAAAGTTACATCGCCTTAACCGTAGACAGCAGAGAGCTTGATTTTGTAGATTTTAAAGTCAGGAAGGAGCAGGAGAAAGAGGACGATGTGGCGCAAGAGATGGGCGGCTGTCATCCATACAGATTCCATCCCTGGGAGTTTCTGACCTCAGGTCAGTGTTACAGAGCTCATCTAGTCCTCAATGCAGATGACATCACTAGGTTTGCCTGACTTGAGGTCAGGCGTAGCCACGTCTCTCAAGGAGTCAAGTGACTTCTTGTCCAGATGGCTTGTGGGGGGTGGGGGACCGTTAGAGGACACTAGAGAGGAAAGAGATTGAATATTTAGGAGTTCACAGTCTGTGTTTAACCGTTCTTAGCATAGAAATGTGAGATGTAAAATGTTTTGATTCAATGACTTACAAACAGAACGAGTAACTTCAGCATCTTATCAAAATTCAAAACTCAAATTCAAATTTAATAATTGTGTGCAATTTGTGGAAAGATCCTCTTAATCATATGAAAAATATCTAATATCTAGTGTGTCAAAAGGATTACTGGCAGCAGCAAAAATCAAGACTTTCTTATAGAATATTCATTGTGTGTTTGCCAATAAGGCCTCGTTCAAATGACCAAATTACAGTTAACAATTACCAGAATTTAAGTGGCATGAGCAACCCCCAACCTCTCTCCCCCACCTGTTTGATGTCATGTGTTACTGTAAATGTCGATCCTTACCGCTGACGTACGGTCCCAGAGGCATCTGACTGTAGTTGACCATGGGCTGTCCCCCCGGTCCTCTGAATCCTCCACCAAAGCTGCTGCTGTACATCTGGGAGCAGCCAAACCCGCCCTGGCTAAAAGGCTGAAGAACGCACATGAAGATCCATTACCCTGCTGCACACTACACCTTCACGGGACTCATTTATAGAATAATAAAACAAAAAGGTAAACCTATTACAGTGACACAATAGGTGTCCAGCAGATGATGTTGCTTCTAAATATTCAGCAGGTCTGACTAGTTTTCTTCTTACAGTGGGAACACAAGTATGTAAAAAAAAACAAAAAAAAAAAAACAAAGGAAAGCAAGTCAGATTGCCTACTGTTTCCCTGGTTACGACAAGAGTTGGCATAGCAACCAAAAAAAACACACATTCAATTGTGGAGAACAGGTGCAGTAGAGATAAAAGTAATGAGACAATACAGCCTCTGTTAAATCCTTTGGGACTGAAGCGTGGAGCTGAGTGGTGAAAGTAAACAACTGCTTTTTTCACATTACACCTGGGGAAACTCTTCCATGGGGGATAGCGAGTCTCCACAGGTTTTTGAAGGAATAATGTGGTTGCGGAGTCATGAGTATAGAAATATTCACAGTTTTTAGGCCATGGCCTTTTCATTTCATAAAAGTCCTGTCACACATTTTAGTGAGCCTTGTTTCCTCACCCTTATGAGCCTAATGAGCCTCCACTGCAAAGTAATCACCAGCAAAGTCCAAAACATTGATGAAAGAGTCTAATAAATCTCCAATAAGTTGTTCCTGGACCAAATAGCTGAATTCTTACTTTTAGAGAGATTAACTAACATAACCGCAGTACTACATTTCAAGACCTATGGTTCCTGTTATTTTCTCGCTTTGGAAACTTTTGTAAAGGTGACCAATAATGAACTTGGACAATTTCTGGCACTGAGCCCCCATAGATACAGTATACAGTAGGTACATCATAAATTAAGGACATATGAAATTTCTGTTAGCTACAACTCTGTCACTGTTTTGTTTTTGTTGTTTTGTGTCTTTACTAAGGTATACTTTAGTGTGTATGTATCTGTATGTGTAAGTGTGTATGAGTGTGTGTGTGTACATATACTGTATGTATATGTGTGTATGTGTATATATGCATACAAACGTATAATTTGTTTTTCTTCTCGCTTCTTGTGTTTTGTATTGTTTACGTGGGTGCATGGGGGCGGACGGAAGGGATGGGAAATATCTAGATACTCAGCGTACTATTATGTTTGAAGGTTCATTCATAGGTGATTGCTGATTATTGAACACTGATACACTGATTATGAAATAAAAAGATGTGAAAGATGAAATAGAGAAGAAATCTCTCTCTTACAGTGCTAAAATGATGTCTTACAACAAGTCCAGATGACTTGACTCTTGTCTATGAGGAAATAACACAGAAGAATTGTTTGTTCTTGAGTTTGAGTTTTCCCAAAGTCACCTCACCTGCTGCGGTGGCGGTTCGCTGCCTCTGCTGGTGAGGCGGCTCAGGATGCTCCTCTCAGACATCTGCAGGCGGGCCGATACCGGTGGGATCCTGGACAACATGTTGGGCAGTCGTGTCACATCTGCTTTCATGTCACTCAGAAGTTCCTCCAGCTGGTTCAGCACTGCAAGTCCACAAGAACACACACACACACACACACTTAACACTTATGTTAACAGTCATTTGATGCCTATACCGGTGGTACGAATTAATGAGAAAAAGATGAGTGAGACAAAATGCAGGGAAACGTTCTGAAAGATCCTGTTTAAAAGTAATCTCAAATCATTAGAAAAGCAAATTAATTGTGGGAGCTTGGGCCTGAAATTAACAACTGCCAAGAACTAAATGCCATAAAATTCTTCACTGGCGAATAAATCAATAAGGGTCACGGGCAGCAACATTTTGAAACGATAACATTTTAACACCTCAGTTTGATACGGTCTTTGGTCTTGGCTTCCTCCCAAACTTTCATCCTACTAATAGCTGTAAACATGTTTTGACGGTGAGTCAAATGAACATAAAATGACGCCAGTGTGTCAAACAGGATCTTTAATGGCTGCCTGTTAGAAGCTCTACACACAGCAGTGGTGGGGAAGCATCTGTCTGTGCTTCATTTTGTGACTAATTATTGTCTGGATGGACGGATAAACCTGTTTCCAACTGAAACTACATTGTTTAAAGGAATTTACAACAGAGTGTTAGAAAGAGTGCGGCTGGTCAATTTGCCTTAGGATAAAAAAAAAAAAATAAAAAAAAAGGAGCATGATGATAGAAAATAAACAAGTTGATTTGCATTAGAAACAGGTCAGCTCCAAAAAGTGACTTGCTAAGTTGAATTTTCATTGGTTAAAACATCAATTTTATTCCAATGGAGCAGCATAAACTCAGCATAAACAACAAAACTATGACTAAGTATTAAATAAAATATGTTTTCTGAATACATTAATAGTAAAATATTGACGATTCTAGGGGGATTTCAGGAGATTTATATTCAGAATTTGCATTTGCCTCTTTAATGAATGTTTCATTCGCAGCACAGACGACCGGTGGGCTGAACAAAACATCTTGTGAAAATTTATATCATCACTTTTGTCCTGTATAAGTTATTTGTGCAGGTTCATTTTCCTGCAACCTTTGGCAGATGAGACACTGGTGAACTGTTGCTATTTCTGAGACCTTTGTGCAGCACGGCGTTGGCAGGCTTGTTCCCAGCCAGAGACTCTTTGGACAGGTGCTGGTGGGACTCTGCCAGACATTCAACCTCAGCAAAACGCGTGTTGAGAGCCATGGCCGGGTGACTGGGGTCCTGGGTCATATTCAGGTAAGCTGCCCGCCTCAGCTGCTCCTCAATCACCAGAGCCTGCTCCAACAACTACAGCGCGAGGTGGGGGAAAGAAAAGGAGAGGATGAAACACAGACGTGACAGACAGTTAGTTTCAGTTTGCAGTTTGTTTTTATCACAAAGACTCAAGCATTGCCTTAAATCGGCGAGCCAGGAACTTGTTCTTCATCTCTAGGTAGTTGCCCTTATGCATCTCAGTCTTAAAGGGCTCGTTCAGAATAGCATAGCGTGGGTCGTTCTGAATGTCCTGCCAGCGAGCATAGCCATGTCTGAGACAGATTCCCGGTCAAGAAAAAGCAAACTGAAGCACAGCAACTCATAAAATTCTTCAAATACAACAGCGAGATAGCTTTAGTTTTATATTGCTCCTCACATTTTGTAAATATCAGCCTCTGAACCACTGTCTCTCTCCCCCCCCACGGTCATAAGTAATTACATTACTTCGCCAGATGCTGAGCTTCTCGCTCCTACAGCTGGGAAAGGATACGTTACGATGCCAGCCAACAGCCAGTAGTCATGGCGACGGTGCCAGATGTCATGCATCTTTCCAGAAGACAGCGCCGCTCGCTCCTCAGTTTGCCACAGGGTGTGCAGCTCTGACGGCATTGATATAAAGACAGACAGTTTTTTTTTTTTTTTTTTTTTTTTTTTTTTTTACAAGAAATGCAAAGTTATATTCAGGCATATTAAGAGAAGTAAGAGCACATTAACAGCACAATCGAGATTTATGACGAGACAAAGCTGCTTCGTTATGGCACCTGAGATAAACAACCTGTAGTAAGACCCTGGAGCAGAAATTTAGGAGTTATTAAACAAAGTCTGGTGGAGGTAAGTTATCAATGACACATTTTTCCACTGATATTAAATTATGGAGTGACTTTGTGAACTCATGAAATCAAAATAGTTTTATTGAAATGCATGGTTTCCAGCTGTGAGAAAATAAAAATTTAAAATCAGCTGAAGTGCTGTCACAGTTGTTTTCCCGCCCGTTGTTTCTTTATTCACTCTCTGCTCATTTGTCTCCAGATAACACAAACACACCAGATAGCACCTGTCTCGTCTCTCTGATCTTCATCTTAAGAAAAAGACTTCACCAATTAAAACTGAGCTGCACAATATTACATTGCGCTATTATGGAAATGAGCCATTTCAAATGACAATGACAAACGTGTCGTGCTGACAAACACAATGCACTCGATTCAAGTCTGTTCTGATAGGTTAAAAAGTTTTGTCATAAAAGCAGCTTTAAGACTAAATAAGACCAGACACTGTGCTGCAGTCATCTAGTGTCTGACAACTGGGTTCATGTAATGTGCAATCAGAGGTGGGTTGCATGTTAAAAACTATGAAACTATTTTTTCAAAGAGGCTATTTTCTAAAGATCACTTTGGAACATAATATATACTTTCAACAGCTGTGTCACATTCCTCCCTCCCTCCCCCACTTCTTTGTTCGCCTTCAGTCATTTAGGATCAAAACAAAGTCAGATGTATTCTCACCTGTGAAACCTCCATCAGCAATATTAAACATGAACTTGGCTTTGAATCCATTTTTGTCCTCCCTCCTGCTCTCGTCCATCTCATCCAAAGTGTCTTTGTCTCCATTTAATCGACCCTCTAATGCGTATTCACTCTTCATGTCATCTGCAACAGCTACATGAATGACAGAAGGATTTCTTAAAAGACATATCTGTATAATGGACTATCACTACAGACTGCTTTGCTTTTAGAGAAAAGAGCACACTGATTGCACCATTTCTACCTGGCTTATTTTCCTTGTCTTCAGTTTTTGCCAGAGGAGAATCAGTATCTCCTTTGTCTGAGGACTTCTCTGTTTCTCTGCAGGGCTCCACTGAGGATAGCACAGGCCCAAAAAAAAAAAAAAAAAAAAAAAAGAAAGATTAACTTAAACAAAGTACAACCTCACAGAAGAATAAATTTTGCAGCACACGGATCGTGCACCACTCACTTTTAGGTGAGGTTTGACTGGATGACAGCTCTGTCTGTTTCAAAGCGGACTCTTTTGTGTTGGCAGATGACTCTGTCTTTGTGGAGGGTGACTCAGTTCTGTCCCTCTCATCTCCTGTTTTCTCCTCTGAGCTGGCCTTGCTCTCCTCACTGTCAGCTGCCTTCTCAGGTGCAGATGCTGGCTCTGCACTGGAATTCTGCCGAGGGAAAAAACAGACAGGGCAAGCGGGAGGAGAACGAGGAAAGTTGGTAGAGGGCAAGGAGACAAGTTAAAAGTTTGACAATCGCATCTGGATGATAAGACAAAGTACGGTTAAAGTGTAATGAACCATGAGAAGACAGACATGACGATAAAGGAAAACAGAATGAAAGTGATGGGTAGTGGAAGAAAAAAACAACAGGACTCACTTCGTGCTCTGACAGTTTCTTGCTATCTTGGTCTGCGGTCTCCTTGTCCTCAGCGGTACCCAAGAGAGACTCAGTCTTCTCTACAGTCCAGAAAACAACAACAACAAACAACTCTCTTTTTTTCTGAGCACAAACTTTAGAGTTGGAGATAAAACAAAACATGATTAATGCAGACACTTTGTCCTGACCTGGTGGGACAGGGGTGCCGGGCTGCGTGGCGACAGGGCTGGCTGGCACAGGGGTGTTGGGATCAGAGGATACACTCTCAGTCAGTTTCTTCAGCTCCATTCCGATGGGAATCAGATCTGGAGAACTCAGCTTCCCATTTACATGCTCAAACTCTTGCACCTACAGAGAGATTGGTTCAACTGTAATACAATGAAAATCTACACGTCCACGGGATGGCCTCCTTGACTCAAAAAAAGGGATTAAGGAAGAGATCTACGAATGTGGTGTGCTGAATCAGCGGTTTAATTCTAAATTGTCCGTATTCTGAAGTTATCCTTCTTAAATTCAACCTTTGCGTCATTTTCATGTAAATTTAGTGAGGCTGAAACCGTTACTTGATTGATCGATTAGTCAATTGCCAGAGAAATCTTTGGCAACTATTTTTCATAATTGATTAATTGTTTCTGCCATTTTTCTGGCTAAAATAAAGAAAAAATGTCAAACATTCTCTGATTCCAGCCAATCAAACGAGAGGATGCTGCTTTTCTATGGAATACGCCACTGTAATCTGAATATTCTGAGGTTTTGGACTCATTTGGAGACACTACCTTTAGCTATTCAGCATTTTCCTTCTATTTTTAAACATTTCATGACTAAACAATTGATTAATTGAATAAAAAATGATTGGCAGGCAAGTATTACCAAATTGGTAAAAAATAAAAAAATAAAAAAAATAAAAAATTGGGTTGAGTTAAGGTATATCGAACATGGTAAACACATCTGATCTGAGTTTTGATCAAAAATGGTGTTTAACAATGATGTAAAGTGGGAAGATTTTATTTATAAAATAACTTAAATTACAAAACATTAGTCCAATAGTGTCAGACAAAATGACCAAATAATGTTAGATAAAGATAACCTGATATTTCCTACTTATTCTAAAAGAACACTAGTAACTCTGCAACACATAGTTCTCTATGTTTTACATACATTAATAAAACAAAGTCACGCCCACATTGTTTAAGGATTGACAGGGAGGTTTCATATATCATTTAGCCCCTTTACCCTGGTGTATACATGGCAAACGAAGCCTACAAAACATTTGTATTTTGTATGTCTAAAAGAGTTTGCACCCAAAAGGTACTCTTGTCTACATCTGCCTATTCCTGAACAGTTTGACCTACTTTCTCTAATCTCACAGTGCTACAGCAGAAAACTCAGTATTCTGTGTTGAAGAAGCCTTGGTTGAACAACCAGTACCTTTTTCCTGACAAGGGACATGACCCCGATTCTGGTGAGAACATGCTGACGAGACAGTCCCTCACGTGGGACTCCATCAGCGAAGGTCTCTGCTCCGTCTGCTCCCGGTTCACATAGATGTCTCATGAACAGAGACACATAGGCCCTGATGAACGAAAAAAAGACACTTTACAGTACATGCGACCGGAGAGATTCCTCTGAGGTTACCAGCTCTAAAACCATGTTTGAACCGCTTTTAACAGCTGGGGAGAGAAGCAGTAAAAGCAGCAGCAGCACTAGTAGAAGTAATTACAAACCCCAATTCCAAAGAAGTTGGGACATTGTGTAAAATGTAAATAAAAACAGAATACAGTGATTTGCAAATCCTTTTTGACCCACATTCAATTGAATACACTACAAAGACAAGATATTTAAAGTTCAAACGGAAAAACTTTTTTTTTTTTTTTTTTGCAAATATTCCCTCATTTTGAATTTGATGCCTGCAACACGTTCCAAAAAAGCTGGGACAGGGGCATGTTTACCACTGTGTTACATCACCTTTCCTTTTAACAACACTCAAGCGTTTGGGAACTGAGGACACTAATTGTTGAAGCTTTGTAGCTGGAATTTCCTCCCATTCTTGCTTGATGTACGACTTCAGTTGCTCAACAGTCCGGGGTCTCCGCTGCCGTATTTTGCGCTTCATAATGCGCCACACATTTTCAATGGGAGACAGGTCTGGACTGCAGACAGGCCAGTCTAGTACCGCACTCTTTTACTACGAAGCCCACGCTGTTGTAACACGTCGCTTGGATGGCAGCATATGTTGCTCCAAAACCTGTATGTACCTTTCAGCATTAATGGTGCCTTCACAGATGTGCAAGTTACCCGTGCCATGGGCACTAACACACCCCCATACCATCACAGATGCTGGCTTTTGAACTTTGCGCTGATAACAATCTGGATGGTCCTTTTCGTCTTTAGCCCGGAGAACACGACGTCCATGGTTTCCAAAAACAATTTGAAATGTGGACTCGTCAGACCACAGCACACTTTTCCACTTTGCGTCAGTCCATCTCAGATGAGCTCGGGCCCAGAGAAGCCGGCGCCGTTTCTGGGTGTTGTTGATATATGGCTTTCGCTTTGCATGGTAGAGTTTTAACTTGCACTTGTAGATGTAGCGTCGAACTGTGTTAACTGACAATGGTTTTCCAAAGTGTTCCTGAGCCCACGTGGTAATATCCTTTACAGAATGATGCCGGTTTTTAATGCAGTGCCGCCTGAGGGATCGAAGGTCACGGGCATTCAATGTTGGTTTTCGGCCTTGCTGCTTACATGCAGAGATTTGTCCAGATTCTCCGAATCTTTTGATGATATCATGGATTGTAGATGATGAAATCCCTAACTTCCTTGCAATTGTACGTTGAGAAACATTGTTATCAAACTGTTGGACTATTTGCTCACGCAGTTGTTCACAAAGTGGTGAACCTCGGCCCATCCTTGCTTGTGAATGACTGAGCCTTTCGGGGATGCTCATTTTATACCCAATCATGACACTCACCTGTTTCCAATTAACCTGTTCACCTGTGGAATGTTCCAAACAGGTGATTTTTGAGTGTTCCTCAACTTTCCCAATCTTTTGTTGCCCCTGTCCCTGCTTTTTTGCAACGTGTTGCAGGCATCAAATTCAAAATGACTGAATATTTGCAAAAAAAATAAAGTTTTTCAGTTTGAACTTTAAATATCTTGTCTTTGTAGTGTATTCAATTGAATGTGGGTCAAAAAGGATTTGCAAATCACTGTATTCTGTTTTTATTTACATTTTACACAATGTCCCAACTTCTTTGGAATTGGGGTTTGTATCATCAGGATAGTAGAATGAGGACTAATAGTGATGGTTGTACAAATAGCATTAGCTGTAGGAGTAGAGGAAGCGGTGGCATGATAACATTAGCACATTAGTGGGAGAGATGCTAGACTGAGTTTGCCTGCAATCCAAAAAAAAAAGAAAATCACATATTACTATTTTCTTTTTCTATTTTCATACGCATTTTTCTATATAATAGTTTCTCTATCTCTCTTGGTATTTTTCATTACAGTAACTTACTAAATCTGATTGGTTCTGCCTGAGGGCAGTTTGATTCTCAATCATATAGATCAGAATCACCTTTGTGATGAATGTGTTTGTGTCTATAAAATGCCTGTTCTGCTTTGTGATGGTGGTTTGACAGTACCTGAGGAAGATCCCTGTAGATTGAAACGATGCTTTATCAAAATTCCTGTGAGCCATTAGCACATTGTGTAGATCCTATTTCTGACTCTTGCCTGAAGTTTGATTTTTTTTTTTTTTTTTGATCCAGCACCTGTGAAAGTGTGTATGCTTTATACCCTGTTTGTCCCAGTTGTAGTAGGTGAGCAGTGGTCATCCAATTTGGGAGTTTCAGCAAACAGAGGAGTTTAGATTCCACAGTCAAAAAGTTACAAATTGTTGGTATTTTAGAAGCCGATTCTAGTATTTTTCGGCTCAATATATATTTAAATTGGACTGCTTTTGACCCAACAAGATCATGAATTTATATGGGATTTAATATTTCTCTGCAAGTATTATATTCCTGGCAGTGTGGAGAAGTGAAATATCATTGACTTTCATGTTGGGAAGTAAAACTTACAGAAAATATGTTGGACCTAAAACAGAACAAATAAAATGTGGAGAATACAGAACAATTTAGAGACCTATGGCAACAGTGATAGAAGTAGTAGCAAGAGCAATAACACAATAGCAGTTGTAGTAGACATTAGCAGCACGCACAAGTCCAAATACTCCGGCAATGTATCGGGTGCACGGTCGTTGCTACCCAAACAGAATGCCGTCACTCACAGATAAATGGTGATCTTGATTAATGTGGGGGCAAAGGACGGACGCATGTCGGCCATAAGCCATCATCAGCGTACGTCACAGTGGTGGATGAGACAATTTATATAGATAGGTGAGGTTTAAACTCCATGACTACTTAATGAGATACATCTGTGAAAGAATCGCCCAGAAGTGACAAACCCAAGGAGGGAGGTGTGGCCATAACAACAGCATCGCACGATGACAAACAGCTCAACTAAAAAGTTTGAGAACAAATACCAACGTCAAGAACTAGCTACTACAGAAATATTTAATTAGGCATCTCTTTAATAGCATATAAATAGTCACATCCACTACTATTGTTTACGCTGATGATGGCTTATAGCCGAAACATGTTCGTTCCCACATTAAACACATGACTCTTTAGCTGCGAGTCATTCTGTTTGTTCAGTAATAGCAGTTGCACTGGTAGTGTCAGTAGAGGTAGCAGCACCAGTGGTAGTGTAAGTATAGTTGTATTTGTAGTTTGAGAGCTAATAGTAATCACAGGAGCCATAGCTGCAGTAATTTTGGGGGTAGTGGTAGTAACTGAGTGCTTTGCTATAGAAATAACATACACCACTCAGGGCTACTTGCATCCTAGATGTTTATTTCTGTAATGTTTGACTCTGGTGCACTACAAAGTGAGGTAACCCTGACACTGGCAAGGCCAACTTTTGCAAAGCTGATAAGAAAGTTGTGGAGCTTTGCTCTGGGCTAACCAATTAAATGTGAGAAGTTGATAAAACCCAGAACTGCCTCTTAACTTATTGGCGGGCAGCCCTTGACAAAGATGCACTGTGTGAAAAGGGAATTATAGTTAAATCAAATAAAACTTGGCATATCACACAAAAAAAACAAAAAAACAATTTACATACATATATATATATATATATATATATATATACATATATAAAAACACGCAGGGGCGTTACCTGAACTCACGCTCACTCTTCCCTCTCAGGTCCCTGACCAGCCAATGAGAGTTGAAAGCGTCCTGGGGAGGCATGCCCCAGCGCATGATGGCATTGAGGAAGGCTTTCCTCTGGCGAGCGTTGAAACCCAGAACCTTATAAAGATAAGAAATAGCTTAAGACAGAGAATGGCATAAACATATCTGAAAGAGAAAACTGATTGAAACAGCACAAAGACAGCACAGAAACACCTGTATTCTGGCGAAACAATCTGTTGATATTGGTTTCTTATGAAAATTACATTCATTCATACATAAACCGAGCTGTATTGAACTACATAGTGTAATACAGTACAGCACATTATGCTGCTTGCTGCCTAACAATGCGAGCATTTCTTGATCCTAATTCTGTCCTTGCCCCGTTCCACCGAGCAGTGAGCCAGAACGCAGGATCAGCTGGAGAGCAGTGATGCTTGCTGACATATTGGGCTTAAACTGTGAGTTTGTTTTGATGCCCAGTGTCGGCCCCTTATCCCGAGATTTCCTCCTATTATGCACAATTTACAGAATGGAGGATTATCCCCTTAGTATACTACGCTTCCAGAAATGTGATTAGTTGCTGTAAACGCACTATAAACCTCCATTTTAAGATGCATAGGGATTTCCTATGAAGGACCTACAACCTACACATACCTCAATACTGCCCCCAACGCGTGCCAGTAAGGGCGGCAGAGGTTTGTCTTTCTCGCTTTTCAGCTGCCGACGAGACTGCCTGCGCCCACCTACAACACATAAAACCAAACCCGCTGTTAGAGGGATGTTTCTCCCAGTGTCTCACCATGAGCAAAGTGACAGATCACCTTAATAATTTTAAAAGAATCATTTGTCTGATGTAGTGTCTCCACTAAAAGAGTTGTACTGCATTGCCAAACCAAAACAACACAATAGTTCAATAGTTGTATGAAGCTGATGTTTCTTTTTTTTTTTTTCTATTTCTTTTTTTTTTTTTTTTTTTTTTTTTTATTTATTTGCTGCCTACCTTCAGGCCTCTCCTCGAAATCTTCGTCCTCGTCCTCGGACCCCACAGAGTACTCCGACTGATTGTCTGAAAGATCATCCTGCCATTCTGAGCCACACATCAAAGAGAAACAGTACATTGTGTTCGCTTCTGTTGGTGGCCACCTGAGGGCGCCATGGCACTGCAGATTACTACAGACCACTACAGCTGGGCATGCACAGATTTTTTTTTTTTTTTTACCACTTCTGTCCTCTGGAAGTGAGGTGAGAGGGTGCTACTCTGCCAGACAATCACTTTCAACTTGGAGTGTACTCCAAGCTGTGATGGGCTCTGAAATCTTTACTCTCTCACAGTCTGCTGCTGTTGAACTGTGGCAATCAGGAAGTTGAAGCCACTCTGAAAAAGTACAACTGCAGGAAATATAACTGCAATAGACATAGAAACTGTTGAACTATTAGGGGAAAAAAAGTGCTTCAAAGCCCACTGAAAAGACAAGAGAGCTTTAGGCCAGTATAACAAACCATATGGTGGATTCAATGGAGGTCAATAGCTCTTGTTGAGACTTGCAGCCTTAAGAGGATTTAATAAACATGGTGATTAATTTCTGTGCCATTCTTACTTGAACTGAGCTAATACACCAAAATTATTCTGTATTAAGATAATGTCAGCGTGTCAATTCACTAATGAAGCATCAAGCATGTGAAGGTACAGCAGCAGTGGAAGTGTTCTGTTATTGAATTAGCTGGATATCAAAGCAAATCACAATGTTTAGTTTCCAACAGGAGCTGTTGACGTGCACTAAAGCCACCAGAGAGGAAGGTACACCGGGTCTGTGCAATGTTATCATGACCAAATACAGAAACATATCTCCTGTATCTGCAGTTCTAGCCCGTTCTTTACATATGTAGACACAGCGTCAGTTAGACGCCGCAAAATGTGCTTCCATTATGGCAGCGGATCGGCTGCAGATTTGAGTGACACCTTCGTAACATCTCACTTTAAAATCCATGAGCTCTTTTATCATGGAGAAACTACTGCAAATATATAATATGTGTAATTTTCATGCTCAATTCAGCAACGTAGCTTAAGCAGAACAACAAAAGTGTTAATCTTTAATCTCTTGATTGGTTTTCATAATGGGCAACAGCTCCCAAAATACCAATTCAAAACACTTAGTATTGACTGTCAGAGCTGTTAATACATCTTCCAGCTGTTAAAACTGCAGGAATATCGTTTGAGGAAGATTTTTTTTAAAAAGCAGATCCATATAATAAACTCCCAAACAGGAGCCCACTGAGTTGTTTATTCAGAAAATGTCTCTTCTTGCTGCGAAATATGCTTTTAGCTCACCTGCCACCTGTGCAGAAGCGCAGCTGTGTAAACCGGTGGCTAACAAGCCAAAAAGTGTTTTCTACATTCTACGTCCTGTGTGCTTTTGTGTGTTTGTGCTCATGTATGGGCAAGAATGTCAAATTCTGGTTAAAATTGAAGAGCGGCGATAATAGAACATGGCTGTTGCTTCCAAAATGCTGCCAAGAAATCATTTGGCACAATTATCTTAAAGATTAACACTTTAGAAATTCGTCTTGGGGAAGGCGTGAGCAACAAACCCAGGCATGTGAGTCCTGAGAGACAACCACTGTGTGTCTGTTAGCAGAGCCTACCTTGATCCTCCTGGGTCGTGTCGTTGTAGTTGACCTGCTTCCGGATGCGTTTGCCTTTGCCCAGGTTGCGAGCCAGATCCTCCTGCTGCTGCTCGTAGTGGTGGCGGAGGAGTTTTTCCCAGTAGTCTGGATCCACGTTCTCCTCCTGCTTGATGATCTCCCGCTCCACCTCTTCCTGAACGCGAGCACGCACACACACACACACACACACACACACACACACACACACAGATTAGATACTGGTTATGCTTCAGAGTGGACAAAAAACATGGTGATGCATCATAACCTAAATCCTTTTATTATGGAATTTATGGATGTACTGTATTTCATTCATTCTATGCAAACTTTGCATTTCTGTGACACTACAGTGAAACATTTCAGTTTATGCATGTAGTGTTTCATAGTATTTACATTTTGTCTTGCACATCATGTGTCAATATTTCACTGCATAAGGCTCTTTACAGACAGTTTTGAATTGAAAGTACTGAGTTATCTGTGTGTTTTTAAGGCCTTACAGACAAGTTGAAAGCATTTCTTGCATCACTGAACATTTGGAAAACCCTTTTTTTTAAAACCGTATTATCAATATTTGCATAACTATTCATTCTTTTTAATGGTGCATTGTTTTATTTTACAATGTCACAGTCATCCGTTCTCTCCATTCTGAAGTACAACGCGCAACTACAACTACTACACCTCGTCCTGATTTCGCTAGCTGAGCATCATGGGTATTTTCTCACCTCTCCATCCTCTTCTTTCACCACATACTGAGCCACCTTGAAGGAGCTCAGGTACTCGTTCATGTTCTGAATCTCCGTGTCTTCAGTGGCGTCCTGGCTGCGGTCCAACAGCTTCGAGATGGCGTCGTCATCATAGTGGATCACGTTGCCCTCCTCGCCGTCTTTGTTGTCACCTGTTGATGAGAAGCTATTGGTTAACCTCTAACAGGAGCCCTTTTTGCCCACGACCAAAGCTGTGATCTACAGAAGAAGAAAAAAAAGCATCCAAACCGAAAAAAAAAGAGAACACGTGAATGACTAGCCAACCCACATTTTTATGGATTCCCTTGCATTTTGGTTTTTGTCTCTTGTTTTCAACCCTTCGGTGCAGCTCCACACTGAGTTTGACTTTGTGAGTCACTGGCTTGCATAAAATGCGAGTGCTTTGTATAAAGAGGATACCGCTACTTCCACCAACTGCAGCACAAACAGAGGAAGAGGAAGCATCCTCTCTGTGTTTGAAAGTAACACGGTAAATGGAAGCTTTTTATTGAGAAACACAAAAAATAACAAAGCCTTTAAGTGGCTCAACTAAGGTCTGATTTGTTTGTTACCATCAAACAAGTTTAATCATGACGTAGCAGACTGAAGATCAAGTGGAAGTTTGGAGCTTACTTGGAACTTTTCTGGATTGAGTGTAGATATCATAAAACCAACCAAGAATATCAAAGGATGCCAACGCACCAGATTCTGTGTTAAATCCTCAAAGCTAGAGGGAAGATTTGGGACGTACCCATGGTTCGAGCTGCCTCCATTTCGTCTTTGAAAAGCTCCTCTGTGCCAAACTTGAGGATGTCGTCCAGCTCTTGTTTGGACATGGAGCCGGTTTTGGAGCCCAGGCCAGGCCGCACCACCAGATGGGTCAGCATCATCTTCCTCTTCGCCACCTGAGTTATCCGCTCCTCCACCGAGCCTCGCGTCACAAAACGATAGATCATCACCTTCTTATTTTGGCCTATACGGTGGGCTCTGCTAAACGCCTGGGGAAAGTGGAAATGTGGAGCGGGAGGAACAGGACACGGACGACATAGCATCAAAGTGAGTTGGCTGAAAGCTAATTAAATCACACATTGAAACAATTGCAAGTGTGCATCACATAATCTTTGAGAAATCAGTACTTGAATGTCATTGTGAGGATTCCAGTCAGAGTCGTAGATGATGACAGTGTCTGCGCTTGCAAGATTGATGCCAAGACCCCCAGCTCGTGTTGAAAGCAAGAAGCAGAATTGCTGAGCACCCGGCGCTGTGGCAAAAACCAAAGCAGAGAGTTGATGCGTGTGTGTGTGTGCGTGTGTGTGTGTGTGTGTGTGTGTGTGTGTGTGTGTGTGTTTGTGTGTGTGTGTGTGTGTGTGTGTGTGTGGGAATATGTGAGAGCAAGTGAAAGGCAGATGGAAGAAAACATGCATCTTCACAAACTCACCCAGCCAGATTGTGGATTAACAAACTCACCATTGAAGCGGTCAATGGCCTCCTGCCTTAGGCCTCCAGTTATTCCTCCATCAATACGTTCGTATTTATATCCCTCAAACTCCAAAAAATCCTCAAGCAGATCCAACATCTTTGTCATCTGTAAAAAAAATAGATCAAACTAATTGGAATTGTTGAAACTAAGAAAAGTCTGAATGTTCACTACAGATGATTTTTGGTAAATTATCTGGAGTATCGGTTGATTTATCACCTTCAGCTGGCACTGACATTGGAAAGGCTAAAATATGGATGGCTGGATTTTCAGTGTTTTGTGGCCAGTGATCAGAGAGAGCTATGACCTCCACCCAAGATGCAATATTTATTTGACTATTACCTGAGAGAAAATGAGAACTCTGTGTCCTTCATCTTTGAGTTTCTTCAGCATTTTCTGAAGCAGTGTCAGTTTTCCTGAGGACTTCACCAGTAGGTTGCCATCATAAGAACCATTGGGTAATACAGGAGCTTCCTGCGGAGACAGAAAAACGATTCCAGGCATCAACCGGAGAAATATATGAATACATTCGACAGTAAATCTGATTGACAGGATACACAGTTTCCTAGCAGATGAGGTCAACAACACTATTTACAATAATGTAAAACACAGCCACAGTTTCTTTGGAGAAACACCAGAAACATTCAATCTACTTAAGTATATTCTGTCCTCAGTATTGCAATATACTGTATATTATTATCTAACTCTGCTGCCTTACCACAGCAGCCACGGGGAACAGGTAGGGATGGTTGCAGCACTTCTTCAGGTCCATCATAATGTTAAGGAGGGACACTTGGTTCCCTCCACCTTTGGAGTTCAGAGCCTCAAAGTTTCGCGTCAGAATAAACTTGTAATATTTCCTAAAGGTCAGAGGACAGAGATCAGATTGAGTCGGGGGGAGTGAGGAAAGTTGAGTCACACAGTTACTTCCATTCATTTACTTCCATCCAACAAAAAATACACATCATCCCTTTTGGCAAATAAACTCCCCAAAACATGATCTTGGAGAATGGAGAGTGCAACATATACAGTATTGGCATAAACAAACAAAAAAATGTATATAGATATAAGCTTCTGCAGACCATACGAATATTTTAGCATTTATTTTTTACATTTTCTTATTTGTTCAAATTAAAAAAAAAAAAATTAAAAACAATTAAATTGAGCAAATGAAACCCCCACTATGTCATTTAAAATATTCTGTATATAGGAGCTAGGTTTTTATCAGATGGCACACACACCAATGACGCACCCTACTGCAACTATCATCCCTTTAATATCTCTATTATCCCGAGCCATACTTCTGCATAGGGCTGAGCTCCACTCTGACGATCAGCTCCGTCTTCGCAGGCATGTTCTTGAACACATCGGCTTTCAGCCTCCTGAGCATGTGCGGCCCAAGGAGGTCGTGGAGCTTCTTGATCTGGTCCTCTTTAGAGATATCGGCAAACTCCTCCAGGAAGCCTTCCAGGTTACTTTACAGGTCAGAGGTCACATGAGGAAGAATGAAAAAAAAATAAATAAATGAAATTTATCTACAGTAAAGGAAAGACAATTTCTTGCTTATTTAAATCTTTATTTAATTCAAACAACACATTTGTCCAGCTATGTATTTAAAGAGGAAGCTACTTGATGCACCAGCGAAAAGCTACTGGAAAGATGGAGAAAGACAAAGAAAAAAAATGATGCACAGAGGAGAGGAAGGACTTACTTGAAGCGATCTGGGGTGAGAAAGTTAAGCAGGTGGAACAGCTCCTCCAGGTTGTTCTGAAGAGGAGTCCCAGTCAGCAGCAGCTTGTAGTAGATCTTATACCCGTTGAGAATCCTGAAAAACTGTATTTTGTACAGGATATGATAAAAGGATATGCCTATAAAAAAAAGAGAGCTGCAGTGATGCATGTTCTGTAAACTTTTTCACATTCCCTCAGACTATTTATTTCTTAGATTAAGTTTGTGGACAAACATTTCCTGCTCACGTCTGTCTGGGTTCCGGCTCCTTTCCAGATAAAACTCTAACCTCTAATGCAGTCTACTTACTGCTGCTATCAATGGCAGGAAGGCTGTTATACCTTTGATTGGTTGTTCTTCAGTCTGTGGGCCTCGTCTACCACCAGGCAGGCCCAGGTGATGGAGCCCAGAATGGCTTGATCTATTGTAATCAGCTCATAGGATGTCAGCAGCACATGGAACTTGATTGGAGTGTCCTTCTGCAAGATGAAGACACAAGAGAGTATTTCAAATGTTGACCAATTTAGACGTGGGATCACTTGGTAGAGGAAAAGGATTTATTGCTTTATATACTGCATATACACTGGATGTTAACAGCCCAAGTCCGACTCATATGTCAAGGTTCAAACAAAATAAAAACACAGTATTTGAGAAGAGGATCTGATCTATCCTGGCGAGTGTGACGTACCTTCATGCGGAACACCTTGCGCCCCGATTTCACTGCGCTGTCTTCAAAGGTGAACTCGTTCTCCCTGATGATCGCCCTGCTGTCTTTGTCCCCCGTGTACGTCACCACGTAGAAATCTGGAGCCCACATTTCAAATTCCCTTTCCCAGTTGATGATCGTGGAGAGGGGCGCACTCACCAAGAAAGGCCCCTTAGAGTGACCCTGAGAGAGAGAGAGAGAGAGAGAGAGAGAGAGAGAGAGAGAAGAAAGACATGACTCAGCAACTCTCACATCACAGGCAGAAGATATACTACAGGTTTTATCTATATCCAGCGTGATATCCAGTGTGATTCAATCTAAGTCTACATCTTAAGTCTACATTCCCATTCGTATTACAGGGATTGATATGAATAGTGTGTTCATTTTACATGGCACTCAGAGAACCAAAAATGTGACATAATACATAAGATATATATATTATGTAATATGGAGATAATAAAAAGAGGACATTCTTCCACCCTCACCTCCTTATATAGCGAGTAGAGAAACACTATTGTTTGCACTGTCTTCCCCAGGCCCATCTCATCAGCCAGGATGGTGTCTGTGCCCTGAGCCCAGGAGAACCTCAACCAGTTCAGGCCCTCCAGCTGGTATGGGTGCAGTGTTCCTCCAGTGGCATTAATGTACCACGGCTGATGCTCAAACTTGATGGTTGGCTGAGAAGGTGTTTTGTAGAGTAATTACAAAGGCTAGAGTCAATAATTTGGCCTAATGTAAACAACTAAAAATTGTATATACAGTATAATAATAACGAAGGTACAGCACATACAACACCCACAGCATCACTTTTGAAGGGTTTACTGCAGAAAGCTGCCGCAGCAGGCAAGACAATAACAATGAGGTCTTGTATTCCCAAAAAGACACAGGTAACTAGGGCAGCTCGCTGGACTTTTGTGACCTGAGCACATCAAAATAATTCAGCTTACATCTATGATGGGAGCATCAGGGGGGACCTCCCTCTTTGGATGGTCGTCTTTCAGTTTCTTTCCTTTCCTCACCACCAGGGGGCGTTGATCCTCCCCTAGAATTTGCTCCCTTGGAAGAAAAAAAAATTTGCAGCAACAATGATGAGCCAAACAACTCGAACAGGGGGAATCACAGACAGAGGGCCGGACAGAGGAGGAACAGGAGCAGATGTAGGCATACGCCTTTGTTTATCTGTGTGTGCCAGGGATTTATTCTAGTTGTCCATCTTGTCATCTCTGCACTATTAAGAAATAAGACTGAGTTAATTTGGAGATGCTGCCAACCCACCTGTGGTCCCAGTAAAAAGCTTTATGGGTGTCATACTCTGGGATGTCGAAATCATCCACCTCCCAGGTGCACTGGTCGTAGGGCAGGTCTCTCCACTTGATCAGGTAATGCACGTCGCCATCCTTATCGAAGCTACAGGGGAGAATAAACATAAACAAAGACAGAAAATTGATATTCGTTAATGAGATATGACACATATTACACACACAATCAGATAATTACAGTAATTTGTCACTTCCTGCAACTGTAGCTGTTATGGGAGGGGGGCTGACACTTAGAGAGCAATGTATTATTTAATTCCAAAGCATATTTCATATAGTAAAACATGTGATTATACTGTATACTGAATCTGTCTTAAATACATTTCTGTACATATGACAAGTGACAAGCTCCAACACAGGCCTGAAAAGTTTGAAAACATATGGAAATGAACTTATTGCTGTTCTGGTCTTTTCAAATATCTGTCACTATGCATTTATCAATGACTTTCAACACTTGGCGTTTTACATATCTCCATACTGAAATATGCTGTGCTGTGAAGTGTAATCTCCATCTATAAAAGCAAGATGAGAGCGAGGATAAACTATACTGAGCACCACCTTATCATCAAGAACTCTGAAGAAGGGGTGTAAAACATGTGGATATAAGGATTTGTGTGACTGTGAGCAGACACCTGTGGTTGAGTATCCGGTGGATAACCATCCACTCTGGTTTAATGCCATAGCGATAGAAGCGCTCCTCCATCACAGCGTACTGGGGGTCTTTGCTCTTCCTCTTCTCGCTGTTGAGCTCCTCTTCTCCGGAGCCATAGTCATACGGCGGCGGCTCGTCCATGTCGTTCTTTCGCTGGTAGTTCCGATACATGACCGTGTGATACAGCTCCAACTGCATAACCATAACCACACACACACACACACACACACACACACACACACACGCGCGCGCGCACACACACACACGCACACAGCACAACAATCAGTTCTGCTTCAGTTTCGATCAGCACCACCTCTGGCTAAGGATGCTTTTTACAAGAATGCAATATACAATCGAGCATTGCATGGCAATGAGACTAATTTGATTCACTACTCAAAGTTCCAAAATAGATTTAATGAAGGGAAGACGGATACAAAATAAACTAAGGAAACTGTTTTGGAGATGAGACTTCTCTAGGGCCAAGTCTGAAAACAAACAGTTGTTGTATCATCACTAAATTAAATGTCAGCTACAGTTGTGCTCTGAAATGCTTGATAATGACAGCTAAGCTAGGAACATGCATTATCATTTTATATTAAACTGCAAAAGGTGGTCCAGTGAAAACCCTGTCCTGTGTGTTCCACATTTAGCAAAGACAACACACAGTTCCTGTGGCCAAACAGAGCAGAAGTGTTAATTTGAGATACTCCTGGTATCTCACCTGCAGCTCGCTGACCCAGGAGCAGTGCCAGTATGAAAGGCCAGCCCACTTCACAAAGAACTCCCTCTCTGGGTGGCCCTTGAGTGGGGGCTTGGTCAGTGGATCATTTGGCTTTCCGTCAGGGCCTGCAGGCAGTTCAGCTGGCAGTGGGGGCTCTCCCCATGTCCAGTGCAGAATCTTTTGTACTTTACCTTTCAGGGGAGGGCACTAAGAAAAAAAAAGAAAAAAAAAAAAAAAAGAGAGAGGTGTTGTGTAAGAGCAAAGGTGCACACATATTATTCTTCTTCACATTAATATGCATGAGTAATTCAAACACAAACATCCTAAAGAGATAGCTCACATGGCTAGTTTAAAATGACTTCCTTATATATTCAGAAACCAAAACTGCATTGCAAGATTTAAGCTGACACTTTTGTTTAACTCCCTCTCTCACCAGCTCATAAACTAGCTCTGAGTGACTACTGACTTCTGTCGCCATATGCACTTTATACTATTATAAAATACCGTACACTGTACTGATTTAGCTTCTGTTTCACCCTATAACTCCACAGCACATTTCCACAACATTTGTTGCTGTAAAATCATTTGATTTGAAAGAAATCCTGAAAAAATATATTCATCATCAGTTTATGAGTGAAAAATGTTTAAGCTTTAACCCCTAAAACCTTAGAGTTGCTCACATAAATAAAATCATGAATATTATCACACAGTATAGACTGAGGTCAGTGTGCAACCTGAACTCACCATGCATCGAGGACACAACCACTCCCCGTTTGGGATCTCCGGGAGAGGCGGGTTGAGGCAGTGGATGTGGTAGGAAGACGGGCAGGTGTCACAACACAGCAGCTCTCCTCCGTCTTTACACACTCTGCAAAACTCCATGTGGTCATCCTCTTCCTCGCCCGGAGCCTCCTCCTCTTCCTCCTCTTCATCTTTGGCCTCCCACTGGATTCCCTCTTTCTCCTGAGAGACACGGTTAGCACACACATGACAGCAGCAAGGTTAAATCCGGCTAAGTTAAGTTCCCCCCCACCTTTTTGTTTATTGCAAGGACACATTAATATATATGGTATTTACAGATTTTTTGTTGTTTGTTTTTTTTTTTTTTTTTTTTTGGAGTCAACCACATTAACATATTGAGACCAAAAGGCCGCACGATCAAAGCTTTGTTGTCTGTGGTCCTGACTTTCTTATCAATTCCGCACTATAGATTTATAAAAATGCATAAAATACTGTGAAGCAGTGGCTTGCCTTGCTTTACACATACAGAATACTGACAACTAACAAGACACAAAGGGAGTTTTTAGCCCAAAGCATCAACTGCTGCTGTGCTGACGTCTTGAGGGGGAAAAAAGTGTCTCTGCTACAGAAAATTGTAATAAATTTTTCAGACCTTTCTCTCTAATCTTTGCTTGTTACTTGTGAAATACTGGGTACTTTTACCTCTTCACAGTCAGGTGTATATGCAATCTGTTATGAGGGGTTGTAAGTATATGCTGCTTCATTTTAAGCCTGTAAAGGTTGGGAACCGTTCGTTGTTGAAGATAATAGCTCAGCCTAAGGTCTTGTTCAGTTTACATTTCACTCACGAATGTCCCAGCGCACATGTGCTGTTTTAACTGAAAATTCAAAGTATTATCATGAAATTCAAACTTGCACTTATCAGAGGAAACTGACATACAGCGTATGTAAATATAAACGGAGACAAGACCTTATTGTTTTACCTGGATGTATGAAATATGAATTATCTCAGATGCTAAAATTATAAATCTGTGAAGTGTTCACACAAGCCCAGCTGATGCAACAGGCCCACTTCATTTACTTGCCGCTCTGTTTGACAAGTGGACACCATGGTAAGTCCCACTTGTCCTCGCGGATGACCACTTTAGCACATGGTTAGCACAACATAAAGCTTCACAAATATGTTTAAATATCAAACCAATCAACTCACACAGTGCGGACAGCTCCATTTTCCCTCGGGGGCCTTCTCCAGCTCAGGGTCCAGACAGACCAGGTGGTACGCTCTGGGACAGGTGTCACACAGGATGATCTCTCCACCCTGTTGGCAGACTTCACAGTAGTCCTGGTGATCTGTCTCATAGCCGTCGCCGTCTTCCTCTGGAGAAGGCAAAAAAAGAAAGGTAAAAATGGGTTATTCCTATGCACTTAAAAGCGCTTGAATGCAACTGCTGAGCTGCCACTAAATGTGAATGAGACTCCATGAGTGTGAGGGCAACAGCTGCTGAGAAAGAGCTTCAGAAATCATTCCCAGAATAAATAAAGCTTTAAAAAATACATTCTAATTTCCCTGTTACCCATAATCAAACGGTCTGGTTTCATTGGGATTTTGGAGGGAAAAAAAAACCACACACACACACACACACCACAGAGCGTGGCGAGTGTAGACAGTAAACATACTTTTCCTTTTTTTCCGCCCACGTCGGGCCTTTTTCTTGGTGGCGGCCCCCGAGGTATCAGAAAGCACGGAGGCACTGTGGATGCTGATGTCATCAAAGTCCGACTCCTCCAGGAAGTCTTCCTCACTCTGGAAGAGCATACACACAAACTGACAAGCTCAGAGCTGCACAAATGAATTAAAAATGAACCGACTTTCACATAAAGTGCAATCAACTGTCTGGTCACTTTGATGTCATTGAAAATATAAGACAAGTGGAGGAGCTGAGAGGATGAATGAGCTGAGGGAAGAAAAAAAACAAGGCGTACCGAGGATGCTTTCTTCTTCTTCCCACTTTGGCCCGACTTCGATTTGGTCTTCTTCGGCTTCGGTTTCTTCTTCACCTCCTTCACAGTCTTACTTCTCTTTCTAACTCCTGGTCCTGAGACAAACAGACAACAGAAAACTTAAACAAATGGTATTCTTGCCATTATTATAAAAAAAAATTTAAAAAAAAGCGTTCTGTCAATCTTCACTAGGCCTTACCCTTTCCCTCTTTGGTTTTGGCTTTTTTGATTGGCCCCAGCTGACAGCTCGGCTGGCTGCTGCTGACAGACGTTGGCTGTGCCACGGTAACCGTTTCCACGGCGGCGGCCACAGCGGCGGCCACAGCGGTGGCAGATGCGCCTTTGAACGGGTTGTTGGCACTGAACTCTCGCCACTTGGCCCCTAACACCGTCATCATCTTTGACATGGGAATCTTCGGGTTCTTCTTGGCAATGAGAGGCCTGAGTGAAACCAGGGGGAGAGGAGACAAAAACAGCAGCTTTAACGTGTCACCCTTCATTCCTGCTGATGTAATTTCTACTTCCCTTAGCGCTGGAGGGAGCTGGGTCTTGATTTGCTGACACCCCACTGCCCCTTAAATTTTGTTCTCTTTGCTTTGCTGTGTGTATGTCATGTTTGTGATTTGTCAGGCAACAGCTTGAGGTTTGGCACGCTGGCCTGTGAAAGATAGTGGGTCAGAGCACCGAGTCCCAGAGCCTCCCGGCTGTCACAGGCATCCAGTAAGCAGCTGACTACTCACAGGGGGCACTGCAGGAGCTCATGCTCCACTTTGTAGGAGCAGAGGCTTAGCCGAGCCAGACAGCCCCAGGTGAGACAGACTCTTTCTACCAACAGCCGAGCTTTCTAGCTCAAACAAAAAGAGCAGTGTTTGCTCGTCACAGTACACTATAGACTCACTGTGGAGTTTTTGTTGAAAGTGTCTCAGGGAGGGACTCTGACAATCCTCAGAAACAGAAACAGAACAGAGCAGTTTAACACAGGAAGAGAATCCAGACACAAAATTAGATGCTTGCCTGAGGAACTGGCTGAAAGCCTTGTAGTTGGTGATGGTTTTGTAGTCGTCCTCGGTGAAGCCGTACTGAACGTCTTCAAGACCCCACTCCTGCATCAACTGGCTGGATGATTTAGGTTCCTAAGGAGATACAGATGAGAGAAATCAGAACATATACGTTAAGTGATGTTAAATAAAGAAAATATTGATGATGTCAAATTAATGGTAACCATTCATCATCCACACCACTTTCAAGGATGGGTCGCCTAAAAAAATAGGAAAAAAAGATATTGTTGGACTGACCGCCACATTTTTAAGCTTTTGATGTACTTTTTCATGCACTGCATCTGAATTATTTTTACAAATGAATATGTGCAATATGTGAAGAAAACAGGGGCAGCGCGCGCAGCTCCAAATACTGACCACTGTATCGGGTGCACGGTTGTAGTTGAGTCAACAAGATAAAGACAGATTTCATAGTACTGGAGATTTGTGAAAGTTAGGGCCAGACAATCAACAGTCAAAAGGTTAATTTAATACATATTCATTAAATTTGTTTGTCAACTAACTATGTGTCACTTGCTGTCCCTCATTGACTCAATCTATAATGCAGAGTCCATTTTTAGATGTAGTCTAATCTAATCTATTCTAATCTAATATCTACTCTTTTTTGCCTTTTGTCTCTCTGTAAAATATCCTTGGGGTATGTGAAACACAAAATCAACTTAATCATCATTATTAGATTATCATATCATGAGATGATCCATTTAAAATGATTGGCACTGTACCCACATAGAAACCCTGTGTTGAAATTAGCATCTTCATTTAAAACACACAACCCAGCAGACTACAAGGTGTGGCCTATGTCAGCATCGTGGGCCTAGACTTACTTTCATGTTACCATCATCATCGTCATCGTCATCATCTTCCTCATCTCTCTTCTTCTTCCGGGGCTTCTTTTCCTTCTTCTCCTTCGGTTTCTTCTTCTTCTTCTTGGTGGGGCCGTACATGCTGCTCTCGCTCTCCGAGCCTATTTCAGGACGCTCCCGTTCCTCCTCCACCTCTGAGGTCTCCTCCAGGTCGCTGTCAACTCTCGCCTGAATTCCTCCCTAAAGGCATTTCGCAGAAGGACACACAAACATTATGCACAAAGTGCAAATATATGAACACTAGTGTTTATGTAGTAATCAGCAGCAGGACATGAGCATATTGGAAGACACAAAGCATTCACTGATGTTGCGTATTTTCCAGCAGACAAAGATGTGTTTAGTATACACCTTCACAAAACTCCAACTGGATTTTTTACTGAATGAAAACTTCACCCGAGCGGTCTTCCTTTGATATAGTCAGGAGCTCCTGCCAAAAAAGCTATTTTTATAAATGTAAACTGGTAGAATCTGGCTTTGAAACTTGCTTCAGCTCCCTACCTCAGGACATGACTGTAACTGACTGAAGCTCGCATCAAAGCCACATTCCTGGATCATAACTGAATTTAAGGTCTGAATTCTACCATTGGTGACACAAAGGAAATCTGTCTCCAGTTCGGGGGCTATCTTCTGAGACAGAATTTCAAATCTAGTAATAAGCAATGGGAATAATTAAAACATGAAACTCAATGGTAGGGCAAATATGCACGGCATTAATTTTGCCAGGGTTAGGGATTAGAGCTCCCACAGAGGCCACCCACATTAAAAACATATGTTGTCAGTATACTCTAAAGCTTCTACTTGATGGCATTTGCATAAATAAAATGACCTCATTCCAAAGTGTCACTGTTTAGCTAATATTGTAAACATTCTGCCAATGATGAAATATATAAATGATTACATTATGTCTGCAGGTTAGTGGTGAGTTGACGGGGAGTTAAATCAGAGGCACGTTCACCTTTTTACGCATTCGCCTTCGACAACAAACTGAAGCGAGAAGGAGAACACCTCAGGCGGTGCAGCCAATCACAGCTCAGAGCTGATGTGTAGCCTGAGCTGCATCCTGCCCGTTTAATATGAGACATCTGGAAGGGTATATGGATTTAACAGTTAACAGGTGTTGTTTGTGTGATCAAGAGTGTTGCATATGAACAAATTCACTGGTGCATGCTCAGTGTGTGTGTGTGTGTGTGTGTGTGTGTGTGTGTGTGTGTGTGTGTGTGTGCGCATGAGTGAGAGAGAGAGCGGGAGGGTGAAGTATCTGGTATCTCTCTCTCATTATGCACCTTTCATGTGTGTGCAAGTGTGCATGTTAATTTTGTTTGTGCATGTATGTATTCTATATTGGTTTTGAATGGGTGTGTTTCTCTTTCCTTTAATCTAGAGATGCAGTTTTTTTGTTGAAGCTTTGTGTGTTTGCACGCATGTGTGTCTCTGCATGCGCCTGGATGTGTGTATATGTGCACATCTTTTTGTGCGAGTGGGATAATTATTTTAATCTCTTTCTGCGTGTGTTCCTCTCCACACGTGTTTGTGTGTGTGTGTGTGTCTTTGTACAGTATCTATGCATCTGTGTGTGAACATGTGTGTGCACATGCTAAGGAGTGAATTAGTGCACAGCAGCTTTGTGCTCTGCTCGCTGCCTGTTGCTCAGCAGGCCTGTGTGGATCCATGGAGAGACTTGCAGGCGTTTTACTCTGTAGCGCAGTGGAAAGGCTCACGTTGCCGCAGCGCCCGCCAACCCTACCAGCAGCCTGGCTGTGTTGCCATGGTGACCAAATTTGAGCAGTGTCTGGCTCTAGCTCTCTTTCTCTCTCTCTCTCCTCCTAGTTTCTCTCTCTTTCCCATAGCTCACCCCCCCCACACACACACGCACGCCTTCTTTTTCTCTCACTTTCTCTCCTTCACATCTCATAACCCCCTCCTATTATTTTCTCTCTCACTCTCTCTCTTAACTGCTCCCCCTTTCTTGTTCTTTCTTTCTATCCTGCCAATCACCCCCCCCCCCCCCCCCACATACACACGCACACACACACACACATCCTCACTCTCTATCACAGTGGCAGCCAATGGAACGGTGCCATCCAATCAGACACGTTTGCATAACGAGCTTGTTATGCAGAGGCCTGTGGTTGCAGAGCTGGTGCTCCAGCACCCGTCTAGACAAATCTCATTTATGCATAAGAAGGAGAGAGAAAGAGGGAGAGGGAGAGAGAGAGAGAGAGAGAGAGAGAGAGAGAGAGAGAGTAAATTGAAGATTGTGGATGGGGGATGGGAGTGGGGGTGGAGGTGGAGGAGGGAAAAGCAAAGAAGCAGAACCACTGTTGAGAACAACTGCAAAGACGAGGTGGAACTGTGCAACAACCTCACCGTGGCCCAGAGTTCAATGTTACACACACATCATAGGACCAAAGAGGACACTGGCAGCAACAAAGAGGGTGTCTCTACTGTCAGAGGGAAGAAAATCAGATAAGTGCTGATAACGTAATCAAATTAGATGCTTCCCCATAATGGCTCTGCCTCAGGGAGATTGCAGAGGATGCCACAGAAAATATGAAATGAGCCACGAACTGGATATTCAATAAAATCTAGTTCGACGGGAAAAAAATGCTGCTGTAAAAAGGCTACAACAACAGCCTCTTCTTTTCCCCAGAAATCAGCAACAGCTCTCTGTTGACTCACAATCCCAGAGAGGATATTGAACTTATAAAAACAAGACAGAGGCTCATCTCAAAGTGACTGTATTTCAGCAAAACATGTTTTGAGGTTATATTGTGGCCAAACATCAGCCTCCTCTTTTTCAAATAAAATTAGGTGCCTTCTGTAATCTTTTTTGTTGAACAGGAGCCAGAATGCCCCTTCATGTCTACACAGTTGCTTTGTCTCACTGATGAGAAAAGGAAGGCAAGTACCATTTCTGCCACCAGTAGCTGTGACCTGAGACTGCGATGTGCCACTGACAGTCTCTGACCCCAATTGACTTTTGGCCCCTGTCTGACACCAACCTCTGGGGAGTGATTGGAAGTGAATTACAGCAGTGGAGGTTCCTCAGTGGGAGGGCAAGAAAGAAAGAAATATTAGTGAGGAAAGAAAGAAAGAAAGAGAAGAATGAAAGAAAGAAAGAAAGAAAGAAAAAGAAAGAGAAAGAAAGGCTGGCAGTAACAAAAGCAGCAACATCACGATCAAGGCAAAGTGAGGTGATGCGTGTGAGACGAGAGGAGAGGGAAGAAAGAGGAGAATACAGAGCAGAGTCTGTGTGTGTGAGAGAGGAGAGTGTCAGAGGGAGTCCCCCCCTCATTAGCTCAGTGAGACCCAGAGCTCAGTGTTTACCACAAGCAGCCAAAGGGCCGGGTGGCAGCCTGGCCAGCCAAGCTCCTCACAGCACTGCTGGCATCTCCACCCAGCAGAGGGGAACATCCTGGCTATGTCACTGACACTGTTAAAGCCATCACCAGCACAGGCGGGAAACACACTGGGAATACGGTGAATTCCTATAATCATTGAATAAATAATTATTATAGCTCCTGGGTTTGGCCACGTTTTCTGGAGCAAACGTAGATTGGGAGTGAACTTCATGCAATGCTGCCTTTTTAGTCGGATTCCCCTCAAAGCTGCACCAATCAATATTATATATTAATGGTGGATCAAATGACAATGTTTAATCTGAAAGGGGTCGGATTATTATTTTCAAAATGCAGTTCTCTCTAGCTTTACAGAGCTTCCAACCACTCCGAGGTCATTGTTTTGATTTTCCAGTGCTACACCACATTAACCTGTTAGATTCTGTGACCAGTTTCAGTATTTTGTTTAGGAGTGTACTTCCCCTAACCAGACCAATCAGTGAGCTTATTTATATTTGCTCTCGCAGATGGGTCCCCCCCTCCTGTTCACACAGATTTTCATCCACCATGATACGGGTCGGGCTAGTCACAACTATGTATCTAATCTAATCTAAAATGGGGCGGGTTTGACACAATGACTGACAGAGGAGCGCCGCTGAAGCATTTTCATTAACAACCAAGATGGCTGCCACTGATGTGGAGAGGTCTGTTGAATCTGCTATTGCAACAGTATTACACAAACTTGATGGTAAATTATTCGGTAAAAGAACAAACACCTGCACTAACAGTGTTTGTTGATAAGAAAGATGTTTGACGCACTACCGACAGGATTTGATTTAATTCGCAAACTGGCTCCACTCTGTGCTCCACATTGTTTCACTACCTGCCCTGCACCAAACGACAAACATAAAGCTAGCTGGTAAACATATGGTGAGAATTTAGAAGCAAATGAGCCAGATGTTTTTTCAGAAGTTGATGGAGACCAAACCAGAACTAAAAGGACAATGAATATTATATATAACGATCCTCAGGTGCACAGAAAAACAACTCAAAATGATCTCTAATGACAATGGCAATTGTTTATTAACACATTTGCAACTTGTAATGACCCAGCCCTGAGACCATGGCAAATAATGGAAGTGCATGTGAGAGATTATCTAAAGGAAAGGTTTCTTTTTATATAAGGAAATGATACATAAGATCAATGCCATGCAACTTTAAAGCAAGTCTGTGTGACAGAATGAAACACTCATGCTAAATTCGATAAACTTTGGGTTTTTTGTAGCTATAGCCTGACAATAGCTAATGCTATATTGTTACGTTATAACGTTGGATATTACAGTTTAATGACTGAATAAATGGCATTACTGGCTCAGTTTGAATCTTTTCTATTTGTGCTACTGTAAACTACATTTTAGCATACACCGTAATACCATAATTGCCACTTTGTGACCACAGTGGCTGCTGTTCAACAAAAGGCTAGCTTTAACAGCTAGTGATTCCAACATAACAAATCTGGTTGAATAAAGACACTGGTGTTAATGCTGAGAGCAGATCAAACGTCTGACCTGTTGTCTAAACCTTGGAGACTAAAGGCTGGAGAAACTCTACTCTCAAAACTGCTCTGTCACAGCTCAGACTCCCACTGTTAGCTTGGCACAGACTGTGTACTTCTGACCTACAGTCCCTGCCATCAGCACCAGCACCACAGGCACAAATCTACACTCTAAACTGGCACTTGGTGCCCACAGCTTACACTGGCAATGACGGCGACACTGCTGCCAACCTCCCCTAAGCCTGAGACAGTCCACTGCCTCTCATTTAGATTACAAAGGCAATCCAGTAGCCAAAATACACCTCTGATCCAATTGCAGAGACATCAAAAGAGCGATGGGTTGAGAAACAGAGAATGTGGAGTACAGCTTGAGCCAAAACGCCTGACAAGCTGTTGTGTCCAAGGTCATGACAGATGGTGTTGAGTGAGAATTACACATTACCTCCTTTTTCCTCTTCTTAACTTTGGGCATTTTTCCCTCTTTCATCTTTTTGGGCTTCTTCTTCTTTTGTTGTTTGAGGGAGTCATCATCAGAAAAAAAGCTGTCGAGGGGTGTAAGGGGAACAGTGTTGCGCTCACCTTCGTCATCCTCATCTGGAAACAAAGAAACAAAAACATATCTGCTTAGGCACATAATGTAGTATACTGTGCACAAAGTACTTAAGATGATACTGTACATCTGGAAGTTTGTCAACTTTACAGCAAGGAAATTAATTGACAACAATTTTTTGTCATTTATTGTTTAAGTCATTTATTAAAGAAAAATTAAAAACATTTACTGGTTCCAGCATCTGAAATGTGAAGGTGTGTCTTTTCTCAGTTTTATAACATTGTAAAATGAATATATCTGGGTCTGTTGATTAGACAAATCAAGCGATGTGAAGAAATAACTTTGGGTTTGGGAAATTGTAGAGGTTTTTTTCACAATTTTCTGACATTTAATAGACAAAATTTGGAATCAAAAAGGATTAAAAAAAAAGAAAGCTTAAATGATAATTAAACTGATCATTAGTTGTCCGCCTTATACACAGTGAAAAGTCAGCAAAGTGAAAAGTCAGTTTTTGAAAATAAAAATGATGAATCGGTGTCAGGCCAACAGGAGCACTTGGCAAAATAAACCTCATAATCACACATCATTGAGTGTGGATCAACTTTATCCGTCAAAGCGCAAATAGATGGAGTGCCTGCCCTGCTGCTAAATGGGATATCCCTGGAGGACCACTGAGGTATACTGAGCATAACTTCTGCCTTTAATGCTTGCTGGGACTAAAGCGACCTGCTGCTGTTTGTCAGCTGCACTGTCTCAAAGCTGCTGTGTACAAACGTGCTGACTGCTGAGCGCAGCAGACTTTACTGATGCCATAGTGGGTCACAGAGGAGTAAGTAAGGGAGAGAGACAGTCCCAAACAATACATCACTATAAAGAGACACGTGGAGAAATACACACAGGATGCAACCGCCCCGTAAAGGTTGACCTGATCTCGTTCTCCCACTGTGTCTCCAACTGTCTTTGTGTCTCTTTCAGTCTATATATCTGCGTGTCTCCCTTGCGCTCTGCGTCTCACACAGACAGACTGGAGGGCATGAAATATGCAGCACATGTATCAGAGTCAATCAGCCAACACTCGCCCTGCAGTCTACCACTCCCCTGGGTAGCTGGAGTGAGAGATTGGGGAGGAGGGATTCCTGTGTAGTAGACACACAAACCTCACCAACCACTTATCCTCTATTTAGCAAAGCTAGCAGGAGGTATCCCACGCGCACACACACACACACACACACACACACACAGAGTATAGAACAGATCAGTGACTTCAAAGCTTTAATCGGTGGCACTGGCAGGCTCATTGTGTTTTTTTCTGTCCACCAGATGAAATGTGTCACCCCTTCTTTAATGCTAATTGGGGGTAACTTGTGCTTTTTATGCCCAATTTTTTTCATAATAAAGCTGTGACTGACAACATTTATAACTGGTAACAATTACTTTAAAATTTGACCATGCTAGTTATCTATCTATCTATCTATCTATCTATCTATCTATCTATCTATCTATCTATCTATCTATCTATTTGGGATTTTTGCTGCTTTGCCTGCTTGTTCTTTCTCTCTACCTCCAGCACAGATGCTTCTCTCCTCTCTTTATTTCTCTCTTTCTCAATAGAGCCTTGAGTTTATGTATTCAGCATCTCAAACAGGGAGCTCTTTTACGTCTCAGATGTATGTTAGCCGCCTGCCAGGCGAGTTATGATGGCAACACAGCGAGCTTTACATCTCTTTTAGACGCACAGATGATGACACGGATCAGATGCTGGAGATGGAGACAGGCCTGGATTACAGAAAGCACACAGCCCGTCACTTTGCAGCCTTTCTCTCTATGAGTGAACTACGACTGACAGGTTGACCACACATCACTGATTACACATGCCAGATGAAGCCGGACTGTGTGTCCCTTGCGCTGCTTCCTGTACAATAAATAACTCAATCTTGACAGTGATGAAGCTGCATTACTGATGTAAGGTTTAAAAGTTCGATTACATGCACCTAATTCAATTTGAACAGACTTGACTGGGTCCTTTCTTAGCAATGATAGTAGTGTGACTGGCAAGGTTGGTCTGTCCACCACTTCTCTACTGGATGGATTGGCACAAAATTTTGTACAGACTTTCAGGGTTCCCAGATGTTGTATTCTGCTCACTTTGGTGATCTTCTGACGTCTGCTCTAGTGCTACCATGCGGTTGGCATTTGTAGTTTTGGGTGAAAACTTCCAACAACTATTTGACGGATTGATCAGAAATTTTACAGAGACATTCATGTCTCCCTAATATAAATTGTAATGACTCAATGATCCCCTAATCAGGCCAAAAATTCATTTCAATCAAAACTTCTGTCTTCCGCAGGTAAAGGGCCGACTGTGCTCGTTAGCAAATGTTGTCATGGTAACACGCTAAACTAAGATGATGTAAATGGTAAATAGATCGGTTAAATTTCAGCATGTTAGCATTTTCATTGCCAGCATGTTAGCTTGCTGACATTAGTATTTAGTTTGAAAGCACCACTGTGCCTAAAGTGCACGGAGCCGCCAGCATGGCTGTGGACTGTTAGTCTTGTTGAAAAAAAAAATCCAACAAAAATATTGAACAAATGGTCTGTCAGTAATGGATCTTATTTATGAGAGGGTGTGATAGCAATACAATTGACTGGAAAAAAAAACAAAAAAAAAAAACATGTCTGTCTTTAAACCTGCATTGCCTTATAATCCTAACCTTGCCTCTAGTAAATGGTCTGTGAAGTCCCCAATGGGAAAGCCATCAGGGGAAAGATAATCTTTCTGCTTGGTGAGTGAACCAGGCTGTGCCAGGTGTTGGAAGGGGGGTGGGGGTCGCTCAGTCATGTGGCACAGAGAGGTCTGGCACCAGATTCCGTTAGAAAGAGGACCAAAGCTCCACTTGGCAAACAGGCCGTCTGTAAAGTGTGGACGGATGGCACAGACACAGTTCTGACCTTCCTGCAAGGGCTTGGCCATCGGACTGACCCATTAGAAGGGAGATTCATGAGCAACTCCCAAGTGAGGAAGCTAGAGTTTACTGGAAAGCACATTAGCCCTTTGTCTGTTGGCCCCCGTGTGGAAATACCCACTTAATGTTGCCCAGCATTGCTTGCCACAAAGGAGGCAAGACAGAGCCAAAGGGTTTCCTTTCTTCACTGATTAAGTGCTCATAGTTCAGGCCTCAAACGCCTTCGGACCAAGATACCCATAGACTATTATTAGAAAATGTAATCATCAAAGTGATTGAAGGATAGAGCCCAAATTACATCATTAAAATCATATCTATTATAGACAATGTATGCACAAGATCATAATGTGTGCAATACAAAGCAGATATTAAACAGAAATGGCATCTTTCGTGCTAAGGCTATGTGCACGCGCAGCAGGAAAAAATGGTGTCAACTTTCACAGTGAGGGATCCAAAAATAGACCCCTTTCCAATTGGGGATAACATTTGTAGGCACACAAAAGCCCATTATAATCTTTCAATTTTAGGGAAGAACAAAACAATTAAAACAGAAAACACAATGGAACAATCTGTGACAGTGTAAGCACCCAGAGTGAAACAAAGGGAATTAGGACACTTTATGTGCCACAGCAAATAAAAGCTGTGATAGGATAACATTCAGGGGTCTGAAGTTCCCCGAGGATGTGCTTCTACATTTTTGCATTTTAATTGCATGGAAGCATCTTGATGCCGGGATAAATCTGATCTGGATTCTTGACCTTGTCTGTCACTTTGATGTTTGGTGACGGAGGTCGTAACCTGTCCTGAAAACTGCTTCCTGTATCAGCAGAATAACAACAGATTTGCATATTGTCAGAGCAGCGTGGAGATCCTAATTTATCATCAAAAATCTTCATCAAGGCAAATAAATATAAATCATTGTATCTGATTTTTATTGCATTCACCCTTCACCATAAATTGAGTTCCATTGATATGATTACAGTCAAAGATATACAAATACAAAATTATATCAAGGCACACATAAAGCAATTTTAACTGACACGAGAATGTTTTGGATTTTTAAAATCGGATTACTACTCACATATTTTCACTCACCTGCCATAATCAATTGCACCCTTCCTTCCTCATACATGTTTAACCAACCCCCTGGGTTATTGGGGACACGCATCAGTGCTTGTGTTCTCCCTCGGGCTATGGCTGGCAGTCACAGATGATGCCTCAACTGCTCAACACTTCTCTCTGTTTCTCCCCTTCCCCTCTCTTTGTCTGTCTTTTTCCCTCTCTGCTGCACACCTTCACATAGGAACTTGCAAGTATAAATCTGGCTTATCAAAAATATTGTATGTATACATATATATATAAAGAAAAAAATATGGGTTGGTTTTATATGCAAAGCATTGTCACAAATAACACTGAATCCACCACGCTCAGTCCATATGTGACAGGCAAAGGCATTTTTGAAAACCTGCCCCCTTCAATAGAAAATCACATATTTGATTTTAGAAATAATAAATAATGATGTACCCATGATATAAACTATACTGCAATTAATATATGTGTGATGCAAAGTATATCAGCTTTAAAGGTTCAAGACCTTGAAAAAAAGCAGGAATAATGAGTAAAAAATGCACCATGGCAACTCCACAATATGACAATTAGTCATTCAGTTCAGAGGCAGTAAACCACTGCTAAGGCGTCATGTGACCAAACCAAGCCAATGTGATTTGGCAAAGGCTTTTTAATCATTTTGTCACAATATTTTACCTTGTAGCACTGCACTGTATTACTTATTACTGTATCCCAAACCATAAAGCATCATTTTGAAGAATTGGGACACTTTCTCTCTTATGTATTCTAACACTGCATCATTTCAGGCTATCACTGTGTTTAATTTTCACACTCCTGCACAACTTCTTACTAAATATTTTGTTATAACCAGGAAACTTTTCCACATTGTGATGCGAAAGTGAAATAGAGGGCAGAGCAGCATCTTTTAAGTCTTGCCCTTGACATCAAAGCATCAAATAAGCTAATGCCCTGAGCGAGCTGCAGGGGTAGATAAAAAAAATTTTTTTAAATGTAAATATGTCAATCTATTGGCTGCACTGGACAAAGTGACATGATGCAGTGTGCCTGCATTTTCTCCGTGCATTTCTGCCCAGCACAAGTGCAACAGTGGGGCACCTCAGCCCCTAACACGTTGGACCAGGAAACAGATCCGAAATAGGACTTGGTTTGACTGAGGCAGATATAGATTTTGATGAAACTGGCTCGTGGCTGCACATGACAGACATCCCAGTTTGCAGTTTAAGTATGTGTCATATAGGCATGACAGCTGTGGCCTACAGCTAATCCCACCACTAGTTCATCTAGAGGAGCAAAAGCCATCATGCAGCAGTCATGAAATTTTTCATTTTATACTATTAGGAAAACATCATTTAGAAAACATGACACTATGACCGGGATTCCCCTAACTACTCAGGTGTGTTATCTGTTTCACCAAGTACAGAAAATCACTGGGTGCCGGGACACCTGCCAGAAAGTCTGACAAACTTATTACCCAAGTGAAAACAGATTGGCCATAATTTGGCAAGTACCCTCTTGTATCTACAGGTCATTAATTAAAGAATCTTCATTTCTGAAGAAAGAAAATGACATATGCACTACAGCTGGTTCATTGCCAGAGTGGCTGACAGATTAATTTTCCAACCAGAAGAAATAGTGCCCAGATTTGGCTTGTGTGAAGCCACCATGTGAACTCAATGAGCTGCATGTCAAGAATGTGGGTTAGAGATGGAAGGGATGGTGGTAACCCAACCATGGCCATCAACAGCGCTCAAGACCAAGGCTAAATACTTGATAAAGACTGTTTACTGTAGCCTACACGTGGCTTTCACACCTCTGCGGCCATGCAGTGCTGGAAAAAATTGAAAGTTGGAGCAGCCTCCTGATCACAAGTGGAAACAGCAGCGCATCTTGTACAAGATGAACACGGATGTTGTCACTGTAGCCCATTTCTACTTAAAAGCATATGCACGCATTAACTGAGAAGGACAGAAAAATCATCACAGCATAGGCCGACACAGCACCGAAACAACTGTCATCGTTTTAAACAGCTCTCTGACTCAAACTTGTGTCTTTGGACTTCAGGTAAAGCCATTCACTTATACACGCATGCAGCCTCTGACAGAAAAAAAAAAACAGCCCACAGAAACCATGCAGCAGGGTTTTCATCTTGCCCCGAAATCAGGCTGGATGTGAGGACAGCCGGAGGCAAATCCAAAAACCTGTTCCCACCTTAAAGACACTAGGTCGTGCAAAAAAAACATAATAGCATGACTCTGCTTATTGCACCCCACCCCTCCTCCTCCTCTCTGGTCTAAGGAACGCAGGACAAGCCCTTTTCCCCGCATTCAAGGCGTAGCGGCGCAAAATAATCTGAAGGACACCCCGCCTCCCCCCTTTCCCTCACCTGGCATATCGTCTTCAAAATCCATGTCGTCTTGTCCCTCGTCTTCATTACTCAGCGACCCCGGCATCTTTATCTCATAGCCCCCAAACCCCTTTTAGACTGAGAATACTGAAAGTTAACCCTCCAGACGCCGCAGCCCAGTCTCTTTCTTCACCCAAAAAGAAATGTATTCGTCGCTCAGTTAATTTTTTTTTTAATTTTTTTTTCGCAGTGAATCTCGGGCTCTCTCTCCAGGAGTAAAAAAAAAATTAAATAAAAATCATTTATTTTTTCCACTGATCTCTATCCAGGTCTTCCAGTCTGAAAAATAAGAAAGACAAAAATGGAACACACATGCCCAGATTGTGACGTCTGGTCTGTTGCCATGACGATGCATCCCATAATTTCACCCACAACTAGTTAGTCATGCTCTCCTAGTTACCACTTCAACTAGTAGTGTGCAAAAAAACACACCGTGCGGCATCGCCATGTGCCGCTAATAGGCGGATACTCTCCCGCGCCTGTCGCCTGCCCGTTTCCCTTTGGAAGTCCAGAGAATTGAGACAGAAACTTCTGCTGGTTTCTCGCACAGCTGCCTCACGATTCACTGTAACCTTTACTCTAAATATGAAGTGTGTCTGTAGGGGAGAAAAAACTGCTCTTTTTTTCCCTATCAAGTGAAAGTATTAATGCCAATTAATATTTTTTGGACTAATTCTCACCTTTCATCAACATCTAAAACATCAGGCAGAAATAAACAGACTCTATATTCGTTTCTTCATTTTACAAACTTTCGCCTTTTTTCCGGACAAAAAAGCCCCACACAAGTGCAGCGTAATGACTGCATGCTGAGAGGAGTCCTGACTGCCAGTGGTCTAACTGTTGTCAAGGTTACCACAGCTGTAACACAGGATGCCCCACAGAGAGCTCACCAGTGAGTATGGCTTTCAGCTTCGCTTACAATGTATTAAAATATACAAATCAGGAGCTGGAAGTGCACATCCATTGCACATGCTACATGGTTTCAGTGTGCCTAATTTATTTAAGCGTATTTATTATTTATATCCAGCGTAATAGTTTTGTTCATCTCTTTTTGGCTGATAGCATAGTGCACTTGCCTACATTTGCATTTTATTTTCATGTAATTAGTTTGCTGGTGCGGATTTCTGCACAAAGGGCACAAAAGGAAAAGAATTATAAAATTATTTTCTCGGACTTCCCAATTCAGACAAAGGTACCAAAAATAAATGTTTTCTTTTTTTTTTTTTTAATGGATAGTTTGAAAGTACCACTAGATGACCGCTTCATTTGGATTTTTGTTTAAATTATGCATCTAAATTATAAAAATTAAAAAATATATATAACAGAGCAGAGGATACAGTGTTATGTTCATAGCTCTGGTATGCATGTCCTTTCAAAATGTAAAAAAAAAAAAAAAAAAAAAAAGACAAATTTTTCTACTCTTTAGAAATTTTTTATTAAAAGTGGTGTTAGTTTTAATCTTCCTCTTCCTCCTCCTCATCCTGGTTGATCTGGAAGTAGCGCAGCTCGTAGCTCTCCTTGGTGTTGGCAACAACCCGCAACCAGTCCCTGAGGTTGTTCTTTTTCAGATACTTCTTGGTGAGATACTTCAGGTACCTGACAGAGAGGAGGGGATGGGGGCAAACAGCATAAACATTTTAGTGTATAATTAGCAAGTCATTTTCATTGACATATTCCTTGAGAACCTACACCCAGGTGTTTGCAAAATCTAGCCATTTCTTAAATTATGTTTGAATAAACATTGAATTGTTTAATCTAGTTTTGACCTCAAACGCACTTAAGTGTTCTGTATTCTGTGTTCTTTTAAAAATATTATTTGAAGCACAAATAGCATACTGTATGTCACTAAAATCTAGTAATTTGATGACAGATCCAGCTTACACTATGGTTAAATACATTACAAGATACACTAATACACTAATACCAACATCTCCTAGTTACCTTTTCCACTGGTCATATGAAGTGCTCAATTTAAGAATCAAAATGGTAGAGACACCCTCTGGTGGTGGTATTCTTAACACAATCTCATTGAAACATATATATATATATATATATATATATACTTATTTTTCAATTTTTGAAATGAGTTTATGCAAATAAATATTTCCAAATGCAGAATCCTAGAGGCATTTCTGGAGTCTGACCTAAACTTTCCTTCTCATTTCCACAACATAACAGATTTCCATCTGTCAGCTTAGAAGTATTGCTAGGATCAGATCTTTTCTTTAATTCCAGGACACTAAAACCCTTATTCATGCCTTTGTTTACAGCCATTCAGACTATTATAAATCCTTATCTGCTGGCCTGCCCCAGAAATCAATTGAATGAGTCCAGCTTGTCCAAAATACTGCTGCCAGGGTTCTCACAAGAACTAGGAAATATGATCATATTTCTCTATTGTTTTGGCGTTTGCCATCAGGGGGTCCTAAACTCTGGAACAATCTCCCACTGCAAATTAGATAAACAACCTCAATGTCTGCTTTTAAATGTCTACTAAAGACTTATTTTTATAGATTAGCTTTTAATTAGTTTTACATTGGCTTTTAATTTAGTCATTGTAGTTTGTCCCATGTATGTTCATCATCTTGTTTTTATATCTTCTCCCGTCTGCATAGTACTCTGTAAACTTGTTTTTGAAAAGTGCTATATAAATAAAGTTTATTAATTATTATTATTATTATTATTAGTTAGAACATAGCCATTGTTAATGATATTATTTTGACCTCTTTTTTTCCTACTGTATGTCAAAATGACTGATGTGAAAAAGGCTTCAATACACTCAGTGGCCATTTTTTTTTAGGTACGCCTGTACAATCCACAATCCGGTGCAAAAACACCTTTAAATATAATGCACACCACCACATTTAACTATGACCTCAATAATAAACATTTAATTGAATTTCACATTTCAAAAATGTGAACAAAAACTGGACATTATACACTTGGTGAAAAGTAGAATTTATGGCAGAGCTGTTGCACTGAATTGGAATAGATTTTACAGGTGTATAAAGAGGCCACAGAGTGCATGTTACGTATACATGTGCTTTTTAAGTAGTTCCTGGTGAAAGCATCTTTAATGTTTGTGCCATTGCCATTGCCATCCCATTATATTGGGCTGATGACATAAGCAGATTTCTTCGCAGAAGACTTCTCAACAACAACAAAAAAAAAAAATGTAAGGAAAGCCAAAACAAGCTGCATGGCTAGACACGACTATGAATATTTGGTTGAACTGCCCTTTAATTTGGAAACGCCACAAGACACTACCGGAAAGTTTTACGATACAAAGAAAAACTCGGTATTTTCAGAATGAATGAAGATACAACACTGACAAGTCTTATTTAAGGGTTTCTGAAGTAAAATCCTCATGTTACAGAGACTGTGCGGATTACATTGTGTATGGTTGCCAGCTATGCCAATAAAGTACGTCAGTTACATAAGATACGCATTATAAATCCCAGAGGCATCTTGTTTCTTTGCATTATGGTGGTTGCCTGTACAAAAGACAGGAATATAAAACTTCTATCAATGTGTGCAACTTATGAAGTTATATTACCACCTTACAACAAAGTAAAGACGGTGAACTCCACCTGGTGACTTAGTCCTCTCTGATAGGAGTTCTGTAGTGGCCAGTACACGTTATCCAGCTGCTTCAGGATTAAATCCCAACAGTATCCATATCATTGACTACATCAGATCATTAATAATTAGTATCGGCCCATTCACTGACTCGCAATTCATTACTCATCTTCAGAACAGTTACTACCTGTATTTAAGGAACAATATTCAAGCAGCCAGCCTGCTTCTTCAGAAGTGCTCATCAGACAGTTGAATAGCTATATGGCACACCGTAAACATTTTACAGCCTCATTTTTAGTCCGCAAAGGTGAGCACTCAGAGGACATTTCGGGCAGAGTATCACCATAATTTGTAATACATCAAATAAAGCTGTATTTGGTGTCTTCTCATTTTGTCGGGTGGTCTGTTACCTAACTGTTGTCAAAATGCCAATAATATTAAATGAAAATCACACTCCTAGATATTACATTTTTCAGTGGGATATTGCATTCTCCTCTCTTACACACAAAAGTGAAATAGATTACTTAGCTGCTCTGGGAAACTTGTACAAACATTTCTTCAAATTGGACATATCTGTTTGTCTATGGTAGAAAGTGCTGCATAGAGTGATCTAGCATTTCGTACATGACTGTGATAAGCAAAAAGATCATTTCCATCGACTGGTAAAAAATGACAGACAAGAGTCACACTATATTTTGTACCTCTTTGAGAAGGGAACTTCGGAGTTCACAGCAATTTTGCTCTTGCTCCTCTCAATGGACACCACACCACCACCAAGGTTTCCAGCTTTGCCGTTCACCTTGATGCGCTCCTGGAGAAACTGCTCCTGTAGTGGCAGAGGACACAGCAAGTCTCACACAACAGTTGGTATTCATAAGCATGTACACAGTTAGTACAAAGGGGGATATCAAAACGAAATGGTGTTATGTTAGATACGTTTCTAACCAGAACTGAAAGATGACAGATAGTGTTTGATAAGTTGTTAGTTTCCATTCTAAACCACATCGGGTTATTGTGTCTTTCAGTTTAACTGACTGTGAAAATCATCTCCAATGACTTGGGATTGATCCCACTGATTTGACAGCAGGGCTTGACACTCAGGGGTTTAGTCTAACAGCTGCTGCACACTGTTTAACAATATGTCACTTATGTCTGAACTGCTCTACTCACAAAGTTGGCTGCATCCATGATGCCATCTTCAACAGGGTGAGTGCAGTCCAGGGTGAACTTCAGGATCTGCTTCTTCCTTTTTCCACCCTGCTTCTTGACCACCTGCTTTTTCTGGCAGAGACGTAATATAAAGGTTAGTCAACCCCACATACATCATATCATGTTTAACTTCGAAACAGCTAAAAGGAAGCATTTCAATAATTTTCCAATTCTGTCGAGATCTCATGAGTGGCAAGTTGCCTCTAAACTTTATTTTACCAACAACACTTTGCGACAGAATTTTCACGTTAACTGCTGCTAGCTAACGTTAGCACTAACAGTTAGCCCAACGTGGTGTTCGCCGACACAGTAAACAAATCAAAATAAAAGTCTTAAACTGTCGTTGACTCATATATTTATAATCACGGATTATATACACTTCCGCGAGTGCGAAAGACAAGCTACAATATATTGCCTTTATGCAGTTTATTTGATCTTTTCACTACTCACAATCGGGGCCATGGTTGACACATTCAGCAAAAAGGAAGGGGGAAAGGTTGCGCAGGAACTATAATACCCGGCTGCAAAATCGATCGCATCGTTTCTTTCTCATCGAGTTCTCTGTAATCGATTAAGAAATTGTTATAAGGTAACTATTTACACTATTTAGCCTAACCCTTCAGCTGCGTAAATGCTAAATATATGAAACTAGATGTTATATATATATTTAAATAACAAGCATGATTATAACCATATTAGCATATTAGCATAAATAGGCTACTAACTATCCACATGTTTTTTATTTATTGGCCAACTACTGCCCAGTCAGTAAATTATCAACCTTATGGGTAAGCTAGTTTTTCACAAAAAGTTAGCTGTCCTTTTAACAGTAATGATTGTTAGATGTCTATGAGCTTTATTCAGTAATAATATTACAACTACAACAACTGCAAAACATTAGCCGAACAAACTGATCATAAATGAATGATAAACAACAGAACTCCGCGACAAGTGAGCAAATTCCATCCGCTGATGAGGGTCGTGAGTTTTCGAAAAAGGTAGTAAGTGGAACTTGAGTTATTATTTGGTCGTGGTTTATTTTCCATCCATATTTCCTAATCATTTTTAACACATTTTCTGGTAAGAATTATGTAGATTTGAACTAATTAAAGTTACCTATTTCTATAAACTGTTATAACTGCTATAACTTAACCTAGGGAATCAGTGCAGTACAGTTCAGCTCAAAATGAAAAATGTGACTACACATAAAATCAACACGTGTGGAGAATAGAGTTTCTTATAATAAATGAACTATGAATTAATGTTTACTTATGTTTAAACTGAGCAGTTTTTTACTTTAAAAGACACATCTACCAAATTACATAGTTCTTGTCAATAAAAAATAAATCAGTTTGAAATTATTAGAACATTGTGGATGTTTTTTCAGTTCTTTGCTCTTGAATTAGAGTGGGTCTCTATTTTTATATGACATAGAAATTATGTTATTGCTTTTATGCAACATAACAATACCAAGCTTAATGGTATGTAGCACTTTTAAAAAACAATCTTTACAAATGCCTAAAAAATAATGCTGTGTATGTCAAGTTGAAAGTATTCCTGTTAGAGTATTGCAGCACATTCAGTGCTTTGTACTGCTTTGTACTGTAATTTCCACGCCTTACCTTCCCTTCACCCTGCTGTGGTGTCCAAGACGTGATAACAGTAGTATGAGAAATGGGACAACTGTATTTACAACAATAGAAAAACTTTATGGGACACCAATATTAAATGTCCCTTTTGCACTTTGACAACAGGAGGGGGCTGGCATTAGGTGTGTGCTGTCAGCTGCCTGGCAGAGGGACCCCTTCAGCCTACTATTGAAGAGTTTCTGCATTGCTGTCATTCCTGCAGGGGGTAGCTGATAGCACCACTGAAAGGTAAGACAGTGGCTCTCTGTGCTTTCTGCAGACCTTCCTGCTGCATTTACAGTAGGTTTTGTTAGCTGGGTATAACTTTGGTGTTGATAAAGTCTTTGATGTTATTTTTTTTCCGTGGATTGTGTGTTGTCATTGAAGCTCTGGGCACTTATTACACAACTGGCAAGGTAAATGAAAAAAGAGAGTTCTTCTTATTTATTAATATCTGACTGTCTTGACCAAAGTATTTCATATCACAGTTGGCTAAGCCACTCCTATAATTACTGGAATATTTGGAGTTTAATTCAATACCGTAACATATGCTAAAACATTTTTGTTTAGTTATTGAATGATGTGGCCTTATAAAAATTGTCAATCATGTGATACAGTCAGTCTGTCCTTATACACACACTCTATTTACAGATGGCAGGAGGAATCTTCACCAATTTGGACAGTCAGTGTAATGTGGATTGTACCAATGTCCACCCACTGATGTGTCACATGTGTCATGAGCAGTACCAGTCCCCATGTCTGTTGGACTGCTACCACATCTTCTGTGCCCGCTGCCTACGAGGCCGGACCAATGACAGCCGTCTCACCTGCCCCCTCTGTGGGTAAGAGATAGCACTGTGAGGTTGATCATGACCAATTTAGGTTGCATATAGATTATCAATCTTGATAGCAATGGAAAAGTCTTTAATCTCTGGACAACCAAAACCTGTGTTCATTATCTCCACACTGAGATTGCATTATAGACTGACACATTGATCTGAAGGTTTTTCATCTATTTCAACTTTCCAAGGGAACACATTTCCTTATATCTTCACAATAAGTAAAAAAAAAACCTAATATGAAGGTTCAAGTCAAGTTTCTGAACTAAAAATTAATGCTGCACATGGTGTTTTGGTTTGTGTTTAAGATATCTGAGCCTGGATATTACACGTGTGGTTCTAGGGTTCTAAGGCAGAAATCCCCAAACAAATTGACAATATAGAGGCCAAAGGTCAAGGACTGACTCTTTTGGTGGACTACAGTATTTTAATTTTAAGTACAACTCCCCAACAGTTTGTATCATGTTGAAATTTGGCAATGCTATATAATGAGCTGGTGATCTCAAACTGCTAAAAACATGATTAAGCAGTTTAAATTCCTAGTAAAATATAATTTTGCTCCTTGAAACCCCATGGAGGGTCATACTTTTTGTGTGAGAAGCCAAATTTTTCCCACAAGCTTCAGTTTTGGGCAGCGTTGCTCAAAGGGATTCGTTCCGCATAAGTTGATTAGTAGATTGGTTTGGTCCATTCAGGAGATTTGAGGAGAATCCCATTGGTTTCAGAGAGCTTCGAGTCACTGTGTTTTGGTGTTAGGGGGCTGCTCAGTGATCCATTGCTGGCCTGGTGTAGGTAGGGCAGGTCTGAGTGACTGGGACAGCTGCAGGGTCATCCCTGTCTCTGATTTAGCCCTTGGCCACAACTCTTAGCAGGGCCAGCAAGTTCCACTAAGACCAGTCACACAGCAAACAAAGCATACTGGCATTTGGCATCGGTGCCAGCAGCTTAGGGCAATCAAAAGCAGTCACATGATACAAATCCATTTCATCCCCTATTAAGGAATGACCCATGGTTTACAGTCACCTTCAGGTCTACAGTATTAACTGTACCCCATCAGAGCACACAGGGATGTATAGAAATTGACCTCTACTGCAAGGTGATTGTACAATAAGTCTTTTCTATTGTGTCAGATACAACTTGACCCACGTTTGATTTCTTTTGTGTGTGGAAGAAGAGATCAGAGAATCAGATGTTGGGGATGAGCTCTGATCTTACAACATTATTCTTAGCTGTTCATATAATCTTAGACCTTATCCTTAGATATGGTTACATATTGAGAACTACTTAAAAACCTTCCTGATAAGCAGCTCCAAGGTTCTAATTCTGCTATGACACATATCTACCTCAAAAGGCTGTTTCTTCTGAGGATATATATGTTTGAATCCATAATGACCCAGATTCTTTTCACACTTCCAAACTATGAGACAAACAAGGCGACTTTCCCATTTACAGCTATTTGATGTTGACCTGTGTTGAGGTAGTTCTCCTGTGCTAGTCAGCAGCAGAGGTTAAAGTAATACTAATAACAGTGTCTTCATACCTCAAAGTACTGAGAAATTAGGAGGAAAAAATGCGACAATCATTGGTTTTCTATGAAAATAACCCAGTGGGCACAGAGCCACCGAGCTCTGCTGTCTGGGCTAAGGCTACAGGGGCCCGCTGACTGGCAGCTACTATTTCCATCAGCAGCAGCCTTCTAACAGCTGCTCACTCAAGAACCATGTAATCTAGGAATTCACTACTCTGCTATTAGTAGAACACAATAGATGCCCGTTGCTATGAAAACTAGATAAAACTTGCATGCACAGCAGAGAGAGACGGGGGAGTGAGGGGGTTGCATCATTGCAACTGAATCAAAATGAGGCAAACAGCATAATATTTAAATCAAACAAGCCTGTGCCAGTGAGGCCAACGAGGCAGAAAAACACTGGACATTGCAGCTGCATGTGTTCTTGTTTTCCACCTGAGATTAAATGTTTGTTTTTTTAAGATTTATAACTCTTCATACCTCTAAATTACAATTAGCTACACTTTTGTTTAATCTAATAGTTAACTGAGGTGAAATGCATTTCATAAAGTGTAATGTATGTTATTACTATTATTATTAATACTATTGAGTTGCTGGACAGTTGAATTTTCCCTAGTGGATGAATAAAGTATCTATCATTAGTTGATTCATCAATAGAAAATTTTGTCTGAACCTATTTTTATAATTGAATAATCATTTCAGTCAGGCAGTCAGTTTTTCAAACAAAAATGCCAAACAGTCTCTGGTTGTAAACCCTCAAATGTAAAGTTTTGTACTTCTCGTTGTCACATAAACAGAATGTCTTCAGGGTTTGGACTGACAGTTGGATAAAATAGGGAATCTGAAGATGCCATCTTGGGATCTGAAAAATTATAGCGAGCGTTTATTTTTTACTATGGCATTTCACTATTAAAAAGATTAATCAAAATTGGAAACAATTCATTGTAACAGGTCAAGCTTTTAAGTAAACCAAAACTGACTGACAAAAAAAAACTGTCCCATAAATTTATGAACACACCCACAGAAGCATTTTCAATTCTGTTCATAGTAGAGCTTCCGTCTGTTCTTCAGACTAATTATGCAGATTAGCGCAAAAAAATTTGCATTTAAATCTAAATACAACTGCAACCCTTATGTGTTTGTCTGTCTAAATCTGCCAAATCAATGAGCAGAGCTAAACTATCAATTTAGATATCGCTTTATTTAGATGATGTCATGCTTGCAGGTGTATAAAAAGATTAATTTGTCACACAGTGTGTGGTCCACTGAAAGAAAAAAAAATTCCTTTAAATCAAAGATGATAGCGCCATCTTCTGGGATTCCACAAGAATGCAATAAACACCAGATTTATTTTTAGTAAGAGCAAAATCCCTGTGTTGTTACACAAATCACGTTACTTTGATTATGTGTATTTATATTTAATTATTTTCACTGTACATTTAGATAACTCAGAATTCCTTTCACTGATTAACATACTGATGGAAACAACCATTCAGCCAGTGCTTAACTTAAAATGTATGAAAATGGCAAAAAATATGGAGCAATATAATTACACTGGGTTTATGTCAAGACATGATCAATTGACAACTCATTTAGTCATTTCAACTGGTGCTGGCAGTTCAGTTTTCCTCTTGGTATCCCTCAGTCTTCATGTCATTCAGACCGAGGTCTTCGTTCTGCTCAAAAGAGCGGGTGTACTTCTCCACAGTCATCTCAGGATCGGGCTCTGGGGCGTACACATTCTGCAAATAGCTGTTCCCCGCCGGGTCATCCAGGATGACATGGACATTCATTTCTCCTGCGATAATTTTGTCTATCTTCTCTCCAAACTCATTCAGCTTCTGCACCCGATCAGAGGTGCCGCTGTCACCGCAGATGAAGGGGTTTTTGGAGACGATCAGGTCTTTGATATCTTTCAGCAGTCCCTCCAGAGTGGTGAACTTTCCTCCCAGAGCTGCCATCCCCAGCTCAAACTCAAGCTCCGGGATGACGACCGAGCACGTCTCCGACTTGAGCACGTCTCGGGTCATGTCTGAAGGGTCGGTGATGTGCAGGGAGGTCTTGGTGCCGAGGTCCTCCGTGGCTCCACCTGATTTCACCTCATTGGTCCGGTGGCCACAACTGTCACAGTTGGTGGCCATGATGATGACCTCTTTGAAGTGAGGGATCTGGACGAGCTTCATGTTGGTCGAGGCTGGCGCGTTGCATTCTGGACAGTTAGTGTTGAAGACCAAAACCTCATTTCTCATGGCCTCCAGGTCGTTGCCTGCTGGTTCCTCTTCCAGGTCATCATCAGCCCTGAGTCCCAGCTGCATATCCTGCTGGACCGTCCGCTTGAACCGAGACACAGTGAGAGCCTCATCTTTCTGAGGGGCGAGTGGATTCTCCACAAAACTGTTTCCGGACGGATCCTCAATCACCAGAGTGAATTCATTTTCAACATCTTTTAGCTTCTTCAGCTTCTGGGTGAATTCATCTATTTTCTCAGCCACCTCTGGGTGAGCTGCTCGTCTGACAGGCTGGTCTTGCTCCAACCCTGCAACTGCTCGGTCCAGAAGGCCCTCAATGGTAGAAAGTGAGCCTTTCTGGGTGAAGGGAGGGATTTCAAAATCCAGCTCAGGGATCCTGGTGGTCGCACTGTCTGCCTTCACAACCTCCCGGTTCAAGTCCTGTTTTGTTTTGACTTTCAGTGAGTAACAAACGCCTTGGTCCTGGATCCGGCCTGCAGACTGGATTTCAGTGTTTGACCAGCCGCAGTTCCCGCAGCTGAAAGAGCTGACGATTATTTCTTTGAAGAACGGTATTCTGGTCAAAAGCAAACGAGTCGTACCGTTTTGGTAGCAGTTCATACACAGACTCTCGATCTCAGTGGGCTGCCAGTCTTCGTCGTCGGCGCTGATATCCTTGAAAACGCTCCCGCCTCGCACATTTTCCTCGGAAATAACAGACATTTTAATGGTCGAATATGTTAACTATTAAAGTTAACTTTTAAAAAAACTGTTAAGACACGCTGTCACCGCTCGTTCAGAGACGTCTTGTGCTGGAACTTTCTAGATGACAAGTCGTCGAGCTCTACCTTCTGTACACGTTTGATTTCATCGTGTTGTTCAGCTGCTTCCGCATCTTCTTCTTCGACGGCGGCGGCGCAGTCCAGGACTCGGCTGCTGCCCCCCTCAGCTTTGTTGTAGTATTGCACCAAAATATCCTGGAGTTTCTCCTGCACACAGGGCGAACACACTGGGTTTTTCAATTATATTTAGGACTTTAAGACAAATTTTGCATTGCATTGTAGCTGCTAACTTTTATTTTCCTGTTTTTATCTTCTTCTTTCATCTTCTATTTTATTTTGCTGTTTTAAAAATCATATTTATACTGTATGTTTTTTTGTTTATATTTCCATGTGTTATGTCTTTTTATGTTTTTTTTAATTTTTTTTTAAGCAGTTTAAATTTCTATGGTCCTGTACAAATAAACTATATTAAATTATGTCACAGCCTCATAGATTTGTCCACTTGTGAGGAGGATGCAGATTTGTTAGACAGATTTCGTTATACTTGAGTTTTCTTGTGTTTTTTTTGTCAAAATTCTTCAGTTATATTTATTTTATACATTTTAGGGAGTTATGGACTGGAATGGGTGGTTTGATTTGTGTGCAGGTGTGGTAATCTGTTTTGATTTAGAATCTCTTGTCATACAGGGATGAAATAAACAAGGGCATAGACTTTAGCAGAGTATAACAAAATCAGTAATACAGGAACTAATCTCAGCTGTTCTTGTCACTTCATTGTCATTTTTCATTTTGTTTCAGTTCACTTCTCTAAATGTCATGATTTTCTCTAAATGTCATTCGGGCTGTGTGACCTTGTGTTCTCTGCCACAGATATCCATCCATAGTAAAAGGGAATAACACCCTTCCACCAGAAGACCGTCTGCTGAAGTTCCTTGTTGACAACAATGCAGACACTGAGGAGACAGTCCAGTGTGCCAACTGTGACCAGGAAAGTAACAAAAAGGTACTAAAACAATCAGCTCTGTGCAAAGCTTCAGTGACATGATGACATCATAGCCAGATATTGAAAGAATGTATAGGCAGGACACAGACATTAAAATTAAATGTACACTTATGCTACATGAAATTTTATCCAAGAAATATTGTTGACTCTCACTAATGCATAGGAAGAAGAAGAAGAATTGAAGAAGATTTTTTTATATGTGACATTGCCCATTGTAGCTTTAAACTACAAAAAAAGCATCTCCCCACTTTGTCATATAATTGCATGTTTTATTTTTTTTTTCTGTACAGGACACAGGGATGATGTACTTCTGTAACACTTGTAGCCAGCCACTATGCGGCGCCTGCAGGGAGCTGACTCATAAGGCCAGAATGTTTTCCCACCATGAGATTGTGTCCTTGGCCAAACGCACTAAGGCCAAACACAGGAAGTGCTGTGAGTGCCACCTGTAATTTACTCCCTAAGAATTGCAGGCCAACAAGGCTTTATTACACAACGTTGCTCATAAGAACTCTAGTCCCTCCTGTTCTCTGCTTGAATCTCTTGGACTAAATATTAATCTTATTCTCATACAAAAGCAATGTGGTGGGTCATCTCTAAAAGCTTAATGAGCGGTGGTAAACTTAAACTGGTGTTAGAGAAGTCTCAGTTTTATCAACCAACGTGTGTTTGTCTTCTGAAGCCTGTTTGTCACAAACCTGCTCACGGAATACTGAAATCCTCTGGGCTGTAGTAATAAGTTGTCTGTGTCTCCACAGCTCTCCACGAGGAGCCCTACATCCTATTCTCAACAGAAAATAAGTCTATGCTTTGTATCAAGTGCTTCAGAGACATGCAAGTGTGAGTGAATCCACTACACAAACGCTACAACTGTCAGAAGTTTCCTCTTCTCTTCTCTTCTCTTCTCTTCTCTTCTCTTCTCTTCTCTTCTCTTCTCTTCTCTTTTCTTCTCTTCTCTTCTCTTCTCTTCTCCACATGGAATCAGTTGTTGTTTGTTTACTGCAGGGAGAGTCGGACTCACTGCATTGATATTGAGACGGCTTACATGCAGGGGTGTGAGATGTTGGACCAGGCTGTGCTGGTGAGAGAGAGTCCTATCTGTTCATCTACATATTTATGACACTCAAGGCAAAAAAAAAATTAGCATTATAAATAATTCAGGCACTCAGCGCTGGCACTGACATTGTGAGATGTAGCATAGGTGCACTCAAAATTAGTTTAGTTCATCACAGTGCAATTTGAATATATAAACATAAACTTTTTTTAAACAATGTTTTATTATTCTTATTATTATTAAGTCCTGCCAAGAAAAGCTTGGCAGCTATATAAGTCTGATTATGTGTGTGATTTTAGAGTAACAAAATGAATACATATTCACAAGAGCTAGTGTCAGTTTGGATGTCCTCCTCTACGTGCTCTGCCTAAAACTGTGTAAAAAAAAAAAAACACATACTACACATTCAGAAAAAATCTCAAATCTCAATCAGCTTTAATTGGTCTGTTTGTACGGTTAAGTAGCCTCAACTATGATTACATGTCATTGAGCATGAAGTTGTAATAAAGCTTCTGATGACAAATTAATGTCAGTTAAGTAACCCACTGTGACCTTTCACTGACAGTGATCCCCGTCCTCCCCCTGTAGGTGGTGAAGGATCTGCAGACTTCGACTCGAGAGGCAATCGTTCTGCTGAGAGCGATGATAGGAGAAGTGTGTCTAAATGTGGAGGAAGAAGAGAGTGCAATCTGCAGTCTGTTCAACAGCTTGCAGGTTATATAATGATCGTGATGTGATGTATTTCCCTCAAATGTATTTCCCACAAATTTATTTAACTTAATGATGTTTGGGTCCCAGTAGGTTAAAAAGGTCACTGCACCCATACACAGTATATACCAATAGGCTGCAAGGGACTATGGTCATAGGCGTGGTTAATCATCCTCGCTGCCCAGGGGGATAAACATCTCAAAACAATTAATAATTCAATAGATACACAATAAAACCTCAATCAAAATGCATCAATCCCAAAGAGATGGGCGTACAGACACAATCATAAATTAAGTATATCAAAAATATCCAAAATCCAAAAGCATTCATGTATTTCACCAGAAAAATTTTCACTTATATGCATCAGATGTTTCCTGTTAACACACTCTAACATACATTTCTGTTATCAAGAAGCTACACCCAAAATACTGAACATCTAAATTCTCTCTATCTCTCATCTAATCGAACTCTCTTGGTGTCAGAGTTTGACTTGTAAAGACGTAAAAAGTGGATCGGAAAGGGTATCCACCTTCTTCTCTTCATGCAGGGCTAACGAGCTTGAAGCCAACATTTTGACCTGACAAAAATCCAAATGGGATCGATGCATTTCCAGTGTAAATAACTTTGTGGTTTGGAGACAGTGCAGGCTTTTCTCTTTTTTTTTTTTTTTATCAATTTCCAATTCATGCATGTGATGTGCGTATAAATATGCTCCTTCTCATTTTTTCCCCTAACCAACACAAACAGCTGAAAGCAGTGTGTAGTTCAGTTGCTCCGTGTGACGCCATTACTGCTGCGTGGCCACTGGATGTCTCTGTTAACCTAATTGTGAGGGGAAGAGTGTATTTTCCTTTGCATAAGGAACAATCCAAGAGAGAAGAAACCACAATATGGAATTTACACCCATTTTTCTCCACAATCTTGAACATTCATTAGGTATTAAGAGCTCAAGGCCATTTTCACAGCAGTGTAAGGAATAAAAGGGTCTGTTTTCTCTGTTCTCATCTGACAGGAGAAACTAGCAGAGAGGAAGAAAATTCTTCTGAGAGCAGCTCAGAGGTAAAATGAAATATATAAAGATTTACAGTTCTTATATGAAAATGCTCTTTCACTACCACAAAGCTCACATCTCAATATTTACTAAACTGCATGCTATTATCCTGCTGTCACTGGGTCACTTCATACGTTTTCCTTTGTATCATGCTGCATTGTACTGAGGGTGATGAATAGCAGCACCCTGCTCGCTCTCGACTAATCTCGCTCCTCACCAAACACGTTTTCTTGGTGATTTTCATTTCAACAAAGCATTATGCTGAATTAAAAACACTTCAGCAGGATTACAGTGTTCAAGCTGTTACAGTTGGTGGCAGCCTGTGCCTGGATCCAATCAATGAAATGAAGCCCACTGAAAAGTGTTGGTAACTAAACAGTATATAAATTATGGACTTTCATAAGTCCACAGTGTCAACAACAGCAGCTGCTGCAGAAAACGTATTCAAACCTGTAGATTTCCTCCGCTTTACATCAAAACAATACATTTCGCTCTAACTCTAGGGCCTACTGAAACATGAGCAACTTGTATCTCTATGTTGCTAGCTGTTTACTTTTGCAATCACGAGACTGTAAAGTGATAAACAATGCAGAAATTGCCTTGCAATAGCAGGTCAGTGAGAGCCTCCCAAAGCATTAATTTAGCATTAACCCACAAGTAAAGCAATTAAAAAATTTACAACATCCCTTCAGGAATCATTAAAGTTTGATTTAATGTCATCCAAGTTTTGCAACTAATTAGTCTCTAAAACCAAATTATTGCACATCAGTTAGATTTTATGGAAGATTAATGAGTAATCGCTGAAATAAAATTTTGTATTTGACGATAAACAGACATCGAATTTGTGTTTCTACTTTCTCCTTGAATCTACAGACTCCCATTTCCAAACAACAAGAGTCTCGTATGTAAAAAAGCACTTTTCCTTTTTCAGTGTGCGCCTCATGTATGCGTGTCCATGTTTGAATGAGAGCAATTTTGTGCATGTGAGTGAGTGAGTGTATCAGGTTGCATTCTGCGATGATCTTTAATGAGATTTTTTTTGTGCCCAGTGTCCTCCATCTCTCTCTATCTCTCTCTCTCTCCATTGCCTGGAAGCCCTCCAGTGGCTGGGTTCCCGGAAGGGTTTTAAAGGCTATTTATGTCAGGCTTTGTGTGTCCGGCCCTATGTCTGCGCCTGTGTGTTTGTTACGGGAGAAGACAGATAGATTAGCTTCTGGAAATATGGAGCGTGCTGTTGTGGTTGCACCTCCTGAGCTGGATCCCTGTGTGTATTTCGGCAGGCATGGATGTCAAGGTGTAGCGTTACGTGTTCATGTGTTTGTTTGTGTGTCTGCAGTCAACACGAAGAGAAGGAGAAAGCACTAAAGGAACAACTCTCACACCTTACCGCCCTATTACCAACCCTCCAGGTAGAGTAAAATAAAGACCTCGTGAATAATAATCACGCAAAACCTCTACTACTGACATGTTTCTGGTCACAAACGATCATAATACTTAGTCACACGTTACATCTGAGGGGTGGTGAGATGATTAATGGGGAAGACAAGAAGATAAAGTAAGTTGTTCTATACAATTTATTTCTTTACTTTAATTTGTGATGAAATATTAAAAGATTTGGAGGCATTGAATGGTTACTTACATGAAACCATTTAAGAAGTTTAGAGGGAAAATCACTGCTGGAACTGCAAGCAACTCACAGACATCTGAAACAAGTCCAAGCTAGACACTTGTAAGGGGTCATAAGCCAAACTGTAACTGAGTAAACTTATCTAGTGACTTTCCACCACTGCCTGTTGAAGGGGACGATCTTACAGAAAACTAAGTGCATTTAGTTGTGGGATGATTAATCATGATGATCATTTAATGTCAGTTTCACTGCTTCACTTTCTCATTTCCCATCCAGCTTGTTTTAAACTCTAACCTTTAATCTCTGATGTTTCTAGGTTCACCTCGTCACCTGTTCGGCCTTCCTCAGTTCAGCCAACAAGTTTGAGTTTTTGGACATGGGCTACGTGAGTACGCCACAATTGGAGGAACGTAAACCAAGAACTATGTTTGATATTATTATTATTATTATTATTATTGCATGTTAGGAGTATTTTTAAAAGATATTAATATTGAGTTACTGCACTGCAATATGCGACATAAGCAGGTAAGAAAAGAGGAGTGGGTAGGGTAGGGGAAGAACGAAAACCATCAATTAGACAGAATATTGTAAACAAAAATAAATGAATTCAATTTAAGTTAAAGTGTTGATATACTACGTATACTTGACTGTACGCTATGGATGAAACTTGATTACAAATCACAAAGAAGTCAGAGTTTGTTCTGAGGAAGTTTTGTTGGCCGGAGAGAAGTTACAGTCTTAGCTGGACTGAACTGGTCTTTAAATGGAGGCTGTCCATAATGTCTCAGAGAGGTGAATCAGGTCACTGAATCACACCCGGGTGTTCTTGCTTACACAGCAACTAATGGAGCGACTGAAGAGGATTGTCAAGCTCCCTCATCGACTGAGACCAGTGCAGAGCAGCAAAGTGAGTGGGAACAAAATCTTGATCCAGAGCTGGAAAAAGGTTACACTGAGAATGTGATCCACTGCAGTGCACTGAGTAGTTGTTTCACTAGCTCACAGAGCAGTTTCTTTTTTATCATCGTCTGAGTTCAGTGCCTTTTTAATGGGAAGCTTTATTTATTTATCGATCTATCAGAAACAACACAAATTAGCAAATGTCAATATAATGTAAATGTGTCGGATTTAGCCAGAAGACTGAATATTGTACATGAAAAGAAACAAGACACACAAAACGCTGACAAAACAACAAAGCACATGGAGGATAAAGCATGAATTAAGACATAAAAGCCGTATGACTACAGATCTTTACAACAATAAATGAGTAAAAACATCACAAAGGACTACAGAACTATAGACTTACAAGCAGAAACCATGGTGCTTTTGCTTGTAAGGTAAACTTAACCAGCATATCACTGAAAGGAAAACAAAATTCAAAACAGCATCAGAAAATGATACAGTGGTTTGAAAAATGGCTAATTTCAAGCATGAATGTTCTACCACAAAAAAAAAACCCAAAGTCCTCAGAAACTCAAGGTCCACTTAACTCGAGCCCCAGGAAAAAGCTTTGTGTGTTTTTCTGAACTGTCACCGCTGGTGCTGCTGACAACAACCAAAGTTTTTAAATGGAATAGATCTCATGAATTGAAAAGTGATACTGTGTTTAAATCAGTATTTATCACTGTTACATCAGTATGTAAAGTAGGAACAAACAGATGGGAGATGAACTGTAGGAAAAACCAACGTGAAGCATCAGTTAGGAAGATTCAGTGCTTCTCGGCTTAGAGTCAGCACATCTCACGATGGTTGTGGAGAGCGCTGAATACAATTCACTCCAAAATCTCCAGTTGATGTTCAGGTGGGTTGAAATCAGGTGACTGTGAAGGCGGAAGTATTTGGAGGTTCACGTTTATGTTTGGTCTTTAATTTAAACAGATTGTTGCCTCACAGTAAAGTGGTCATGGACCTTTCTCCTTTTATGGTTATTAAAATATTTTTTCATGTAAATAATATGGAATAACAGTGATAATGTCTGCTATTATTACTATATCATCTATATATGTATATATATACACATTGCTATTGTTATGTGGTTGCTATACTGGTTGCTATACTGTAGTGTTTACTGTAGAAATGGGTTTAAATGTGGCATTTCCTGATTGTAATTTTCTTTCCTCATTCTTTTTCTTTCTATTTAGCATTATATTTTATTTCTATTGGTGGTGACTATAAAGAATAATGATGTCAGATATAAGTGCACTTTTTCAAACTCTTTTTGAATTAATTAGTTAAGACCAAATGGCTTGATCTGTGTCTGTCTTCCATTAGATCAACACAGACTACAGAAGTGAGTTTGCCCGCTGTCTAGAGCCCTTACTGCTGCTGGGACAGCGCTGCCCTCCCTCTGTCGCCGGGTCTACAAGTGTGGCAACAAGGTAAGATCGTTTACCTGCTGCCAAATATCATAAATGTAAGACTAATAGATCCCTTCCTCTGAGGTTGTATTAAACAATGTGCTCTTGCTGCCTGAATATCACCATGGCATCCTTTGAATTCTTCCAAGAAAGCGAAAAAGTCTGGCCAGAATATTTCACACTTGTGAAGCGTCCAAACTCAAAATCCCCAAATGGTTTGCAAGTACAGATGGTAGACAGCCATGACTGCAGTGAGAGGAAAGGAGGCGCCACGCTGAGTCCCACTATGGCAGTTATCCTGTCAGTCTGTAAGCTCTGTACACTGGTATGTTTACGTAAGTCACCTTGTTGCACGCGGAGGGGGGGGGGGGTAAAAGGAGGCATTCAATCCTGTTTTAGAAAGCTCCGGTCCTGCTGTGGTCAGGGCAACACAGCAGAGAGATGGATGGATAATTGTGGTTGTATGTGGTCACAGCTCTAGGATAGAGATGTTTACTGTTTGATGTCTTGTCTTACATAGAAGTCAAGCGTTAAATTGAATTTGCTTGCAATCTGGGGAAAACCAAAGCATCAAAAAATCCTTAAACAATGCCATATAGTATTTTAACGTATTATATTCCTTTAAAAAATAGTGTTTAATCACTGTTAATACTTAAAACACCTTTATTAATCTTTATTTAAAGACCCATCAGAAGACAAGGTTTTCGTTTTTCTGTGCTTCACGTCCCTCCACTTACACACCCGCCCCTGGCTGATTTTTTTTTCCACATCAGTGTCTCCCAACTGTTCGCAGGTCCTCAAGCCCACCCACTAATACCAGCATACTGACTCTAACTCTCCCTTCCAACTTGTTCAGCGTCCTGCCAGTGCAAGATGCAAAGTGGGCAGGGATTGGTGGCCTGGCCGGCTGGCACTATTTTTATCGTAATTTCACAGAACTCTCCAGGATTCATCTGGAGGTTGGCACACAGGAGCGGTCGGGCCACTTTGTTCCAGGGCGGTGATGTCACCGCTTTAGCACGGGCATAGTCTTTAATTGGCGTCGCTGGTGGGAGGACAGAGGCTGGATGTGCAGAAGATGACATGTGTATGGCAGAGAGAGGGGAGATACATGTTTTAGACAGGTCTTCCGTTGCATCAACACTAGGCAAGAAGACAGGAGTAAGGGCCTACCAGACCCCAGGTAATTTTATGCAGGTTTTTATCATGTTTTATTATAGTGTATAGTAGAGTATCATGAGTATGTCACATGTGCCTTAACCGACAGTGTGAGCTTTTCCAGTTGCATGTCTTGAAATATTTAAGATTAGAGAAAAAGTTCAAGTAAATGTTGAACTGGTTGTGTGGGATCAGAGGCAGAGTCGCAGCCTGGCTCTCTGCTCTTTGTGGCAAATATCTGTTTACGGTGGTGACACTTTAAGATGAAAAGATGACAGTGGCAACACGAGATGCTTGACTCCACAATTTCACAAGTCTATTCCATACTTCAGTTCACAGACGCAGGAGGAAATAGGCTTTTCCTCACCATATGGTTGATCAGAATGCCGCCCACATGGTGCAGCCTGTTACTCAGAGCAAGTGAATGTGTTGTTGTGTCTGATACGTTCCTAAATTGCTGTCTGAAAGCCCCCCCCCACACACACACACACACACACACACACACACACACACACTTATCAGCCGTGTAGGATGCAAACTGGGTAGGGACTGGTGGATGGCCAGATGACTGGCCCTATTTTTATCATAATCTTACAGAATAGAACTTGTACAGAAGTTGCACAGACTTGTTCTTTCATGCTGCTGCTGCTGCATTAGTACTGGCAAAGTCTGTAATTGGCTGTGTAGGAACTCAGCATGGATTCTCAGAGGACAACATTCATATGGCAGCATGAGAGTGATACGTTCTCACCTTAGGGCAGTTATGCTGCTTTAGGTGTGAATCCAGGACCAGGTTCTAGGAGAACCTAGATAAATGTAAGTGGCTATGTGCTACATACTGTCACATGCTTCTTGAAGGTGATGGTGAAGAGATGTGAGTATTCTGACTGAATCTACGAGATCTCAAGTCCGCTATTTTTTGCATTTATTTACTCATTTTCAGAACTGATTCATTTGCTTTCACTGTTGTGTAGTAATCAGAATTCCCACTGCCGAGTTTTGCTAAAGTTGTATCGTATTTAAAGTAAAATAGAAACTTGGTGAATTTGGAAATAACTGTCATATAGCTAAGGCAACAAGTGAACATTTGTTTAACTGCAACAGAGAGATGGACACGACCATTGAACTGTGCTTGAATAAAGCACTTAGCTGCAGTTTAGCAGCTCAGGCTCAAGTAGTAGACATAGCTGAAGTTTTGTTGACTGACATAAAAAAATTGCCTTGATGGGTTGATATAAAAATGTTTAGAATTAATTCTACATAAAGAGGGTGTACAGAGTTGTGTATCTTGTGTGTGGAATTCAATGTAATAAGTTTCATTCAATGATAGAAATCTAGGATCTGTGTTTTTTGCATACAGTATGCAGATAATTCCCCACTGATAGCAGCAATAGAAAGCTCAGGAAGCCATATTGCACTAGGTGTTTTGAACAGTGCCTGGAGAGGAGCTGCACATAGGAGTATGTCTTTATAAAATCTATACAGCCTGAGCAGAGCTGAGTGTAGAGGCTGATGCCAGCAATACTGTTATTGACCAATATGTTCAATAATGGGGTTCAATTTATGTAATATGGAGCGTTAACCCTCCTGTGGTTTAAGAGATGGAGCTTAGCTACAGGTAATGTAATGTATTGACGGCAAAAACTGTCATCAATTGTTGAAGAACAGTTATTAATGCAAGAAAAAAAAATGCAGTCATTTTTTTCCCCCTTGTTTTACCTCAGGCTCCAGTCCCCTCTCTCCATGTCCTGCCGCTCCCCATCTCTCAGTGAGATGCCCCTAGGCTCTGTGTTGGGGCGAAGGCCCACTTCTCACCGCAACATCTGCACCAAGGTTCTCCTGGCTGAGGGGAGGGAGACACCCTTCACTGAGCACTGTCGCAATTATGAGAACACCTACAGGGTGAGCGCTGTGTGTGACCAACGTTACTGCAGATTTACAGTTACATATCTGGCCTTATGCTTTTATCCAGAACAATATTTCAAGTGTATAATGAATTGCACATTTGCAGGGAACAAGTTGAAAGGAGTTAAAAGGTGCTTATTTCCTTGTTACTATAGAACCAGAGCAAACGTACGATATCGTCCATTGGGATAAATTGAATGGAATTACTTAGTTTTATGTCCATAGTTCATTGAAAATCTCCTGTATGTGGAGGCACGATAGTTAAAAGTGCTGCAGCAACTTTTCTTCCTGGGATCCACAATAGTAGACAAGGAGCTAACTTTGATCCTCAAAGTGAAGCAGCATGAATTCCTCTGGAAACTCATCTTCAACTTGTCTAGTGAGCAACAAGGTTTTCACGCTTGGATGCACTTCGCCTGGCATCTGTACACCCATCAAATCTCTGCTGTTTTAAAGACACTGAAACACCTCCTTAGTGTCATGTCTTATATACTGTAGATGTGTGTATGTTTCTATAGACGCTCCAGACCGACATTCAGAATCTGAAGGATCAGGTCCAGGAGCTGCACCGAGATCTGACCAAGCATCACTCCATCATCAACACTGATAAAATGGGCGAGATCCTGGACAGATCGCTGCACATTGACAGCCAGATAGCTGCCCAGTACTCCACTGTGGAAACTGTGAGAGTCATGTTCGAAGAGGTGTGTCAGGTGTTACCATGATGCCTTCTAACTAAAACGTTTCTACATTTGTCCTCAGTCAGTGCACCTCCCTGCATACTAACAAGCCAGTCCTCAGCCATAGGCTGCTAAGAATGCAGAGTGAAAAGAGGGAAAATAAAAGTAGCAAATGTTAAGGTGTCCCATGAGTCGGTGTAATATTTGATTTTGTGAGAATCAGCTGATTTACTTCACTTCCTCACAGATCTGGGATGAGACGTTTCAGAGGGTTACTAATGAGCAGGAGATCTATGAAGGTTTGTCTTCACCAGTGACAACAAAAAAAATCCCATTTGTTCCGCATTTTGTTAAATAGTTTGATTTGATTTAATTTCCCTTGTTTGCTGACTCTAGCCCAGCTTCATGACCTGATGCAGCTGAAGCAGGAGAACTTCTACCTGACCACCATCACCAGACAGATCAGCCCCTACATCTTGTCCATTGCGAAGGTCAAGGAGAGACTGGAGCCCAGGTGCTGTATTCATATTGTCCATCTGCTGCCACACTGCTTGACTGATGACACTGATTGAGAAGAAAGGAAGCTCCTCTTTATATAAAGTACCACTTCATGAAGCGTGAAGGAGTGAGCGTGTGTGTGAGATTGTACAAGAAGGTGAAAGATAAAGGAAATTTCAACAACAGAAATGTGTTTTATATCTCGTGAACAGTTGTAGTCTGGTACTGAATATGTTGCAAACGTGTTGTGTCGCCAAACAAATTGAGTCACACTGTTGTGCTTAATGACATGTTTTGTCATTACTGTGAACATGGGAAATGTAAATTTAACTTCACTCAGTTCCACACACACTGTTCTGCTGTGGTTAATACTCACTCAGCAGCAGATTTGTGTAATTCTGTGGCTGAAAATAGTCTCCAAACAACCAAATAATATATATTTGTGACCTGTCTGTTAAAGATATGCGTCTTCAGTTGGAACCACTGGGCTTACTGGGGAAATCAGAAAGTACTGAGAGACACACTAACGCATTGGTTTTGATCTTTTTGTGGGATTTGTTGACAGTGAGAAAAATACCGAATAACACCAGCCCTGTCTTTTAATAGCACAGACAACTAGAAGAAGATGATCATATTTCAAAATATATTTTGTAGGTTTCAGGAGCCTAAAGAGCACCACGATGACCGCACAGAAACAATGCTGAAAATCTATGAAGACAGCTCAATAGCAAAGGAAAGGCATGACAGGTATTGACATATGCTGTGTACAACTGAATTGAACAAAATGTCAAAAATATCCGGGTGCGTATAATGCTTCTGTAGATACATTTCATTAACCATATTTCATGAGCCAGCACAGAGGAGGAATTTTTTTTTTTTTTGAATGTGATCTGTATACAATAGTCCATTTTACATTTTATTGTACCTTCTATGATGATTGAAGAGCTGCACTATTTAGTAAAATGTCTGCAGTCTCAAAAGATTTCTTCTGGCTGCAGGATGATAAAAGGATTGAGTAGTGAGTTGTTGAGGGAACTGACTAATGACTAATTTAATTTGCAGCGAAGGGAGAAGAAACAAAGCATTTAGAGTCTTGTTTCATCACTGCAATGATAAATATGGTAGGTTATAAATCCATATGGGCTGGATATTATTATGTGAATGACAAAATCAGAGTAAAAAAAAAAAAAAAAAAAGCAGTCATGAAAATTTGCGATAGTAAATACTCCAGATGTTCAGAAGGTTTAGTAGCAGCAGAATCATCTACAACAACATACCTTTAATAAATGTGTCTACACAGTATGTGTTGAACTTTGGAGTGAAGCTCCTCATTTATTTTCGTTGACAGTGACAACCAGACCTGTGTCACAGACCAAGACAGAGACAAGAACAACCGCCCGCTGATCCTCGAATCGGGGGAGAGCTCTGTCAAGACCAGCCGTCCGGGCAGGCAGAGGGGCCCCAGCACGGAGACGTCCAGCCACAGCGAGATGCCTTTATAAACACCCTGTCATTTGATTTCCGTCCCCCCTCTTCCTTCCCTGCCCCTGTGGAGCAATGGGCCTTAATTCAACTATAACAAGCCCAGGATGGTATGTGACTTCTTCTGCTGTCCAGATCCTGCACATAACATTTTCTCAGCAGCGGGGAGCTGTCAACAGCTCCAAGGTGAGCCCTTGGATAGACACTAAGTGAACGTACATACATAAGAGGTCAAAGACTCACAGCTGTCAGAGCCTGACACGGAAAATCTCCTTATTCAAAGATAACTATATTTTAAAGAATTGCTTTGGTGTTATTTTTGAGCCATGGACTGTTGCAGTGAGACAGTAACAGTCTGCCTTTTGTTGCTCTGTTTGTCCTTTTACTGTTTAAAATGATACGTAGGTACGTGTAGAGTGTCAATTATCTCTCTCTTTTTTGTCTTTTTTTCTACAGTTTGTGTAGAATTGCTTTTTGCAGGATCTATTACTTGCATACATTTTTTTTTTTTTTTCTTGAAGGCTGGAGACTGATGATGAATGACTGCCCAGATCAGGAGATTGTTGAGGCGCTGTGACAGCACAGATGGAACACAGCACATGCAATGATGTGTGTGTCATTCTGGGTGTCAGCATAAGTCATATGTTGATTTGTGTCATGTGTGTCATCCCATACATCAGTCTCCTCCAAAATGAGGCAGTCTTTCTCCAGGATTATGTGTGCAGTGTGTGTGTATGTGGGTTTTTTTTTTTTTTCCTGCAGTTCTTACATCTACATGCTAAAGGTAGAAAAAAATAGGATTACAGAGATGTGTGAATTTTACTGGGCTTGCCTTAACCTCAGTCTGCTAGTTTTTTAGACTCGCCAATCATCCTCAATATCCCAAGGTGTCGTGTACTGTTGCAAGAAATATACAGTATTCCTCATGGTTCGCCTCTCGACTTCAGCACACGTCAGTGTCAGCGGCATGCTTTAAGGCATTTGCCCTGCAGGAAATCAGCAGGTAACCTTCATCCTCTCTCCCCTCCTTACTCCCCTGGATGTTCTCCTTAATCAATCATGTAGGTGTTATAAACAGATCCCATGTTAAAACTAACAAGAAGTGGAATGTAAATGTATTTACCCAACCACCACTAAGGCAGGCTGATCTAGAGGAGCGGCCATACATCACCGGAAACATTTAAATTTAAAATGATTTCAGGAGATTGTGCCACTGAGTGTAGAAGGTTTTTTTTTTTTTTTTTTTTTGAAGGACTTCTTATTCTGCCAACTACATCTTTAAGAAACAAAGAGCTTAGCACACAGAAGCGATTCAAGGTGAAACCTCCCCACCTGCTACCAGCTCAGAGACAGGGACAGCCCCTATTCTCGGTACAGGTAAGGATAATAATGAGGAGCTAGATTGACGGCTTCAGCAAACAGAAGGAGAAGGCTATTTACATTACACTTTCGGAGCTAAAGTGGGCTTGTTCAGAGCCATCGCTCCACAGGAAATATTGGGGTCATGCTGGCCTTAAGGAGCAGGCCTGCTCTGCAGAAGAGTCAGAGGTGCAGATTCATTAAAAATACATTTGTGACAGCAGAGTAACAAATGGCTATGCCTGTGCTCTGGTCCTGCACACCCTCCCCATGGTCATTCATCATCTGCACTCATCGAACTACCAGGTCCACGTTCACTGTTCATTATTTTCTCTCTCTCTCTCTCTCTCTCTCTCTCTGCTGGGCTTCCTCGCCTACTGCTTGAGGGGGAAAATAAAACAGCAAAGGTTATTTTGCTCCAACAAAGAGAAAAAAAAAAAAGTATTCTTGAGAGACATTCATGGCACATTTGGAGCTAAAGTTCATAGAGAGATTGTTCTTTATTTGTTTAACAATTAAGACAGGACACATTTTTGCTCCATTCACTTTACAGCAGTTGCCAGTGGAGACACTTACGGAGGATATACTAAAGGAAGAACCCTGCCTGCAAGGCTCCATTTTTAAAACTCTTAAGTCTTCATCATCGTGTAATTGAGAAAAAAAAACATTAAAGATAGAAGAGAAATAGAAAGATAAGATAAAATGAAAGTTTAATGATCTCCATGGAAAAAATGGGTCACTGAAGAAATGAAAGAGTGTGACATTAAAAATAATACAATTAGAGCAAATAGAGCAGATTGGGATAAAACCACAGATGATTATATAATGAGGATGAAAATACAGTTGAGAGTCTTAATCATGCTAAATACAAAACTGCATAGAGAACCACAGTTAGCTCCAAAGATTCTACTGACTAAAGACAGATTTACAGGTTTATATAATTGGATCTTTATATCTGGTTTATGGATGGCAGCTTCAACAGACGATGAGAGCATAGGGAGTTATTCCAGAAATGAGTAATGATTTAGCTGCATATGCAGAACTAAAATTCAGGGAAAAATCTGGATTTTCTCAAACTTTAAATCTGAGAAAATAATCCCTGATGTCATAGTGATGTCATCTCGGTTACAGATTTATAGCAGAAAGCCTGCATTACTCACTGAAGGTGTGGAGTTTGAAGGACAAGGGCCTTTAATGAAAGCCACCATACATTGCATTATGGGAAGTGTAGGATCAAGTGTTTAAGGATCACAACACTTACTAGGGACTAAAAGTCAGAATATCTCAGCCTCTGCTGGACAGTTCTTATTTCAGTCAAGTCCACAGACTTTACGGACGTGTAAATCAAAATCACTGCATTTCCAGATCATTTTGGTTTTGTTGATCTGCAATATACTTCTAAATATGATTCTTGGTTTAGTTTGTGGAGGTGCTTTTTTGTTTTACAGTATTTTCAATTCTGGCCCGAATTTATTTTAGCGCTTTAACGTGCTTTACAGTTTCATTCATTTCATTCATGTGGCCAGGTATTGAACTGCCAACCTGAATGACCCATTCTACCTTGCTGAGTCACAGCTGCCCCGCACTATTCATGCATGTGTTTCAACCGTGCTGCCCTGTGGCTTTGAACATTGCAGTGGTCCCTTTAAATCCCCATCTTCTTCATTGTAAACTGTTGTGGCGTGTGCTTTGCCACAAGGTCTGTGGTTTCAAATTGTGCACTTGCTGCTACTGTGTTTGTTTTAACAAGACTGATGAGCTCTTAATTGGATTTAACTGTTTAGGTTAACTTAAGACTTTGTCTCCTTTAAGGAATACACGGCAGGAGACAACAGTCCGTGTTTTTGAAAGTCTTTACAGAAACTAAAACCAATCAGTTCTTTGCCTAATGGCGAGGGATATGTTGACCCCTTCCCTGCTGGCTGCTGTGGACTGGAGGGTAATTGGAATCAATGTTGATGCCGTTATCACTGGTGACAGATGCACTAGGCAACAGTGTGAAAAGGTCAGAGGTCGAGAGAGCCCTCCCAAGGGACTCGAGATGCTTGAGGCATAAAAATGTCATTCCTGAATCAATTTCACGTGTGAACATTGGTTTTTATCTCTGAGGGGTTTTGAGCATGACTGTTTCTTGTAGTGTTCTTACTGCTGGCCACTGAGCAGCCCGAGGCACCAGGTGGGGGGTAAAGTTAAGATGTCTAAGATAGGGAGACTATTACTCCATCACTTTTTTCACAAAGATCCTCCTGCACCGATGAGGGATTCTTTCTCCTGTGCATCTGAACTGAAAAAGAGACATGTAGGTCAAGGCATGTCAATATTTTTTTATCACTCAGTGCCCCAGTGCTGTATAATTGACCCAGGCGTCAGAGCCAGGGGTTTCAATTTGACCTCAGCAGCTCACAAGGTCATATATTTTTATTCCCATCTGCTTGGCCTATATCTGGAAGTGTGAAGGAGAAAACTTGCTATTTGCATTTTTATTTGAATTTGTTTATTTAAAAAAAATGTAAATATGCAGAGACATTTTAGGAGTCTGGGCTCAGTCTGAAAACCTAGTTTATACTGACATCATTTTCTTCTGAGGAGAGTGTGAAGAAAGAAAGAAAAAGTGCTAAGAAATAATTTAAACGAACAATATCGAGTATACATAAAATCTCCATTAACTATGAGTATGTGTCAAATTAACATTATGAATTAAGATTGTAGGACTAAGATTGTGGTATTGATCCTGATCATATTAAAGATTGACTTGATAAAGAGGCAGAATTGCAGCAGGTCTAGATGCTATTTTAAAATTTATCTCAGGCACTACAGACAAATCACTTCTCATGTGTCCAGTGGATTTTTCTACAGAAAAAATGATAAAGGAGTAAATGTTGTTAGCTTGACTGTCATAGCTTTTCTCAGGAATAAGCATAAATCCCTTTAAAAAAAATCTATTGGCCAATTTGATTTCAGAAGTATTGGTCACCTCTAGATGCTGTAAATAAGACATTTCTTGTTGTGTTGGAAGTCCCCAGTGCTGAAGCCCACAAATTCATTCTTTCCAAACCTCTCCGGGGATCGTCACTAATGCAATAACAGAGGTGACAAATTGAGTTCCTTTTATTGCATCGAACAACAATGGCAGCAAGTGAGCGTGTCCTTGACTCTCAGGAATCACAGGTGTGAGTCTGAGGATGTGTCAAACCTGCATGCATGCAAGACTCAGGAGAGCTAGCCCAGCAGCTCCTTATTAATCAACAGCTTGTTGGGCTGCTGGCCATACCCTCCTCCCTTTTCCCTCCTTTCATTTCCCACCTTCACCCCCACCATCCTCTTCCTCCATCTCTCCTCCCCACCCTGTTTTTTTTTTTTTTTAAAAAAAGAGCCTCAGCCTCCCATTCTGGTCAGGAGTGCAGCAAAAATGAATCATTAACACAGTTTGGCCGTTAATTAAGACCTCTCCCCCACACTCTGACAAAGGGAAAGTAAGGAAGCACAACAGGATTCAGTATGGAAATCAGGAAAGAAAATATGTGAATATTTTAACAGATAATCCTGTTACCCTGCTTTTGGCTAATTTGGCCTCATTACTAAAACATCTCGCCGTGTCGCAGCTGGTGGTAGGAGCACACGCAGGCTGATGCAGTGAAGTTACTTTAATAGAATTAATGATGAAGGCCCAGTCTTACAAGCAGACGAGTGGGCAGACAGACAGGTAACAGATAACCGTATACAGCAAGCAAGGTAACAGGGACGAGAGGAACCACACTTAACGCTTGCACAGACAATCTGGGACCTGACTGGGGGGGGGGGGGCTGGGTATATATCCAGGGGACAAAATTAGGGAAATGCCGAACAGGTGTAAGGGAGGCGATTGGGAATGGAGAACAGGTGATCAGGTGGGTCTGGGAGCAGGAGGAGGACATCTGGTGCGCTGGTGGAGTATGACAGGATTCATGACACGCCCGGGATTGAGTAACAAAATTAACTTAAATTCCAATTTGAGGAAAACCTGCTTAAGATTCATGGTCAATCACTACAAACTTGTTTTCCCTTTTTACATGTATTGCTTTTATTTTGGCAATGTGCGCAGTGGCTGACTCTTTCAGTTTTATGGACTGACAAACATGTAGGTGTGAAAACATTTATGCAAACTGCAGCTTCAAATTTCTTCTGTTTCTGGTTGGCTGCGTTACTTATTATTAGATGCAACAGTGTCTTTATTGTTACTTACTGTTAATATGTCTTCTAAAAAGCTGTTAAGAAAGTAAATTAACATTTTATCAGCTATATTCACAGGGAAAATAGTAAATTCCTTAAAGAAAAGGCTCCATTTAATAATGGTAACTTTATGCTCCTTATACACTATGTTGAATTGTATGCATTTTTTTTTTTTTTACATGTCCAGCTTATCTGTTGCACATTGATTAATATATTCTCTTATATATAATTTGTTAGAATCAATTAATCAAGTGTAATTCTCCTATATTTAGCACCAAATTACATAATTATTTTAGGGAATTTAAGGTTTTAGAAAATGACATTACATACACAGTGAATACAGCATTACATTTAACTGCAAGGATGTGATCCAAGTCATAGTTTTTTAATTAAGCAGTTTTTTTTTTTTTTTTGAGAAACTTAACCTCTCCCTCAGCCTCTCTCGCCCAGCCTACATCCCAAACTTCTTATATATGAATTATGAGCACCTACACATTTTGCTTTCAGAAATGATGAGTGTAAAACCTTTTTATGAGGCTACTTTTTCTGATGATGTTGCCTCAGTTTTTCAGTGCAACACAGACTGACATCAAAACGTGATGTTTACTGTTGATATTTAGACAATTAAAATGACTGGGCTGCACTCTGAGGTGTTGAGGATGCAGCACTTACGGTACAGTCGGGGGAATGTCGGTATTTGTGTGTTTATGCATATGGATGTGTACAAGATTGCTGCTGTTGCTGCTGCTGCTGCTGCTGCTGCAGTAATAAAATTTCCATTCATGCTTTGTTAAGAGGCCCACGAGGTGCTACATAAACAGATGACAAGGCTGCTACCTCAAGGGCTCGCAGCTCCACAGCCTACACACACGAGGACAATAGACCATTCAGGCCAACCAGAGTTATTGCCTCGCAATAATGAAAGCCATCAGGGACACAAACCTTAACTGCAAGTTCACATGCTGTGTACTACTTCAATGCTTTATGTAAGTTATTGAGGAGCACCCAAAGTACGTGTGGGTGAAATATGAAAATCAGGTGTTTTTACATCCCAGGTGCAAACAGCATTATCACTCTAATTACTCTTGATATGTTTGAGAGGCAGCAGACAGAAAATAAATCTTTCTTTTCATGAGCCTTGTTTCATAATTTACTATATTAGTGTCATTTTAGCTAAGTGCACAGGTGCTGTTACAGTGTGTATTGTAGCTGGTGGTAGATGTGACAAGTTTTAGCACTCACTGAAAATGGGTTGAGACTGAAGGTGGTATGGTTTTTGAGAAAATGCACATTGGAGAGCAAAGAAAAAAAGGGTAGAAGATGAGAAAAGCAGGGAGATAAATGTCTGGTTGGATAAATAAAAGCAGGGAGATAAAGAGATCTTTGAGAGGAACAGGGTAAAAGTAAACAGAGGTGCGTGACAGGGAAGAAGAATGAAAAAAATCCCAGAGAGAAGAGTGGAGAGAGACAGCCATTCTCGAAATGCATTGAATTACTGTGCATATAGATGCAAATGTCATATAAATCCTTTTTCCTTTTTGTTAACCTGCATAATAAAGGATTACTTGACAAATAGTCTACATTCTTTATTTCTAAGAAAAAAAACAAAAAACATTGTGCTGCATAACATTTCAAATCAGTGCCGACCTTGAAATGAAAAAGCTCGACGACAACAAACACTCTCTTGTTGGAAAACCAAAACTAAATGTGGCAAATATGATCAGTCATAGAAAACATTTGGAAAATTAAGGCAGGAATGAAGCATGAAAACATTCAGTCTACATTTTTCATCTTTTCTTTTATAATCTTAGTGAAAATAACTTCTGTAGTAGTAGTAGTAGTAGTAGTAACAGTCTTTGCACCTTTAACTTAGTCTCACCTTGTGCCTTTCAAATACATTTTTTCTCAGAACAAGCATCATTAAGCTGAAGCCACAATGGCTGCCTTATTTTCAGATATGCCCAGCGTGAGAAAAAAAAGATGCAATTTCTTTGTCATCTTTGTAGATATTTTTACAGCTTCTAAGAAAACCAGTATTTAACAGGTATCAAGACAACGGAAGTTATTTAAACTACACGATGTTGTAGTCTCTTACAGGATGTAAGGGACTACAGCATCTAAATAACTCTGAGTTGCCTGCTCCTGGTGCAAAACTGTAGCTTTTTAAATGATCTTTTATTATGAATGAAATCACCAAAACAATGTCGTTGCCTTTCTGCATCAGTCTTTGAATCCACAGCCGACAACATGCCTGTTTATCGTCTAACTCCAGGAGAAAGTGCATCAAACCGAAGCTTCAAATTCTGACCTCATGTCCATGTTATCACAGAAAGCTGTGAGTGGACATTATGTGGTACTGCAGTGATTTAACATGGGCTTCTTATAGGCTGAGTGGGTGTGGAACTAGGCTCAGTAGATACACTGAATTAAGGCATAGTTACATGAGGTATGAAAGCAAATAAGGTGCCTCTTACTATCCACATGACTCAAGCTATGACAGCAGTGATAATTTCAGTAACGTGACCAACGTAGTTACCACATCTCTGTTCTGACACATTTACTCATTGTGATTTCAAAACAGGAAGTTCAAAACTTTCAGAAGAGAAATGACTGTAAAAAAAAAAAAAAAAATCCAAATGATGCAATCGCTCAGTAAAGTGTGCAGCCAGTGTCCGCTTTCTTTACGCTCTAACTGCTGTAACTCTCCTTTAATTTACACACAACTTAAAACTGAAACAAACTGAACTCAAAGAATGATGTATAACGTTATTCATTGTTCACTGAGCACTAATGACAGTGCTGCTGTGAGTAATTCAAGGTGTATTAGCCTTCATTTAACATTTGTGATGCGAAAACAACTGTCTCATATCTAAAGCTTGTACATATTCTAACAGATCAACAGCTATCAGTATGTGGTCTGTGATTTACATTACAAATCAGCATCCGTGACATGCTAGATGCTCTTCACTAATATGTCAATAACTGTAAGAATTAATTACATTTAAAATGGTTTGAAGTGAGAACACAGTTTTTTTTAATAAACAAAGAACTGATCACTTGATAATTAAAAAAATCTTCATATTTCTTTTTTTTTTTTTTTATGTATTTCTTTTATAGTTACAGTGCTACATGTAACAGCACTCTTAATTTGGATTTTGCATAGATCAACACCAAGGTAAATGAACTGTAACTCTAGTTTTGGTCATCATGTTTTCAGCTCAGTCGAAGGACACAGCTCTTATTAGCTCCAAAAATACAAAGGCACAAAGTATTGCTTCTACAGCATGACACTCTTTAAGCACCGCTGTGCCGTACAGTAAATACTAACCAGAAAATAATACTTCATACTGCATACAATGAATACTTCATAATTTACAGAACACAAAGAGAAACAGACATGACTCTTAATGTCTGTAAGTGCCATATTTGGGAAAAAAAAAAAAAAAAAAATGACTCGCTTGGAAAAAGTAAACTAACAAAACTCCTGCAAACACAACAGTTCCATTCAACACCTCCCCACTAAAATTAGTAGCCGGTAAAAACAGGAACACAGCATGGGAGTGGTAGAGCAATTTTTCCTGTCTATTTATTCAGCAGCGATGTGCCAGCTCAGCAAAAAACATTCCCACCTTTGAAGAAAAAATTAAAATGGGTTTAATTATGCCACATTTCATTCTAAAACCCAAACAGAATTAATGATTTACCATAATAAAAAGGTATTCAATTTGTTTTCAGTGCTGCGATCTGCAGCAGACGGACTGTACAAAACAAATGGACTGATGTGGAATCGATTGTAAAAACTGGCCCCAAGCTCTGCGCTGCTGCATAAAGAGTCAGAGGAAAACACTGTGTTGCTCTCTGCCTGCTCCTCTCAGTATGTGCGGGCTCCTGGTTTGCTGTCCTGGGCCTGGTTGAAGGGATTTGCGGGGCTGGACGACTCATCCTGCTGGTCAATGGACTGGTAGGCGTCTCTGTTTCGTGATACGGACGGGAAACCTGCGGAGACAAGCCAAAAGTCACACACACACACACACACACACACACACAATCCCCATCATGCAAATGTACTATTCATAATCATGTCTAATCAAGGCTCTTGTTTTGGAGAATGGACTATTGTTGATATGTATATTAAAACAGTCTGCACAAAGAATGAATCCTTAGAAAGCTTCTACACAACTTCCTCTAATGTTTTTCACACCCACTTCCCCTCACACACGGATTCATGACACACTTGGGCAGATCTGTTATCTTGACTCGAGCATCTGGCCCCCTCTGGATAAATATAGATTATAATGCTGGAAACTGTCTTTGCCAACATACAGTAAAGCACACACTGCTGACGAATGCTGCACTATCACGAAACAGAGATGCCTACAAGTCCACGAATGCTGCACTAAGAAAACATAAAACTGCATTCAAAGCACCGCTGTGAGTGGCGCTATGGAACTTTTTACACTGAAAACTTGTGCATACAAGTTCTTGGCTACATTATATATCATGCAAACGGGCTTTGTAATGAATTCTATGAAGGCAATGGAATTATAATCCCTCTGAAACGTCATACAGGACTCCCTGTGATGCACTACAAACAGGCCCGACTCTGACATGGCCAGAATAACAATATGTTTGTGGAAGTTCAAAGGCCCGCACGCTCTTACCTTGGCATGGCCCAGAGATGTATTACTGTGACAAACATGCACATTTCAGTGCTGTCAAACAAGGTGTTTAGTTTCATTGCTGAGTTTTAATGATTTCCAAAAACATTAATTTTATTAATGCAACTCTGATGTTTGTTATATTTTATTTAAAAGCATAAAAACACATGAATACTTTTAAAGAACTGTATCATGTATCATGACCTTCAATCATGCCGTCTTCTTCCAAGTGCGCACACAAACATGTTGCATTCATGGTCTATTATGAGTCGACATTATGTTGACTTTAATTAGGCTGATTTGAGAATGTGCACCATCATGCCTCTCTGCTTTAAATGTATTCAAGGAGAAAACACAAACACTAATGAGGTGTCTGGAGAATAGAAATATGAATAAAACATAGATGCAAAGTTGCAGAAACATATAAACATATAATAGACCAGACATGAATACAAACATACTATGCTGACAAACACAGCTACAGGCATCGGAAGGTAATGCAGAATGATGAAGACCGGAACAGACAGATGAAAAGACAGAGAGAAAGAAGGACAACTCAACATTGACAAGATGATCATCAGGAAAGAAAAATACAAAAAAAGAAAAAAGTTTTTTTTCTGTTTTTGTCCTGCAGCCTGATGTGTAATCTTACTTCCTGTGTGGAAGGGGATGGAAGAGGATGATTGGAGGAGAGAAATGGTAAAAAGGAAGCCGGGAATCAATAGCGGCGGCCAATAAAGGCACTGTCAGCACTATCCGTAGTGCATCGACTGTCCACAGAGGTCTCTAAGTCTGAGAGGTCAAAGGTCAGCAGTGGAGAAGAAAAGAGAAGAGAAGAGAAGACAAGGGGTCAAAACACGAGACAACATGAGTGTTCACTTACAGAAAACATCACAGGGCAATGTGACAAAGAGCAAGACAGACTGAGAGGTTAGAATTAATGACATGCAAAGAAAAGAAAAGGGAAATTTGGATTTAGAGAAATTCTTATACAACACATTGCACATTAATTGACTGCATAACCACAACCCAGCTGAGAACATGTAGGGGTAATGCATGGCAGGTAATTGACCTTTCTGTGATCCCCCATCCCACCTCTCACCCCTAATGCTGTATGACATTTGTATGAGGCTTTGAAAAGAAGGATCTGCCCAATGAATAAAAGTAAATGTAAAAAAAGACACACAACTTAAGCTTATATAGGTGTCTCACCCTGCAGGGTAGATAGTCAATCCAGTACAGTATGACAAGGAAAAATGTAATAATATATATAATAAACTGTAATTTCACTCTAAGCCAACCCTGTATGGATGCTTAGTATGAAAACATACTACACAATACAGTGGTTTGAATAACATTTTATTATATTTTGAGGAGTTAATTTTTAATAAGCCCTGAAAGTGGGTAACATACGTAGCGTTGATAGTATGTTAGTTAGCATGCTGATGTTTACTGCTTATATTACAGCAAACACACAATTCCTTTCAATATAGATACATAGTTTTGAGGCATGACCCTTTAATTATTACTCTTTAATTTACAGCCCCATGCACATCGCTTCATATGTTGACAGGCCTGATGTTGCGTTGCTTAGCTGTGATTGGACAAATGCAGCTCGGGTGATTTGTTCAGCGAACAGTCAATTTAATTAAAAGCAAACAGTTATTTGCACAGTCTTGCAGCCTTTATTGTATTAGGCAATGTGAAAGCAAATCTAAATACACAAACCTAGAATTTAAACTACAATAAAAGGGCTGCCAATCAACATTCAGTGAGCCCTGGATACGTGAATCAACAGTTCACTCACTCATCTACCTGATTAACAGCATCCGACAGTGCTCAGAACAGCAGGGAACCATGTTAATGCCAGCTATGCAATCAGACAGCAATTAAAACACACATTGTCTGAAACTAACATTAGCTACATTCATCAGTCACTACACAGCCAATCACAGTCTAATGGATGTGCCTGCTGTGTGTGTGTGGTGCTATAGTAAAGCCACAGAGAGAACAGATTCATCAATATTCAATTATCCTCAAAACAGTCAAATCAAGAGACGTATTTTGTCAAGTGCAGTGTTGGGTGGCAATGCAGGAGAAATTTCATTACATTTCCCTGTGTGCAGTGCAATAAATTACTATTTTAGCAGGTAATATTACAGCTAATAATATTTTTTGTGTTATACTCCCTACACCCTATAACCCACATCCTGATTTATTTTTTGCCTCTCTGTTCTTCTATCTTTTATGAAGGCAAACACTAGACAACAAATGCTCAATACCCCTGTATGGAGCCACTCTGAATACTACCATCAAATCATACACTACTATAGTGTTAATCCATATAGATGAAACCACTAGTAACATTTTTAAGGGTTTAAGAATCCAGCAGTCGTCACAGCTCAGGGGGATTTCTGATGGAAAAGCTCTTAGCAGAGCGAGTCCAAGTCCACAAATCAATGGCCACACATGGTTAATCAAAGAACGTATCTTGAGTGTCTCCTGACTAGTTAGTGGAAGAGGGGTACTTATCATTTGTTTGCCCACATGAGGAGCTATATACCCAGTGGTGTGTTCTCCAGTATAGACTCCATCTCGTCTTCTTTTTACATCAATCTTAAACAATTTTTCTATCATGCCAGATCATACGATTTTCAGCCTCCATGGGTTTCATATGTTTCTCCATGCAGTATAAACTGGTGGCCAGGATGACACACAAGCGTTATAAACAACTCGTGGAGAAATGATTTCCTTGCCCAAACCGAACTGCTGCTCAGATATTTCGTTGCATTTAAAGTCTTGTGACTGTAACTAATTAGTTTGACTGTGGAATCATCTGCCAGTGGTTTAGCACAGCCCTTCCAGTTTGTGCTGCACTTGGCAGGCCTTTCATGACAAACAGCATAAAACAACACAGGGAGGATCTCAGCGCGCCCCTGGACACATGCATTACACCGTACCTCAAGCTTTGGTCACACTCCAGGCTGGAGATCATTTTTTGTGGGAAGAAGAAAAACCTCACATATCTTAGATAATTTCTCATTGGTTCTGAAATTATACCAGAACGTGTACTTGCTAGATAAAACCTTGTTTAGTTACATAGCAAGTTGTTTTCTGTGTCACCTCCTTCTCAAATTGGTTTCCTGACTATAAATACCAATAAACCGCAAAATATCATCAGTTTTCTTTGTAAAATCAGTTTCAATTCCTGTTGATGTTTATATCCAAATTAAAAATGTGTTTTCTTCATAACAAGCTTTAGTTGCACATGACAGCATCTTCAAAGAGTGACAAACTTCTAATGTTTCTGTACTTGACTGGGTGTCCAACATCTGGTGGCACTTACCAAAGTTGACGTTGTAATCTCCTCCACGCTCGCGGTACATTTGGTAAACAAAGAAGCAGGACACAGGTTTGAGCAGCAGGCTGAGGATGGCCATTCCTGCGCTGAAGCGAAACACGTCCCGTCCCCTTTCTGCTGCAAAGTCGCTCAGCGGGTAATAGATCCCAAAATGGATGATGTCGGTCAATATTGTCACAATCATCCCCATCAGAAACTACAGGGAAATGACAAAGGGGAGAGAGACAAGTCTTAGAAATGACTGTATATGTCAGTATGGAAAGTGTACACATCTTTGTAATTATGTGTCAGGAAAGGTTTCCTTGCAACACTCTGTGTGGGCACAATTCAAGTGCTAAAGAAAATGGCTTTCTGAAAAGAAATTAGATAAAAATCTAACTGTATACATACTGGAAATAAAAGGTGCCTGTGAGTCATAATGAAAAATGCAGCACATAAAAAAGAAAACACTCAGTTCCTCTATTGCCTTTATTATCTCGGACAGTCAAATGATTCTCCAAAATATATGAGACTTAAAGATGCAATTAGCCGACAAAAAGATCAGTTGAAATCATTCTACACAAAGTGAAGCTTGGAGTTAATACTGAAAAAAATCATTCATACAGTATCATCACACAGTAGGCTAAATAGATTATGAGAGAGGAAGTCCGTCTCCCTGACCTACAACTGAGCGAGTGAATGTGTGATTGGGTCATTTGACAGAAACAAAAAAAAAAAAATCCTGTGTGTAAGAGAAGTTTCTAATCAAAATCTTTTTTCTTTTTTTTTCAGTGACCATATTTTACACTTCTCCAGTGTTTTATTTGAAGTTTGGATATCCATAAGAAGATATATTTGTGGTACGATCCAAAAACTATGATATACTACTGACGCACAGTCTAGTCAACCACAGATAACGGATTGTTATTGTTATTGTTGATAACGGCCTACTACTGTAGATCGGTAAAACTGGTGATTTTTAGTCAGCACTGAAATGAGCCCAACAGAAGGCTGTGCAATGATACATTGGCTTCTCGACATACAACAACTGTGCAGCGTTTCCTCAAAGTTTTTCTGTCTTGTAGCTCAGTGACAGAATGAATGCTTGTTTTGTTGTTAATAAAGTTAAAACAATTAAAATAAAAATGTTGGATGATAGGTTCAGGTGGGTCCAGGTGGGCTGAGCATGGAGACGGTTTTGTTGTGACATCACAAAGTTACAGAGGTCCCGATGGCTCAGTGGACTGAGCACCTCGACCTTCTTTATAATCAAAAAAGACATGCAAATCTCACTTTCTACAATATGGGACCTTTAAAGTACACAAAGTAAAAGCGCTCCTTTGAGGTCACTTCTGAATGGCAATATGTTTCAAAGGTTCAATCCAGTGACAGTTAGAATCCATTATGGTCAAAAGTCTCTGAGCAAGAAACTGGACAGCAAGGATGCATCTCCACCTTCAAAACCCTCAGCTGTGTTTTGACTACAGCTAAGATCTAACTAATGGTCAGACTTCAGAAAGGCATCTAATTCATCAATTGCACAAAGCTGTCTAGTTCTTGACTATAATTTTCCATGAATTCTGCATAAATTAAGACTTTTTTCAACCTAGAAATCATGGCTGACTGAGCTACCACACCAGACATTAAGCTTAGTCGTCCCGTCTCCAGGAGAAAATGTTTGTGTTCTGGAAGGATTCAACAGTTATCAGGTCATTTGACTGGGAAAAATCAGCAAAGAGGGCAACAATACAAAACCTGCAAGGAGCATAAAACCTCAAAGGAGCAGAGATGTGGAGCAGAGATGTGGAGCAGAGCTTAAGTACTGTGGCTTCTTAATGTGGCTGAGCTTCAGTGCTTCTGCTACAGTTTACTGGTGAGCAGGTGTCGCTAATTGTTGGAAACATAGCTCTTAGTTCTGAGTTGGCTCTGTTAACTCGTCAAACTTGCATTAGACACATCTAAAGCAAAATTCAGACCAAAAGTAAGACTAAAGGCCGGTCTAAAGCACTTTTGTGAAACCGGCCCTGCCGTTAACTGACGACCCATGACAGCCGAGGCCACTGTACTCTCTGCCGAGTGAAAGGAGTGCTATCTTTCTCAAGGGGACGCTCAGAGATTGTCCTAGATTCCGCAGACAAATAGGTTAGCACGGACACACAGCGGTGCGCCTATAGTTAGACTCCTGTACGTGTCACATGATGTTAAGGTTACAGACTGTGAAGAAATCAAGGCGAAGACTCACCATGAGCACAGCATCAATCGAGTCCCTCTGTGCAATTGCCCAGACCCCAACAGCTAACACACAGAAGTTCCCCCAAGCGAAGGAGGTGGGCAGCCACGCCATGCATCCCCTAAAGCAGAGACACAATTCATACAGGACAGATTCTTACACATACTTCAAGAATGAGTGAAGAATGAATAAAGAGTAGGCCTGAATGAAGAGTGTGAGTCAGTCTCTGTGCATGTGTGTGTGTGTGTGTGTGTGTGTGTGTGTGTGTGTGCGTGCGTGCGTGTGTGTCAGTCAGGAGAGGAGAGAAATTCCCCAAGTCTGTGAAAAGAAACCTGTGCTCACACTCACCATACTGTAAGCAGCCAGTGCACCAGTACTATGGCCTATGACAGAGGAACAACAAAGGACAAAATTTGAACAGAAATTTAAGATTATTAAAAACCTTTTTAATATATTTCCTGTTCAGTGTACAGGTGGAACAATTAGTCAGTAATCAGAAAATTTATTGCCAATAATCCTGACAAACAATCAGTCATTTAGCAGCTACAAAGTGCAAACAGCTCAAACTTCTCCACAGTGAGCATTTCTTCCTTTTCTCTGTTTCAAATCATGGTAAACTCAACCTCTTTGGGTTTTGGAAGTTGGTCGGACAACTAGAAACATTTGAAGATGCCACCTTGGACGTTAAGAAAATGTGACGGACATACAATATTTCACTATTTTCTGACATTTCACAGACCAAGCAATTAATCAAACAGTCAAAAAACTATTAATAGTTTTATGAATAATGAAAATCTGTTGATCAGTTGCAGCCTTTGCTCAATCTATGTGAGCTCACAGAACTAAATGTAAAACATGTGACTGGTTTCTGAGCTTTGAGTAAGAGTTGCTCAAACTGCTTCTGATCCACAAAAGCATAATTCAGTTTAGTGGTTCTCCCTTTTAAAGGTTATGGCATGATACGCAGACATTGGTTCACATTTGTATGTTTCTTACAGAAACATCAACGCCTCTAATAAGCATTTACTGTGGAGAAATCAGACTGACCACATATTATTTCATTTCTGTGAGAAATAACATGACAATTTCTTGCCATATCCTGCAGCAGATTCTCTGTAGTTTTAGTTTGATCTTTTCCAAACCTGTACACAAACATACTGCATCTTGTTAAAATCTCAAATGTAATGAGCGGATTCATCACTACGTTTGCATTTCTTGCCTCCCATAATGTCATTTTACCTCACAGGCCTGCTGTTCATCACTGTAAATGTGACTGTGTAGACTTTAAATGCACTTTAACTATTTGTTACTCAACTATTTTTGGAGGCAACACGCACTGAGTAACTTCATACTTTTCTTCTTCAACTCAACAAAAGCCCACCAACACAAACACAGTGCACCAGTTTACTGTGATCTGAGCCACACAGAGGAATTACCAATGAGAATTGAGCAATAGAGTTGGCATCAACATATAATTTAATACCAGTCTTTGGTAAACACTGTTTAAAGACAGGCAATCATAAACACTTGGAACAATGAAGTGAGTAAACAGCAGCCTCACCTTTAGATTTATGGCAGGGATGTCCATAATAGGCTGTTTGGTCCAAGCAGCTCTACCTTGATCCGACTCAGTGCTTCAACTTGTTGAGGCGCTACATGAAAAAATGCGGCAGGTTTCTTCTTACACAAACTTCTCTCCAAGGCCCCTCCTCCGCTCAGCTCAGCCTGCAAACACAAACCATGTGACATCAACCTGACTGCTTTCCATGTGACCCCCCCCCCCCCCCCCCCCCCCCCCCCCCCCCTTCTCGTGCTTCTGATGCCGCTGTGGCCCTCTCTCAGAAGGAAGTAAACCACATGAGCATCAACATTGGTCACAGTAATTTTTTTCCCCAAGCTTTCAGTGAGTGTGGTGTCCCTCCAGTGGTTCACTATGAATGATCAGGAATGTAGCATGTCTGATTTGAACATTTAAAAAAAAAAAAAAAAAAAAAAAAACTGCTCAGTTTCTCAGCTACTCTGAAAGATACAAAATATCAAGATTTATATTTAAGATATTTAGATGAGATCAATGATTTTGGTACTTTGCTACTTTTACTGGTCACTTCAACAAAGTAACATGGTGCGCAACACATGCTGGCAGCAGTGTGATGATTGAAATTTATTTAAGAGCTTGTGACTGATGGAGGCTTTTGACACAGAGGGAAACCTATATATATATTATATTTCCATATATAAAATAATTGATATGAATGATATGAAATGAAAAAAATACATATATTGACATACAGTATATATCTAGCCTATATAAATATGTATGTTTATATTTGTATGCTTTTATTGCAGATCAGACTGTCAGTAGGCTATATGTTGATACAGCAGAGTCCAAATGTCTTAGACCACTTTTCCAGAACAGGAAGAAACATGTTTAAAATTAATGAGAAATTAATAATAAAATCATATATAGGCATATAGAATTTGTTTATGTATGTTTTTTTTAATAAACTTGCATATATAAATTAAATATACATCATTATGGTTGCAACATGTTATATCATCCATAATGAAAAAAAATTATCTTAAAGCTATTTCCATAAATATATTTCCTGTACATATACACATTTTATTATGGGTATTTCATATATGTTATAAACTTATATCTTCATATATCCAGAGGATGCACAGTATGTCGTAATAATATATCCCCTTACAGTTAACATATGGCAACATCACTCTTGATGTATGTCATACATTACATTTCTTTATGGGTAAAATTGAGATGTTTACATAAAGTAATCTATGCTGATCTTCAATACATGTAACACAATAGTCATCATTTTTAATATTGGCAAAAATCTCACAATATAATCACAATATTCAGACTTTGTAGCATTTCATCTCTACTACTAAATATTAAAGAAAAATATTAAATCTCAATGAAGATATGATTCACAGTTTTAGTGCAGGAAAAGTCAGGAGAGCTCTAGAGTCAGTAGGATTTTTGCCCTGAGACCCGTCAGTGTCACTATTAAATTTCATTGCAAACTAACCAGTAGTTGTGTTGAGATTTCAGCCTGGACTGACAGACAGATATTACCATCCCTAGAAACTATCCATAAATGTCAGGTTTTCATCTTAAGACCTAAAATCAGAGTTAGAGCACAAGAGACTTTTGCTTTGGTGTTCAACAGTTCAACAGGAATCCATCCTAAATGAGGAAGAGATGCTACATTTCTTCTTATTGTATACCGTGAGCTCTGAATGATTAATGCAACACTTTGTCTCCCTGCAACTTCTCCTTCAGGCCATTGTTGTAACCATGAAAATCTTCTCCCTCAGTGTTTCCATACAAATTCAATTCTGAGCAACAATAAGGTTAGTTCAGGTTGAAGTTAGTAAAGGGATTAAATAACACATAGAGACTGAGATGGACTGACTCAGATTTGGCTCACAGCTGATTAAATTAAATGCTGAAGTATCTGTTTTTCAGACTGAAGTTCAGCAGTCACTTTGTCAGCTCGTTCGTGGCCTTTGGAAATGTTCGATTTTTGCCCATCCATCCTCTCACACACATTGTTCCACAGAAATATACTGTATCTATTTTTACAACAACTGCTCAGTTTACCATGAAATTTAGTGCGGATTCTTAAACCCCAGAGGACGACTTCCATTGATTTGTGCCCTGACTTCTTGTCCAGCACCAAAGACATGTCACAACTTCCCTTTTTCAAACAAGCGGATTCTCATTTTTGGCAGTCACTGTCCTTGTGTCTATTGTTACTTACTTTCAGAAGACACACGACAGCAGCAGCACGTGAAATAGGAAGACATGAATAAGAGGTTATGTCAAGTTTGTGACTGATGCCTCGTTTTAGGATAGTTTCAGATAATATTATATTCTACTACCAAACTAACTGTTCCAAGAAACACAACTAGTCAAAGAGAGCTCAGCAATTAACTTGGTAACTACAGTAATGATTAAAACTACAAAAAAAAAGACCCAAGTTGCAATAAACTGGAATTTCCCTGAAAGAAAACTCATTGTTAGCATGGCAATCATCCACAGATGTTCCTGAGAGAACAGATCTAGTTCTGTGATGGTGTATAAAGGAAGTGCATCTTTTTTTTTTTGACATTGTTTCCTCTCCACATTTTAAAATGCACCCATACACCTATAGGCCTACACCTGTACAAACCCTGGGAACTCATGTATCTCTTCAGAAACGCCTACAACAAATGACAGTGTACTCCGGCGTTTTCCTCATATTCTCGTGTATTTCCAATCCATCAAACTCGGACCTATTATCATGTGACCACACAAAGGTCACATGATGGCATTTGAGTCGTTGCCAATTACAACTGAGCAAACTCCATCCCCTGATGAAGACCATGAGATGCAGCTGAAAGCTACTGAAAGAGCTTATTACTTGGATCCTGTGTTAAGATGATTTTGTCAGACTGCTGTACATTTATATACAGTATACATAACAAAGGCTCTTCACCTCTCACGTTTCTGTGGGTGCTGTCACTGACATTTGCACCCTTCTGCTCGTCTGAAATGATGTCGGTCTCAGGATTTAAGCACATGTGACCTTTGAACTCACTGTAGGTCACTGTGGACCAGAGCAGCGGCAATGTATTTAACATGCTAATGAGCTATGCACTCATGACGACAACTGGACTCATTCCTTTTTGCTTCTGTCCTCCTTAAAAGAGATGATCTATGTTATGAATCAAGCATGCCTGATGGCCCCTGCACTCCCATATCCAGTGTGAACCCTGACCTCCAGGTGACCCCTGACCCCTGTGAAAGCACATGACTCATCACTTTTTTTTCTCTCTCTCTGATTGAAGCTGTTAATTTTTCCAAACACTGCAGAGATGAATTCAGCTGTCTAATGTGCTGGGTTGAAAGTGTTTCTATATGTATGTGTGTGTCAAAATGGGATTGTGGCGTGACAGACATGTTATTTAATTTGAGATGTAATGGCTTTAACTATCAGAGGAAAAACCGGCGGTTGGAGCAGTTAATGTAATTGCGAACAAATGATCCCTTTCACCCCCTAACCTGCAGGGACAGACTTGACAAGCGATTGACAGAGTGCATAAACTTCATGCTACACAGACTGTGTTAAAGACACGTCTTCTGCGCTTCATTTATACACATTTATATCTATTTTCAATACCTGTCATCAAATGATTTATGGTATGCTTTATTGTCTCTGAAGCTGAGGAGAGACTGCAGCATTCCCTGCACCTTTGTTTCCTCAAATGTAAAATCTTCTCACTGCTCTGCAATCTTGAAAAGTTGGGTTGAGATAGCAACTTTGGTAATTAATTACTTCAAGGAATGCTTAAGAAAGGTAGAAGTGCCTTTGTGGTGTTGGTGATGTGAAGCTGCACCTCTGCCGGGATGTGGCTGTGTGTAATCTATCACTTTGTTGGCTGTAGGCCAGGTTTCAACAGGGCACTCCACCAGGGCACTCTGTCAGAGGTAAGTATTAAAAATACATCACTGCTGCTTTTATTCTGTGGCCGTAAATCAGGGCGGCACAATCACAGTCCGACTGAGCTGCTGCTTAGGGAAGAAAAATGAGTGTTACTTTCTCCATCTAATCAAATATTGATATGGATAGATTTTCAGAGGCCTTGTGTGTTCTGATCAGAGACACGCTGAATGTTATTGCTTGCACTTGCTCTAATGTGTCGTAAGCTCTGCGTTAAAAGCTTCTGACACAGTTCAGTGTGGTTGAGAGATAATGAGCTTCAAAGACTGTAGCGTAAAGTTTATCACACGGAGTTGGATGGCGCCTTATTACCGACTCAAAAGATTTCCAAGAAAAGATAATGCGAAGCTATTCCAAGCTTTAATCTGACAAAATCTGTTTTGAGAAAAGATTCCCAAAAAGTCTCACAATGTGAGTGTCACGATTTTTTATTCTCTTGTTGCAAACCAAAGAAGATTTCTCTCGTTCTCAAAACTTGAGCTGATATGAGATAATGAGGAGGGACGAGTTTTATCTCAACATGTGAAACAAGCCATCAAAGCTTCTTCAGAACATCCTGACGCTCATTTACCTCCTGCAGAGTCCAGTGATAGATAGTAAATGATTATACTCTCTCAGATACTTAAGAATATTTCCATTGAATGCTTTGACTCCACTACATTTCAGAGGGAAACCTTGTACTTTTTACAGCTATGTCAGTCGTGTATGTGAGTTTGTAGCAGGTCCATCAAGTAATATTTCACAACAGAAGCAAAAATGTAAGTCTCAAAATAAATTTGAGTGGCTCACCAGTCTCAGTGATTATCTCATGCCCCCCAGATTTATGTTTTGATCCTTTGAGGGGGGCCTAATCCCTAGGTTGGGAATCATATAAACTAGTTACAGCTATCTTCACCTGGATTACATACAGTACAACAGTATAATACTGTTTTCACGTCAACAATCTAGGAATATAACATAATATCAGTGTGGGGGCATTTTTCTGCAAAACAAGTACTTTTCTTTTGATATTTTGAAGGAGACTACTTGTAAATTTTCTCTGCCACTGAGTGTGGTTTCCTGCTGGGAGCAAAGATTGTGGCTTGACAATAGCTTCAGCAATCATTATCTTCATTAATACAAGGGGTTATAATACAACCTCTGATCAAACCGGTCTTCAGGGCAGATTGGAAGCTACAGTTGCTATGGGGAAGTAATGAGACGGTCAGAAACAGGCCAGGGCAAGTTAGGTGTTGCTTACCACCACTAGACAGCTCTAAGCGAGTAAAGGAATGTTTGATGCTGAACTCACAATGTTTCAACAGCTGTTATTGCTAATGCTGGCTGTGTAGCAATAGCAAAACTTACAAATAAGTACATTTTCCTGATAATACTCTGGTGTTTTAACTTAAGTAGGACTTTGAATGTTTACATCGATGCACTGGTACTTTACAGGAGGACAGTCTGGTATTTTAGGTAAAAGATCTGAGTACTTCCTCCATCACTGTTCTGGCTCTTAAATTTTCACAGGCCTGATTTAGACTGCAGTCTAGTCAAATCCTGCAAAAGATCATGATAACAGAGATGTCAGACTGCACAGTAATGCACAGTTTCCTCCTCACCAAAGGCCATGTCCTCATAAATATGTATTTAGTATGCAAGTCTGTTATTATGATTATACATATTACAATAGTAAGTCAGTTTGTCTATATATGAGACCTATATGTAATTTAATAATGTAATAAATATTTATTTTTCAGATGTCTCACAACACAATGGCATATGTGACAGTTATTGTTTTAAGGTCTCAATATTTGCTTTTAGGATAAAAAATCTTAAGTACATGCTAATGTCTAACATGAAGTTAGATGAAAGGAAGTGTTGCAAATATTAGTCACAGCACAGATTATTTATTCTAGTAAGTGTTTAATCATGAAAACAAAAAAAGGCAGAAAAACACAATATATAGACAAACATGTTTAAGTACATTATAAATAAAACATATATTAAGACATGTATAAGGAAGGCCAAACAAGCATCTTCATTTATCATTCTACCGTTAAGTACATTTGAAGAGTAGTGGTATCAATTTAAAAAAAAAAAAAAAATCTGTTTGCAATTCAAACACATTCATATTTACAATACAGGGAAACAGACAGGTTCAAATAGCATTTACAAATAATGTTTAGTGTTTGTCTGGAGAACCAGGTGAGCGGAGTGCCAAGAAACTAATTGTAGCAGGGTCAACATGTATTTCAAAGTAATTTTAGCATCATTTCTGGAAGTGACAACTTGGTCAATGTGAATGTTGCTGAACCAGTCTGGGACTCCAAGCACAGTTCAGTAATTGAATTTTAAAAATGATTTGTAAACACTATTTGACTCTGATCAGCAACACAGAGACAGTCAATGGGTTTTTCCAAAATTCACAAAATGTGTTTTTCTCTAAATTAAACCAAACCAACAGCAACCATAGCTGTGGTAAACAGAAACAAGTAATCTGCTTCCAAACTTCACTCAGTGACTTGTCACCAGCCCAGTGAATCTTTTTACCAATTAAAAACAAATAAAAACTCCTTTTCTAGAACTTGGTCATTGCGGACTGAGTGATTTTTGAAAAGCTCTCTTCATGTTTTCATGTACAACCTGCTTGCCCCTGTAGTGACTGTGGAGTGAGCAAAACCAAATTAAGACTGATGTATTTCCATTTTTAATTAAATCAATCAAGTGCTTAAAGATGGTGATTTGCTGGATTAAGGTGCAGGGCTCATCCCACAATGCAACACTCAGTATTTATTACCTGTTGTTTTGTTTTAACTGACCAGATTTTGGCATTTGGATGCTTTACATTTTGGGGTTGGATTTAAAGCCGTCACTTTTAAGCACTTGGTCTGTTAGCAGTGTCATGTGTAGTCTTGGCTGTACTGTCTTCTATGTTAGAGTGGTCATGGGCTCATTCTTTCTGTTCCTCCTCCTTCCAAGCTCCTTCATCTCATCCTCCATCTTTTCATCAGATAGTGATGAAGCCTCCTTGGTCACTGCTGACTGACTCTGGCACTACGCAGCGACCCCTCCTCCGGGTCACGCGTCGCTTCCGGTGGAATTTAGCATAACAGCGAAACCCTTGAGCAGAGACAGAAAAAGAATAAACGCTTACTGAATCTCGTAGATTAGAGAGACATGGATGTGGAAATAGAGAAGACAGAGCTTCAGTAATTAACATGTAAAATCGATGCTTAACAACACTGAACTCATTGGAAGTATTCAACCAGTTTTTGATATTTATTAAAACTGACCCCAGAGCAGTTTCAAATGCAGATAAACAATCTATTCAGTGTTTTTAGCTCAAAACAATTTGATGAGAAAATCAACTTTTATTAACACTGGGACATTTTCTGTTTACCACTATATTAGTCTGCCACTAATTTGGGCACTCCAGGGACCCCTACCCATCACTAGGCACTGTCTTTTAATTAATTATAAACAGTGAGACTTTAGGAAATGGCTCAAGTACACGAGCGCCACATGAAAAGATGAAGTACTACTGATTTCTCATTACTTTTACTTTGAAAGCCGCTGTGCATCACACTGGCATATTACTACCCAATGTTCTAATTACTCACCTTCCTCACACATGCAGTCGTCATAGCATTTGTTGTTGAGGCCTCGGTTGTGAGGTTTACACTCGTGTTGTCTCAGGTCACAACAAGAACCTTCAATGGAACAAGTACAAAACATTCAACAACTAAACACACGTGATGTTCCCATGGGAAGGATTAATGTGAAACGCTGGAAAACAAACGATGACAGCATTACTTAAAATGACAATCTTCTTATCATTTCAAAGCACACACCCTGCAAGGACCGTATGTTCTGCCAAAATTAAATTAAAGCATGCCTGCAGGAAGTCACCATTTAAACACTTACAGTGAAAAGCTTTTTTGTTTTCAGTTGGTATATTGGTCTCTGGGTTATGAGCAAGTCAGCCTATGATTATGTGACAAATAATTTGAGAAATTCACAAGACAAAAAGTGAAGTTTAGCAGAACAAATTAAACGTTGTGTTGCAAATCTATTCTTTCTCAATGTTCATAATCATTTTACAGCCTCTCAGATTTATCTAGTGACCCCAATTAGGTGGGGCTCCCCTGGATAAAGGAAGTCAGAAGTGGAAGTAAGTTGTTGCGGCTATTTATGGCCATCAATATCACCCAATGCAGCTGCAACAAAAATATGTTACGAAATGATGACTTCAAAGATTTGTTTGTTGGAGCACCACAGCACCACTGTGGTCAAGAGCGACACGTATGATCGATCTTACCTGGGAGACAGTCCAGGTGGTGGTCACACGGCTCAATGGCATCAGCGTCTACAGTCGCATTTCCACTGCTGAGGTTCTTACTCCGCCTCTTGTCTGCAGCAGGCAAAAGAGATAAACACAACACTTTGATCCCAAAGGGTTCTGATTAATATGCAGCCTCAAACAAACAATTGTCACTCAGTTACGAAGTTATGCTTGCCCATCACCTTGGTCCAGACTAAAATATCTGAACAACTACTGGATGGATTCTCACCAAAGTCTGTGTAGACATTGGTGCCCAGAGGATGTATCCACAGGACTAACTAATGCTAACATGCAATACTAAGATGGTGCACATCCCAGACATTATACCTTCTAAAAATCAACATGCTAGCACTGCCACTGTTAGCATCTTAGCATGCTGATAGTGAGGATTTTGTTCAAAGCACCATTTTACCTAAGTGCAGCGTCACAGAGCTGCTAGTGTAGCTGTAGATTCTTGGTTATTTAAATGGATTATTTCCACCAAAGCTATTTTCAATTCAGAGCCACTTTATGACCACACATTCAAACTAACAGTTAAATAGTTAACCTTTCTTCCTGGAAGATGGCCAGGTGTCCACAGGTTTCATATCCTCGTAGTCTGTCCAGTCAAAGAGCGCCATGTCCAACGTTGGCATCACCTCTCCTTGTCCTTTTCCTCGACCAGACCTCTGAAAAAGGAAACATAAATTGATGCCACACCTTACATCCTGTTACATCACAACTGTTATTGAATTACATTTCAGTGGGAACATTTGCATACCAGCTTAACTCACGTTCTGTATAAGTAATCCACATAGGACAGCTCAAACACACTGATATGCAGATCTGTAAACTCCTAATCCCATCTTCATTTATTTTCACCATGCTGTGTAAATTCTGCTTACATTGTAATATTTTTATAAATCTTCTATATCTATGTATTCAAAAACAATTGTGATCAGAATATGAAGATGTGTATTAAAAGCTAATCCCAAATTTCACACTATCCAGTACATAAACTGCTGAGGAGAATACATTAGAGAGATCAGCTCTGTCTCCTCAAATGAATGTTACTTCAGTTAAACCGCAGCAGCAGAAGATAGTTTATAGATAAAAGATAGTTTGATTAGTTCACTCTGTTTTGCAGGTGAAAAAAATGAGGGTGTTCTTAATGAAACGCATCGAACATGTATTGTGATGAGCAGCAGTAACGCTTCATTGATTCATGAAACGACCTCACAGAGGAAACAGAGATAGCAGCAGAGCTTTAAAAACCAATCGATAGCCAACTGATAACAGAGAACATGTCTGCCCACAGCATGGAATAAAAAGATATCTCACAGCATTTGTATTATTAATGCATATACAATATGAAGACACATAGATGGAAACATACAGTTCATTACACACAACCTCAGGCTTTATTCCTGGTCAGTGAGGGCAGCAGGCAACTAATGAAACTCATCCAGGGGTGAACAATCAAATTATACTTATTATTTCTGCACTGTCCTTGTGATTGATTGATTTTAGTTTAGTAAGATATTTACATATATATGCAATTTGTATGTCAAGTCACCAACTAATTGTGGTTGAAGCCGTTCTATGGAGCATTGTTAAGGAAAGTAACTTTAAAAAATATTTGTTAATTTAGTCAGTTATCCTTAAAAGGGGCTATTTGTAAGTTTTCTCTGCCGCTGAACGTAGTTTCTTGCCAGGAACAGGTGGTGGCGATTGTCGCTTGACAAGAGCTTTGGCCATTGTTGTTGTTTACAAGACAAGAGACTATAACATGTCTTCTGAGCAGCTCTACGTCTTTGGATGCTACAGTGAGTCGCTTTCGGAAAGTGACAAGATGGGCTGGGGCTAGCTGGTTAGCATGCTACCTTCAATAGAAGAAAAGATGTAAAAGTTAACATTGGTACAAATATCTCCTTTAAAACTAAGGACATTGGAAGGTACATTGACTTATTCTGGCACAGCAGTATTATTTGTTCTGTTATTGTAGGTGAACTTGGAAGAGGAGGGTATGCAAACCACTGTCAGCCAACACTGCATCAAGAATTTCATGCATGCAAAAGAAATTCAACTCTAAAAAACTGGAGCTAATGAACATCTGATTCTTTCCATTTTGGATGCTCCTCTACCTCCTGAGCATGTGGCGAAAATGTTTTACTTTGTGAGAAAAAAACAGTTTAAATTTATGCTTGCTTCCTAAACAGTTAAAGTCAGTAGTTGGATACCTCTGGACTGATCCATAAATTCAAACACAGGTCTGAGTGTCATAAATTCAAATGCTCTACCTCTGTAAAATAATGTCATTCAGATGAGAATTTTATGATATTGCTGTAAAACAACACTCCTTGGTGAATTGCTCAGCCATAACTTTCCGCAATAAAAGCCGTAAAACATTACTTTTGTCATTTTCCTCAAACAGAGGAAACAAAATTGAAATGTTACACAGGATAATTAAGTCAGCAAGAGTTTGAGTTGTCTCCTGAGGAATACTTCCATCCATCAAAAAATAAGCTCTTCATGTAAACAGATCCATACTTGTTTCCTTTCACCCTCAGGAAATAAGCCTATATGGAAATATCAATGCGATTAATTGCAGGGGGCTAACTAGGTCTGCTCTGCTGCTCATTAAACTATCAACAGAAGATCGAACATTAATTAAGAAGCCTTTCTATGTGCTCGTGCCACTGAACCTGGGTTCAGGAAATGCTATCACTTTTTTCTTTCTTGGTCCAATAATATTTGACTGCTCTCACATTAAAGGCATTGCAGTCTCCCTGGTTCTCAGATGTCTTGAAAACAGAATACCAAGTAGACTGTCAGTCTAAAGACATCAAACGTAGACACTGACCAGGGGAGACTCTCAAAGTCACCATAACTTCTTCTAAAACCTTAGGGTAAATCTGAATCTGACTTCATATGGACTCTGTGCCTCTTGTTTAATTTTGTAATCACTTCCCTGTTGTGTATTTGGTTGGATGTCCCCCGCCCCAGTTAGTTTCACCTGTTCTCTATTAACCCTTGTGTATTTAAGTCTCTGCATTCATCAGTTCGTCTGTTCAGTTCTGTTGTGTTACCTCGTGCTTCTGTTCAGTTTCATGTTGATGTTCCTGAGTGAGTTTTCCTTTCTGCCTTTGCTACCTGAGTTGTCTACCTGTTTTTTAGTTTTTCCACCTGTCAGCCAGCAAGACACTTTTTGTTTATTAATGACTTACATCTCTGTATCTGCGGACTTTGTGTCTTCGTTTGGGTCCACCTTGCCTGTGTTACTTACAACCCTAGCAGCTAATATCACTCTTGTAAGAAATTTGTATATTTTCTGAATTAAAGAATGGACGGTCCATTTTTTTTTAAACTGTCCTCACCAGTATATTAACAGCAGCGGTTGTTTGGTTGATCGCCTAAAAAGACAGATGTTTCCATTTTCCTGATAAGTGCAAAAAAAAGTGGCAGACCAGGAATCTGCAGGTGGTACAATGTCTATAGAAAGTTTAATCCAAATAACTGCAGTTTTGAATCAAGACATCTCGCTCTTCTTTCACTCTCAGTATCTAGCCTCATATGTATCAATATAAGTCTTTTTCAAAAGGTTAAAGGTGCGATATGTAAGTTTTCTCTGCTGCCTAATGTGGTTTCTCGCAGGGGGCAGATGGTTGTGGTGGTAATGGTTGCTTGCCAAGAACTTCAGCCATCATTGGGTTTACAAGCCAAGAGGTTAGAACATGCTCTCTGGACAGCGCTACTTCTTCAGCCTCTCATGCTGAACTGAGGGCAGACTGGAATGACTCACTATCGCAATTACAAGATGGTTATGAGCCAGGGCAAGCTGGTTAGCATGGTAACTTCAGTGGAAGAAATGATAGAAATAGAAGCAAAACAAGAGTTAACACTGGCATTTCCCCTTCCACTGTTTGATGCTGAACTCACAACATTTCTTTTAGACTGGTAAGTAAGCAGCCATTAATGCCAACATTGGCTATGTAGCAATAGCAAAAATGTACATATATCACCTTTAAATGTCTCAGTTTGAAGGTTTAGTAGTGTTTTTTTTTCTTGAACAGAGCTGTTTAACAAAACAACTGTCAAACAGTGTCAGTCATCATGTGACTCTGGCAGCTTTTTTCCCACGAACACCCTACAAGCTGTTGTGTGTTCTTAACAGCATCTGTGACAAATGTAAAAGCTTTCATGATGCAGGCTCTTGCTCAGTATCTACTGACATCAGGTACCATTTTGTCATTAAGAGTCTCATTTGTAATGGTTCCAGGATTTGAAAGAGGCACAGGGACATTTTTTTTCCTCCTGTTTATACATACTGCTGAAGCATCATGCTGGGTGAATGTGACAGGTGGTCAGTGGTGCCCCACGCACTCCTGCAGATTTTTCATAACATGTGCCCAAAGTTGGAGACAAAAAAGACTCTCCGTGGTCACATACATTTTGTCCTGACGTTGTTTCTAATAAAGGAAAAGGAAGGTAGTTCGCTCTGAACTGTGTAATTTGGATCCCAGAGGTGTAGTTTTATTATACAGAACACGCTCCTATCTATCAAACACACTGTGACCAAGAGCCAGTGAGTTTGGCCTGCCGGAGGATATTTTTCACCAGCAGCACTTTCGGGTTCACACTGTAGAGAGTGTCATTTCCAAGATGAGCTATGAGGTTTGCAGCAGCACAACGGCAGTAATGGGGCCCATTTTCGCTCTACTTCCCCCACACACTGGAACCATGCTAAGGCACAACAGACGCAGCCTTTAATAAGCACTTGGGCTTTGCTGGGGTTACCTGGGGTTTGGTGGAGGCCGGGGGCAGCGTTGGGGGATGCTCGTTCATCACCGTGGTAACCATGGAGGAGCCAGAGCCAAAGACGGCGGCGATGGGGGAGGGGGTTTCACTGGGCGGGGTCACACTGATGGAGGGGGAGGCAGCAGAGGAGGAGGAGGAGGGAGGGTCCTCAAACAGATCTCTATCTTTCAACGCAGACCTCAGCTCAGGCTCCGCAGGAAATCCTGGACAGACACATATAGAGAAAATATTGTTCCGATACTGATGTGTTATGGCTGCAAGATTTCACATTATCTAACAAACATGGATCCTGTTTACTTTCATTAATGGTTAAAAATGTAACAAAAAAAATATCAAATGTTAAAAAACCTTTTACAAATAGTTAATTGAGTGAGAAGGTTCAGTCCATCCAATTAACCCATGGAAAATGTGTCACAACTGTCAGGGTTTGTCAGGGTTTGAGGGGTAAGGGCTGGACCCAAATGCAGCCAACACATGGGAGACGGTGCAGACAGTTTTAATAAACTAACACACGCACAGGGAACCACAGGGGATGACAACAGGCAACATGAACAGACTGAAGACAAACCAGACTTGAACAACTTGAGGAAGATCCAGAAATCAACAGACGTGAACAGGCTAAGGACAAACCCAGAGACAACAATGATAACAGTGACAAACCGACCCAGACAAAGGGGAGCACAAAGACTATATAGACAAAGGAGGCAAGGGTGATTGCACACAGGTGAAACACATTAGGGCGGGGCAGACAATCACCACACAGAAACAGGACCAAGACAGGAAGCAAAAACACTGACACACAAGGAAACCAATTACAAAATAAAACAGGAAGTGCGAAAGGTCCAAAGAAAACTAACAAAAGGTGTCTGCCATAGCAAACCATGACAAAATGTAAGATCTGTCAATCCTAAATGTTTTGTGAACATCACTTAAAGTGTCACTTCACCCAAATTGCAAAAAAAAGAGAAGAATAAACTTTCAATCTCAGGTTTTGGTTTTATCTCTCAAGCTTTTGAGTTATTGGTCTCTGAAATTTCTGCCTCCATCCCAATACAGTGGTGGCGAATAGAATTTCATTGTGATGCTTACATTATTAAAAGTTAGGTTTTTAGAAAAGCAGCTGCTACAGTTTTCCTGTTATTTTGGATAATCCACAGACCATAACTATTCATTCTACATAAAGTGGTTCTAATAAAACTGTTCATAATGAAGTCTGTGTGAAGTGTTCTTCAATACCATCGCCACTGTATTGCAGCTGAGGGAGATATCTAACAACCCGGCTAAATAAAACCAAAATTATACCAATAGACGTGAGTGAGAAAACTAGACTGATGTTAATGTAGGTACATTAATTGAGAATGGATAGATACTGAATATGTCTTCTGTAAGTTGGGTGAATTGATCTTTAACTGATATTGATCTGCATTGTTCCCTGTTGCCTCAACATAAAAAAAAGCCTTTTTCACACATTACTGCAGGTGTTACTGATGACATTAACCATTGGCTCTGTTCTATACTGAAATGTCATGAAAGTACGACATTGAGCATCATCAACAATACCAGGACCCTGAAACTGATACAGCTAAGTGGAATTCAACAATCATTAAGTTTTATAATTTACATTGTGTTTTCTGTATTTCAACATGTTAAGATTACCTTTATCTAACTGATGTTTGCCCAATATTGGAAACCACTGCAGTCAAGGATCATTTGTTAGAAATACAATCTACTCTATCCAGATCTGGCGAGAGCTCACCTTTACCATGTCGTCCCTTGTCACGCCGACTCCCTTGTCTCCTGTGCTCAAAGTGGTGTCCATGCCCATGCCCACTCCCGTGTCCGTGCCCTCTCCCTTTGCGTGTCCCCATAAGCTGGTTTTCCCGACCTTGGGATGGACTCCTCATACTCATTCGAACTCTGTCTCTGTCCCTGCTGGGGCCCATCTCCAGTCTCACAGGGCTCAAACCCTCCAGGCCTGTCCCATCATCCTCAGGCCTGGCCAGGGGGTGAAGGGGCCTATGGGAGAGCAGCCCAGCTCCACCTTTGGCAACACGGTCCCCCTGGCTCCCGTGCCCGCGGTCCCTACTGTAACCGTGGCCCTGTAGACCTTGCGGAGGGTGCTGTAGGGCGTTGCTGCCACCTGCTGAGGTCTGTGCCTGTCTCCTCTTGCCATGAGGAGCTCTGGGCTCAGCAGTGTGTGACAGTGCCAGGGTGGCAAACAGGAACACGAGGAGCAGACTCCAGGAGAGAGCCATTGTCTGTACAACACCACGCCACCTGCTGGGAATACAGAAAATATATGTCGGTACTGTACAAAGTCTGCTGGGTAATTAGAATCAAATAACTGACACTGAAACTTAAGGTGGATTTAAGCTGCGCTGGTGAATGTTCATAAAAAAACAAGTCTTGGTCAAATTTGATAATTGATCAGTCAGTTATTTTCACGAAAAAGTGCCAAATGTTAATTCTGTTAATTGATAGAATTTGCTGCTTAACTTTGTCTTAAATGATTGTAAACCAAATATTTTAGGGTTGTCTTTTGGACAGACAAAACAAGTAATGAGAACACATCACCATCGGCTTTAGGACACAGAATAAGTGAAAATGATCCCTTGTTACAGCAGTACATCCAATGACACATCATTGGAGACATGATCAAGACACTCTGATACTTTTGTACATTAGGTTGAAGAAAGTAAATGGAACCTACTTCCTCTGTGATTCATGGCTAAAACCTTCAGTTGCTCAGTTGCTACAACCTTCAGATGCTCTCCCATTAGCTTGTGAATACAATCTAGCTGCCATCCTATATAAAGGAGCAAGATAGAAGGACTACAAACTTAGGTTTGATACTCAAAGGACAGGCTTCATATTTCACCGCATTAAAATCAATTCAAAACCACTCAAACCAAAATCAATTGATATTTGCAATGTTTTTAAAAACCTGTAGCCTCTAATGTGTGTAGGCTTATGCTTATGGGCTGCATTGTGTACTTTTTAGCAATAGGAGATCAGTACTTTTTTTCAGTTTATGGTGTTGGACAATATTAAGCATCATTTACAGAAGTAGGATTTCATGAGCTACTTACAAATTAGCAGGAGGTTGGTACCTTTCATCCTCCGTGTTAGCAAATACATGCAGGAAATTTTTTTTCTGGGAAAATGTCCGTCATGTAAATTTGTGTAACTTGCCTCAAAGGGACATCTCTCAGCTAAGCCCCAGCTTTTTCCAATCTGAAACCACATAAGTCCTCAACTATTGTACATGTGTACTCTCCTCTGCAGCATCCATTCTCCCATCACCTATCCTCTGAATTCAGGCTACATCACTCTCAGCCTCCTGAATGGGCCCATTTATCCGGACTTGGTAGGTTTGAGGAGGTGATAAAGAGATAGACAGGCACTTCTTTTTAGAAATGACTTCATGCCTGTACCTTCATGCCTTTCTTGGTACGAGATACTGCACTGCGCACATCCTTCATCACTGCCTGTTCAGTGGTCTCGAGGGCCCTCCAACCCTCCCTTTCATTACTAAAGTCAACATATCTTTGTGGTGTGACTGAACTGAAATATGAGGTTCTGGATATCTGCATTAATGGCCCAGCACCTTGTCCAAACATGAATAAAAGGATGGTGTTGAGTCTAAAAAAAAAAAAAAAAAAACCCAAAGCACTGGAGTGGAAGCATTCTTTCTTTTTTATTCCCATCGTTAGGCACCAAACTACATGGCAGTCAGGCTTAATGGTAAATGTTATTTAATGTCACAAAAATTTTATGTGCATACATAATGACATTTAGTTGTACATTCATTTTGAGCGATTTCAGCATAAGGAAGCCACAAAGAGAGAATATTTCTTAAGCAATATGGCTTTAATTTGAAATATCAGGTATGAGATATTTTTCCAGTGTCGCAATAAATGGAGCATTAGCCTACATATAAAACGCCCAAATGTATGTTTAATGGAATGCACTAAACTCTTCACATGTTAAGACAAATGGCCACTTTGTGGAAGCTGATGGGGATCCAAATAAATGAAGAAATAAACATGAACCTAAATAAGTAATTTTTGTTATTTTTTCTGACTCTAATTAACTTGAAACCATTTAGATTTAGAAGTCATTTATACAGAATTTAGTAAACCAACAAATTCTGGCTCATAATTGGCAGATTTTTGAACACCCAAAAGTGAAAACACTAAAACTGTACTGATAAATAAAACTATGAAGATCAGTTTGATGTGCCAAAAACTCTAGATTCCATGATTTTTAATGATCTAAATCAAAATACATCGCACAACTCTTCTTCTGTAAACCACACTTTATTCACTTCACCAAAACGTTTTCAGTTATCTTGCTCATCAGGATGGTGTCTGAGGTTGTTTCTGGTTCTTTATATACTGCCCATTGATCAGTCACATGACTTACAGATCATCATGGTACTACTATACACACCACTTTTATTTAAACTTTAATGGACTTGCATTGAAGCTCGTGGTGGTCTACACCTCTCTGCACCCAGCCCAATATGTTTATCCACAACACCAACAACTAGTGCTGGATGAAGGAACACCAGCTTGAAAACTGACAACAGGTTATGGTTAATATGATATGGTTTGTTTTGTCCTCCACTTTAATGGGCTGAGACAATCCATCGCCACAGGAGCGTGCAACGTCATTATGGCGAGTCCTTTGTGTTAAAAGACAAATGGCAGCGCAGGGCATACAGAAAATCAATGAGGGAGAAGTATTGAGCTGCTGGTGATGGTGTGTGTGTTTTGTGTGTGTGTGTGTGTGTGTGTGTGCCTCTGTATGTGAGGCGGAGTTACGGGGGTTTATAAAGTCTTTGCAGTCTCTTCACACTGACACACACACACACACACACACACTAAGTTGAAAACACATATTCTTGGGTTTACAGTGGGTTATTTATGTTTTTCTAAAAACAGAACAGTGTGTGTGTGTGTGTGTGTGTGTGTGTGTGTGTGTGTGTGTGTGTGTGTGTGTGTGTGTGTGTGTGGGGTTGAGAGGATGCTGGTGATGTCAGGGGAAATTTGTGCAGGCAGAGCCCCAGGGGATTTAGAGGCAGACTGCGTCGGCTGGCCTTTGGGAGTTCGACCAGCTGTGCAGTTTTGCAAACAAGAGTGTGAGCCTGGCTGCTGAGGTGAGACCTTTATCTCCAAACAGGCCTTCAGAGGGGGGCAGGCAATCGTCCATGTCAGGCACAAAGTGTTTAGCCAGGAAGCCAGGATTACGCTCTGTCTGTTTGACACATGAGGAGCTGCTGGTGTCGTGGCCCGGACCCCGTACGGCCAGAAGGTTGATCTCGTAAGACAACATCCGAATTTAACTGTGGGACGGGGTGGCGGTGATAGAGGATAATCTACTGGATTACATCTCAAGAGTCCTCGATGTATATTTATTCAAGGAATAGTTCAACTATTCCTTGCACTTTTGAGCTATATGAGAGGATTGATCCCACTCTTATTGTATGTCTGTATGATAAATATGAAGCTACAGTCGGCAGTCAGTTGTTTTAGCTTAGCATTAAGCCTAGAAACAATAAGCCTGGGTCTATCCGAAAGGAAACAAAGTCCACCCACCACTTTACAAGGGATACTTAAGGGACCAGAATAAAAATACATTTTTTTGGGCAATGCTCTGATGAATGCTTTATACTGAAACGCATCAGCAGATTTGTCAATAAATTCATATAAAGGATTGATCCATGAGCTGACTGTTTATGGTGCCGCCTTCTGTCCTGAGTAGAGAATATAGACAAATGTACAGTGTACGTCAAAACTGCTTGTTGGGTCATCGAACAGCTTTGGAAAACCCCCGTGCCTCACACCTTTCTGAATCAGAATGAATTATAGGCGGGCTGTGAATGTTTTCCAGGAGACTGTTTGAAGATGTGTGCTGTTATCCGACCAACAATCACTCCTTCTCTTTTCCCTCTTCTTTCAAGGGGCTTCTTTTTGAATAGGTATAAACATACTTTTGCATATGGTCGGAGAACACGCCAAATGAACAAGTCCTTTCAAGCATAACGTGGCCATTTATTGTGTCCAAGGAATAATCACTATCACACAGGAGGCTAAGCAATGCAGCAACAATATGACCCTTCGAAAATTAATTTTCCCAAAGATGTAACGCCTCCATAGCAACAGAAGGCACCATGTGTCAACCCCATCAAAACCTTAGGCCTGAATAGACCTGTCATGTGAAAGGGAAGGCAGGCGGTGATGGAAGAGGACCAAGTATCTCAGCACAGCAGTGTCCTGTTTTCCTCTCTAAGACTTTCATGTGCCTCCTAACAGGTGGTCCTTTGAGGAAACACAGGACGGGGATGATAATGGAGCACTCTGGGTGGCATTCCGGGTTTTAAGCACAGTCTCTTGTGTGTGATAAACAACCTCCGCGAACAACACAGCCTCCTGCCAGAGCCTGTGTTATACATGGCTGTGTGTAGTAGGTAGGGCACAGCAGGGCAAGCATCTGCTACTGAGGCGATGGGAGGCCAAACGAGCGGCCTGGAGACAACGAGTTCCACTCCCAAATGAGATAATCCAAACTCTTTGAACTGCAACATTTAAACAGTGACTGATGGTGTATTGAAAAACCGATGACAAGAATTTGGTCTTTCATTTCTTGGTTGAAGGAATGAAAACATGTTCAAGGCCTTGAAAACCTGTTTCCTCATTTAGTTTCTTACTATAAGAAGAGTTTTGGTTATTGAGTCATTTCTGTATGTCTGTTTTCATTGGAAATCTTCTCTCTGGTTGGGCAGATCACTTATTTCCCTGCACCAATCAGGACTTGGCAACATTTAAATCAAGATGTGAAGGCAGTAGCACGGCTGCTGCCTTATTTTGTCAATCAAACCTTACCCACACAGTCTTGAAAGAGTGTTGATGTTTTTTCCTCTGAACTTTAACTTTAATTGTTGCTTATTTTGTCATGAATATTTATGGTTATAGGAAAATACTCAAGATCTGTAATAAAGTTTTCAAGGGCTTTAACAACATAAATAAGAGTTTTTTTTAATTAGATATGTTGGAAAGCAAAGTTATTCCCCATCCAAAAATCAATACAGAGCTTTACCAGAGAAGGGTTTATTATTATTGCAAAGACTGGAGGACCGGACCATGTGATGCGGCCTGGGGACTAACATGAGGTGACGGCCCCTTTCAGTTCAGCCATTTATTCAATGTCTTAAAATATACAAATAGAAAACAAGTGGTGTTGAATGAAAGTAAGTTTGAAATGAGCCCAACACAGCTGCTACCACAAAATAAGGGACTGGCACCTGTTATGAAAACCAACAGTGAAATCACCTCAACTTTAAAAACGTCAACAACAACAACAACAACAACAATGTTAAGTCTTGATTTTGATGTAATGCGTCCATTTAACGTTATAGTAGCATTAATTATACTACTGCTGATAGTATAATTAAAATATTATAAAAATGTGCTTTTGTCACATTTGGTCTGCATCACACACACAGGTCTGGTGTCTAAAACCAGGATGTCGTCCTCTAAGAAGAGGAGAGGACACTCATGATATCAGGGGAAATTTACAGTGCAGAAGTAATAACTGAGTAAAAATCAACAAATAAAGGTTTTTAAAAAGGACACAACATTCGGACAACTCTATATCTCACTGTGACCTCAGATCTCCAGGTTGTAATGTTGAGTTTATGGCCATCTGAGCTCAGCAATATAAGGAGAGAAATGATGTACTGCAATATAAAATATAATAAAATCTTAATATCAATTCTATATTTTGAGGAAACCAGAGGAGGAGAATAGAGGCTAATATTGGATTATTATGGTTAACATTTTGTAGAAAACACAATATATATGTGTGTGTGTGTGTGTGTGTGTGTGTGTGTGTGTGCGTGTGTGTGTGTGTGCCAGAGGCTTTTATAAGCACAGTGTAACAGTGTGAGATGGCCACCAGAGAGACATGCATCAGAGCAGAGTGAGATAAGTATGAAGCGATAGGTAATCTTGCAAGAAATTGCAAAGGGGGCACTATTGGAGGCTGGATGATTAAGCTCTGATGAGATCAGAGACCTCTCTCCAGTCTGTGATCAATCGGTCAGTCCCCTAAGCATGGCGGTACTTCTGTGACACACTCGTTATAAAAATATACTTAACAGAGAGTGGACCCAGATCTGAGGCCGAGATGAGCAAGGTAAGCAGGAAAAGCAGTGAGGCAGAGCAGGAGGCGACCCTGGAACTAAACTGCTGTATGTGCGCATCTTTTAGCTTCACCTGCTGTGACACCAAACCTCCAGGAGCCATCTGCTCCTGTTGTTTTATCTCTCATAGCAACCAGCAGGGCCATAAGGATCCCGCAAACAAAGGCTCCAGAAACAGGCGGCTGAGGCAGAGCTGTCATGACAGGCAGAGGCCGTCTTCTTTTTCCTGGTCACATGCAGAGACTCAAGGTTTAAATCAAGAAAAAAAAAAAATTTCCTGTCGATTAGTAGATCATATCTAATGGAACAGAAAGTCTTCAGCCAGCCATTAATCAGGCGTTTTCAACATACGCTCAATTTGAAAATTTATTACAGGCTGTCAAAAAGAGACCTACAGGTCACTCTGGGAGTGTGTGGCTGCACAGGAACAAGCTAAATCTCTCCTTTGAGCTGCACGCTTCATTGAGCAGCAGCTCAAGTATCTGCTTTAAACAGGCACGATGGATAATAATCATTTTTTTCAAAAGCCATGATCAAATATAACAGTCGCAAAGAAAAACAAAAGTATCATCTGTTGTGTTACAAATACAGTTCAGCTTCGCTCCACACAGAAACCGTTCCTGTCTGTCATTAAGCAATAATGCTGAATATTTGATGCATAAACGCTTGGTTTTATATGTTTCATCTAGTGTAAAATAGGCCTCGTTTATGCCACAGAATTATCATAAATATCAGCTCAATAACAAGCACCCAAATTACAGCTCTAGTTAATGCCTCTGCATAATAAACACCTCTGCCAAAGCCGCAGTTAACACCATAAAACTTCATTTCCTTAAGGACCAATATGACTGACTTCAGCAATATAAAAGTGCTTTGTCTCCCAGAATCCTCAGCAAACAATATTGGTGAGATTCACACGTCGACTGGGGAGGCTTTTCGCAGCTTTTAGGTGTGTATTGGATGGTAAATGCGAGCGACACAGGGTGATAAAAAAACAAGAGCCATAAGGAAGGTCCATCTGTCAGTAAGTGAGCCGAAGCAGAGAGCACGGAGACGCCGAGTGATTCAGTGGTAATTTGGTCGCAGGTACAACAGATGTGGGGCGAGACCAGAACATTGTCACTGATGCATGGTAACATCAGCGGCATCCTGCAATGAGGCCCTTATCTCCCGTTTGAGTGCACCAAGGCCTGCACACACACACACACACACACACACACACACTCAGAGATTTCTTCTCTATTGCAATCAGTGCATGCACACAAACACACACTCACAGCGGGGAAACCTCCTCCAGACACCTACATAGAGGCATGTTCCAAAAATGCTGTGAGACACATAAAGCACCAGAAGCACAGCAAGAGGCGTCCCACAGAGAGGAGAGAGAATGAGAGAGACAAAAGGGGGGTAGGAGGGAGGGGGGGAAACTGAGAGGAAAGCAGAAAATAAGATGTAATGCTGAGAGAGAGAGAGAGAGAGGAGAGAGCGAGAAAGAAAAAGAAAGAAGTGAGAGAGAAACAGGGAGGGAGGGAGAGGAGAGAAACTGAAATCAAAGCGGGAGAGAGGGAGACAGAGGGAGGATTTATCCTGTCTTAATTAGAACAAAGTGTCGGTGGCATCTTTCATTTTGGTGGCAGATAAGGACACCAGCTGAATCCCCTCTAACGCACAAAAACACAACAAAGCTTTGGCTTCTGAAACCAACAACCAACAACAAAACTTGTTCTTTTGCTAACCCGAGAAAATCTGGACACCTGGGTCTGTATCTGGACGTTCCGCATGGGAACAGTTTGACCGGTCAGCGGGGGGGGGGCACTCCTGCTTAGAGATGGTCAAGTGAAGCATGCAAACGAATTACATGAACCCCAAAGTTTCTCTCTCCCCCGGTCCTCCTCCCCTCCTTTGGTGGAAGCGAGCGGCATTGACTTCCTGCCAGTTTTGAAAGAGTCTTGATCAAACAGATGCAGCCACGCTTGGCAGTGACGTTCAAGGCAAGTTTCACACCACGGTGGAGGAGACTGGATGAGTGTTTAGCAATGTAGCCTTTTGGCTGAAGATCAAAACCGGGACAAAGGAAATAAAGAGATTTGCTCGTGTAAAGACTGAAAGCACAAATTTAAAACAAAATGTGATTCTTTCATGGTTGTTTGGATCCGTGTTTGACACTTTCAGATTAGATCCTGTGTGTTGTACAGATAAGTGATGAAGAGTTGGATGATGCCACAAAATGGATTTAGTGGGTATTTTTTGGTAATTTTTTTTTGAAGAATACTAAATTAATTTCCACTTGAACATCAAATGATGTCAGTGTGTCCTTAGGTTATCGTCTCATTTTCACATAATTCAGTGATGGGTGAATCTGAGCTTTTGTTTTGGCCTGAGGTCGACTCACTGTGGGGTCCCTCCACACTCCTTCTGATCAGGTCTAATGCTTCCCTGCTGATTGACTCGCAATTAATTAACAGCAGCTCGTTAATGTGAGTCCTCAAATATTGCTCCTTTGCAGTGTGTTTTACTTTTAATTGAATGGTGTCACACTGAGACTCCCAACTTTAATCTCTCCCTTTCTCATCTCTCCCTCCCTATCTTTACCCCGCAAACCCCACCCCCCCCCCCCCCCCTCTCTCTCACACACACACACACACACACACACACACACAGTCTCCTTGGTGTGCAGTGAGCAACAATGTGCTGTCAAGAAGAGATAATCGCTGCAATCACTCCTGATTCTCCTCACTATTCATACAATACATTCCTCTGTGATGTTAAACTGATTTTTAAAGCATGGCAGGAAACACTGCGCTCACAAAAGTTGAAGTGATTACCAGATTAAATCTGTTTTTCCGGTATCAAACCAAATCTAATTTGCTATTTGCAAACAGTCAGTCTTTCTATCGACCGTGTGTGTGTGTTGAGCGACTCTCTATCTGCAAGTCAAACTGCATTTTTTTTTTTTTTTTTTTAAATCTGTGAAACTGGGAAGGAACCGTTTGCATTAATTAACTTATTAACTTTTGTGACATTATGAAGTTGAGACACTGATGCGTTTTTTACGCAAAGATGGAAATCATGGCGGGCAGGTAGTAGCCTACAGTACAACTGCAATAAACCTATAATGTTTGATAAGCACTTTGGTGAGTTATGGCAGCAGAACTGAGAACTACCGACTATCTGGTGTATGGGTGACAATAAATCAGGTACAACGGGGAAAATAAAATGGCATATATTACCATAAAGTCGCTGCAAACTCATCTGAGCATCACAGAAACACCAGAAAACCATCCCACAGGACATCAAAGAAACGATACCGGTGGGTTTTCATTGCGAACTATAGGCTGAAAGCCACAAAACGGTAATAACCAACCCCCAGCACTTACACTGAGAATAATGCAGCTCCTGTATAAAGATCAGTCCTTACCTTGCGATTGTTTGTTGTTGTTGTTGGTGGGTTTTTTTTTCCCTCTTTTGTTGTTCAAGGTTTGAATACCAGTTCGGTCATATGGCTGCAGGCTGACACACAGCGAAACACAGCGCAGCAGCGGCGGCAGCAGCAGCAGCAGCGGCACCTCTGTAGTCCGCTCTCCGTGCACCCCGGGATGTGCCAAGCATCCGGACTGTCTCTTGCCTCTTATGGGGAGGAGAGTCACTGGCTCCGAGTGCGCGCTCCCGAGTGCGCGTCCGCGTCAGGTCTGGCTGCAAGGGGCTTGTCCCAGCAGGTGATACAAGGACAGAGTGGAGGAAGTGTGGGTGTATAAGAGAGACAGAGACCAGAGGAGATTATCCAGAAGTGATCCATCAGAGCTTTTTCTACAGGTGATTTCCACCTCAGACCTCCATACTATCTGGATAATCACCGCAGGTCAGCACCACAGGATCCAAGTAAAACTAGTTCATCCTACAATAATTTGCTCAAAAGCGCCAAAAGACCACATCCGTCTGGTCTGCTGCTGTTTCCCAGTTAAGGTAGATCTATGTACAATGATATTTCAGACAATAGTGTGCTTCCAGCCTTGTGTCGACACTTTAGGGTTGTGTATTGTGAGCCTCAAGTATGAATAATATGGATCTGTATTGAAGTACTGTCTATAAATGTATGGGGACACTGGGAAGAGTAGCCACTGTTACACTTCCAGGAAATTTTGACTAAACCCAAAAAAAAGAAGGTCAGTAGATGACTGGGATTTTTCACATTTTGGTTATTTAGTGAACTGTTCAGTTGCACTTTCTGTGGGTTTGTTTCCCAGTATGAAGGTCAAGGCCTCCTCCACACTACAAGGACCAAAATCTATGTGGTTAAAACCTGCAAATTCACAAAACAGACAAATAAATACCCAACTCCCACAATTTGCAGCCTGGTCCCAATACCTTGCAGAAAGTCATCCCAGGTGTAATGAGAGGTTCAAAAATCACATACAGGTGTAATGTTCAGGTGTCCATTTACTTTACTTTCCAGTTTATATCAGACATCGACTGACATGGTTTCACTTCTAAATTTATTGAACAGAAGTCATAAATGTGACCTGGTGTTTATTCCTGTTTATGAAAAAAAAAATGAAAAAAAATGCATCCATCACAGAGTTTAGGTTTTGTGAATAAACAGCCCAGGAAAGCTGCGGTATCACCTTCAGTAACAATCTGTTTGCACTCAGTGGATATCCTCTGCAGTGAAACGCTGTAACTGCATTTTTCATGGCCTGTACTTTGTCAGTCTTACAAACTCAGTTGACTCCAGCAGGAATAATTCTAAATCTACTGTGTGAGCCTGTTGTGCGTCGACAGATTTAATGCTGTATATTTGCAGAGTGATTGTGTGTAAATCACTTAAGGGACTTGGTTGACATTTAGAATTTTAGTCTGTTATTTTGATTTGTGTGTCCGCCCTGAAAAAATTGTTTGTTACTCAAGCCAATAGACAAATGTTTGTTATTGAAGCCAATGAACAAGCTTTATATTCATTTGGTTTGAATACAAACAATGCTGACAAGCCACTTAGTGAAGTGTGAGTGTGGCACAGAAGGACTTGAGTCTGCTGAAGGAAGATAACAGACTCAAATTTAAAATGCCCTTAGAAATTTTGCACTCAATGCTCAAACATTTTACTTTGTGAAGGGTCCAATCATGCATGTCGTGTGTATAAAACATGCACCCTGTGGGTTTATTTGTATTTGTTACATACATGCTGCATGTTTCTTTATTTATCCATCATCTGTTTACTGGGCACAGGACTTCTAAGGAGGCTTGTTTGCACACTGATCCTACAGTCAGTATTCTTGGGATTTAAAAACACATTAAAACGCTTTGACTTTTTTTTTTTTTTTTTTTTTTTTTTTTTTTTTAAACTTCCGTTTCAAGTTGAGATTTCCAGATATTGCTTCATGCTTACAGCCTGTGTCGGGTACATTTGAGCAAGATATCAACAGCTCTGTAAAGTACAAGATGGCATTTGAATGGGACCCCTGTGGCTCCTGTGTGACAGCAGACAGATTTTTTTTTATTTTTTTTTAACAAATCTATTCCCACAGGTCTGAATTCTGCAGAACACCCGCTGCAGGTGTCCTCACTTGAAATGCAGATGGGTGGGGTTTGTTGCAACAGATTTAGAAACTTTATATATATATATATATATGTGTGTGTGTGTAAAACTTATGCGCACTAATGTGTATTTATTGCCACAGAAAAAACAATAAAAAACTACCACCTAGGACAGGCTGACTGCATAAGACTTAGCTCCCACCAAGTTGAGCCAGTTATAACAGCCTAATGTGCTGCGATTAAAAGTGCATGTAAACTGTGGCAAACAATCCAACAAATGAAATCCTTCATAGATAAATAATTGAAATATGCAGCTTTTGTCCCTCCAAGTGGTGTCATATGACTGCGAACTTGACCAAGCCTACTGAAAGAATTAGACCAAATCTTTCAGGATCAATATGTCTTGTAACACAGTCCATTTTTATTTAAGTAAAACAAACAAAAAAGGTCGGGAACTGCTGCAACAGATAACACAGTAAGAGCCAGAGGAGTGTCACATATTTACAGGCCAGTTTAGCATTTTACGAATCACTTGCAAATAATATTTGATCAAAGACAACCAGATCTTTTAGGAAAAAGTTATTACAAATTACTCACACACACACAAATCTACTGTACTTACATTTATCTAAAAATGGCGATACACAAATTACCAGATTGCATGTTTCAGTTCACCTGATCAATCAAATTGATGTTATTGTTTCTCATAAACCACAAAAGCTTCAGCTACCGTGTGTTGAACTCAAAGCTGAAGGAAAACCACCTTTAAACATTGTTGTTTACTGTAACTACGGAAATTGGTGTTATGCAAACAGTTATAGTCAATACTGCTCTGTTTTCTCAGGGCCCCTGGTATCAGTGTGTTGTGATCCTTGCCTGTAATTAGAAAGTTAAAGCGGTCTGTCCCACTGAAGCTGCAGAAACATGTCTATGGAAACTGTAAGTTTCTCAGTTCGTTCATACAACAACTGGTCTGAAAAAAATCTAGAAATACGATGAGTGATTGAGAAAACTAAATGCTAAAGTAATGTATTGTGTATACATGCACATTATTTTTCTCAATATGCTGCACCAAGGCTCCACCTGTGTTGCTTTGAATGAAATGCTAATTTCAGCATGCTAACATGCTGATATTCAGCCGGTATAATGTTTACCATGTTCACATTGTGACCTGAAGTTTGACATGATCACATCCAAACCCGATCTGAGATTAATGTTCTCCTTTCTCTTACAGCTGCACAGCAAACTAAGGCTTAATAACATTTCATTAAAATACAGTAATTATATTTGAATGAAGACTGCATAGTAGCTGTGATGCAAGCAAATATCACCATGTAGTCAGGTGTTTTTTAGATGGTGTCCTATGATATTTTTGTATTTTGTGCTCTAGTATTGTTTATACGTATATGTGCAGAGAAGTCTCAGTGTGGATCTGAGATAGCTGTAGACTCCTTTGGACTGTCTTTCTTCATCTTCATCCAAATACTTTTTACGTTTCGGTGCAGTTTTTGAAACCAACAGTGGCACCTGAGAGTTCTAGTTCACCTGTCTGTGTCATGTGTCTTGCTCTTATTTTGGAGGGGAGAAGGGCCTTTTCCATGCCTTTGCGCAGGGACGCCCTGTCTCATAATCCATCTGAGTGCACCAGTCCTGGAATCAGAGACATTACTGTCCATGTTGGATATTGTAAAGTAAGAAAAAAAATACAAAAACAAAAACTGTGGCTACAACAAAACAGAGCAGACCTTACATGTAGATGTCACTAAATCCTCGAGGGCGTCTTGCAGAGCTGGCGAGTGTGTTTTGGCAGCCGGAGTGATGAGCGAGGAAAAGCAGGAGGACCCCCTGCCGGGCCCCTTCATGCATTATCAGCGCGGAGCTCCCCAGCAGACATCAACCACCACATACCAGGGTGTCGAGCTTTTATACCGCCGGGGGCAGGTTCGGTTTTTTAATATAGGGCAACTCTCAACTCTCCCTATTTCTCCACACGGCTGCAAACTCCCATAACACATCCACAAACTGAAATGAACACACACCCACATAAGAAGAATAAAATAAAGATTTTAACCGTTTAATTAAAATTGATTGTCAGGAGAATAATACACAAAATTGTGCTTGGTGCGCTTAACTGAAATGATGCTAATGAATTATATATATACATATATATATGTAAACACACACTTGTATATCACATATTTGTACAAATAACACATACAATATTGCAATTTGATTCCACATGTCAAGCATCTGTAACTTTGGAAAGGCAGGGCTTTTCAAATCTGATCCTGCCTTGATTTCAAGATATTTACGATGAAGTCACCAATACAGTCAGCCACTTCACAATCACACAGTGTTTCATGTTTGTTACAACTAGGTGCTGCAGCATTATTGCCTTCAAACAGTTGCATTTTTGAATCAGGGATGGATCACAGCGTGTATTTGTACATGTTAATTACAGTGAATCCAGGGACTGATGCCGTGGCCAGCTCAGTGACAGTAATTTCCATGTAATGCTTTGATCAGAGACTGTTAGAATATTTAACCTGAAATATGCAGTGTTAATTTTGACACCAAGCACCTTGGGAAAGATTTGAGATTTTTTTTTAATTTTTTTTTTTAAAACACACAGCACAGTAGAATACTGCCACCTTGTGGAGGAACGCGGCCAAATTTCTTCAATCTCTGTGATAGATTGCAGCTTCTCCCACTGAAAAAACAATCTCCCTGATGCCACTATAACAGCTACATGAGTGACAGTGACAGTGGCTCATTTCTTAATCTCAATTCATTCACCGGCAGTCGTGAAAAAACAGGAAATGCATGGATTTTTCTCTAGTCTATGGCGTGAGACTGCTGGAAAACGAAAGCAGATATTTGTGTAGTATTGTCTTCAACGGGAATTCAAAGCAGTCCGAGTGAACGATGCTTTTATCACATCAACCTCAAGGCACATTAAATTCACTTTCTGTAAAATGTGTTACCACTGAAAGCTGCGGCTCACTTTTGCTCTGTAACACACAAACACCCACACGCCAAAGAATCTC